CCTTTATTGTGTCTACTTATCCGTGAGATGATGCAATTTCTTTTACAGTAAATAATCTATCTTTGAATTAGCTTTAGCAATATTACATTATGCTCTGCTGGTTAAGTGCCTTATTGATCCATTCATTTACTATTAACTGAAAATTGTGGAGTCAGGATTCTCAGTGACTCTTCTATCACATTATAAATGCTTCTTGGTTTTGTACTCTCTTTAAAAGGGTGAACCTGACTGAGACCTAAACCCGAAAGCTCTGTAACTTTTCCCACAGTGATTCAATAAATAAATAAATTGTAAAAAAAAAAAAAAAAAAAAAAAAAAAGGGTGAACCAGGATTTCATATGGAGGTAAATCTGATCTGGCTTTTTTTTTTTTTTTTAACAGCAAGCAAGGTTTATTGTAAGACTGGCTAGCCAGGGTCAAGCCGCCTACACAGACACGCAGGTCAGTTAGGTGAAGCAATACCTGATCTGGCTTTTTGTTGCATTTGTGTTAAGGATAAGAGAAGATTCCCTACAGCATTATGTCTATGTCAAATGATTGAAAGCTATAAGAAAAAGGGTATTCCAAATTTTGGAAACTAGCACTGGACAATTTTATAGTCTGCACATGATTAATCTGTAATCTGTTTGGAGAAAGATTCTAGGAATCAAACCCAGGACATCGGGGCGGAGCAGTAGTACAGTGGGTAGGCATTTGCCTTGCTTGAAGCTGACCCAGGTTAAATCCTTAGCACCCCAAATAGTCCCTTGAGCGCTGCAAGGAATGATTCCTGGGCAGAGAGTAAGGACTAAGCCCTGAGCACAACTGGGAATCGCCTCTCCTCTTCCCGCCTCCCCAAAACAGACAAAACCAAACAACCCCAGTGCCTGTTATCTCTACCAGTGAGTTACATTTTTGATCCCAATCCATTTATTTTTAGAAGTTAGAAAATAAGAAAGAAGAAAATAGGATAAGACTATTTGGGATAATGCATTTGGGAGGGATAAATTTTTCTCATTATTAAAACAGGTACAGTTGCTCTTAAGTTTAGACATTACAGAAAAATTGAAAATTCAAGTCACTCAGAATCTGAGAATCTCATGTTTAGGCATAGCTTATGCCTTAATGTACTTTTCTGTGTCTTAAATAATTTGAGTTAGAAAAATTATTTTATTTTATTGAATGTCCAGATTGGAATTAGGATTAAGACAAATGATCTATTTATTTTTTTTAGATGGGTGGGGGTGGGGGTTCCACACCTGGCGATGCTAAGGGGTTACTCCTGGCTCTGCACTCAGGAATCACTCCTGGCAGTGCTCAGGGGACCATATGGGATGCTGGGATTTAACCCAGGTTGGGTGTATGCAAGGCAAGTGCCTTACTGTCTATGCTCTCTTGTCTCTCCAGTCCACAAATGAACTTACGAATGCATCTAAAGAGGACATTGCCACAAATAAGAAGCGATCTTGTATTTTCACCTCCTTAGGCTCTCTCTTTTCTTTCCTCTCTCTTTAAAGTTCTTTCCCCAGAACATATCCCCTTCCCTACTTCAGGAAGAATCGCCTTCCTGACTGACATTATACTTCCAGTATTTCTCATGCTGTTTTGTTATTTGTGTTATAACAAAGCGTGACCAAATTTTCCAAGGGGTCTGGGACCAGTCTTACGAAGTACCAGCCATAAATCCAAAATTTCTCTGAGTTCTCTTAATCTAGCTTCATAGTTCTTACGAATTTTTGCTTCCTAACTTCTTTATTGTATTTTAGGGGCAGGGTTTGGGCTACATCTGGGATGCCTATTGCTTACTCCTGGTTTTGCTCTCAGGGATAATTTCTGTCAGTGCTTCAGAGTACATATGAATACCAGGGATCAAATATGGGTTGACCACATGCAAAGCAAGCATCCTACCCATTTTACTGTCTCTTTAGCCCCTCTGTTTACTGTAATATAAAAATAATAATGTCTTCTGAGTAAAATTATCCAGAAACTTGTGTCACACTTATCAGATGATTAAAGTCTCCCTGGCATGGTGACATTCTCTGAGGATATGTGTTACCCTAATTTGTGAAAACTGCACTCCAAATTTAGATGAGTTTCTTTTCTCTGGGAATATGTTATTAAGTAAAAGAGGTAAAGAATTTAGGTTTCACCAGTTCTCAATAAAGAAGTAATGAAACATGCCTTCCTGTAGGGAATAACCAGATCATCTGGAAGGTGTTTTTAGACTTTGCTCTGCTTGCATGCTTTTTTTCTGGAATACCCAGAGCTGCTTGGGGGCTTCTCCTGGCTTTGTGCTTGGGGCTACTCTAAGAGGTGCTGGAGAGACTGTGCAGTGCCATGGACCAAACCCAGGCCTCCAGCATGCAGAGTTTGTGCTCGTCTTCTTGAGCTGGCTCTCCAGGTCCCCTGCCATCTTTTTCAAGAGGATTTAACCATAATGAGCTGCTGTGTATCTGACTGAGTCGGGAGTTTTGTTTCCCCAGTAGTTACTGAGTGTAAATAATGAGAAAAATTGCAAGATTATATATGTTTTTTGATTTGTAAGTTGGCCAATGTATATTTATCTCAAATCTGTTTAAAGGAGTAACTGAATTAGGGTTTTCTATGTTTTATTATCTTAGCCAAGTATGATATAAATGGATTCAGTTACTAGGAAAGAGTGAGTCTTTGGTTTGCCTTGTTTGTTTATTATCTCAATATGTTAACATTTGGGATTTAGAGTCCTCTAGGTTCTGAATTAGAAAATCATTTTTGTTACATTAGAAATGTTTGGCCCAACTGAAAGTAGACTATAGGCCGAACATGATGGTCACTTAATGCCTCTACTGCAAACCACAACTCCCAAAAGGAGAAGGAGAGCAAAAGGGAATGCCCTGCTACAGAGATGGAGCGGGGTAGAGGGGACAGTGTGGGGGTGGTGGGAGGGATGCTGGGACCATTAGCTGTGGAAAATGGGCACTGGTGGAGGGATGGGTACTCAACCGTTGTATGACTGAAATGCAAGCACGGAAGTTTGTAAGACTGTAACTACACCTCATGGTGGTTCACTAATAAAAATTTTTTTAAAAAGGAAAAAATTTTTAAATTTTTAAAAAAAGAAATATTGGGCCTGAGAGATAGTACAGGAAGTACTTGCATACTAATCCCCATTTGAATCCCGAGCACCATGTATGGCTCCCTGAGCACCACCAAGAGTGATCCCTGAGCACAGAGCCAGAGAATCACTGGGTGTGGTCCCCAAACCAAAATTACTACTAATAATATAAGCTATTAAAATCTATGATTTGATGACTTTCAAATGTGTATCTGTATTCTTTATTCATCCTTAAACGCCATAGAACCTTAAATATCCCAGTCTTCAAATTCACTAGATTTCCATCTCAGTAAATGTTGTTGCCTTTTCACCTAGTAAGCAGCTTAGGTAGAAATCTAGATAATTCTTTATTCTTTCTTTCATAGCTTTCATTTAATCAATCAGATTCTGGTAGCCGTGCCTCCAGCTTATATGCCACTTCTTATCTTTTTCACTGTTTCCATGCTCATCACCGTTTATAGCCATTAACCAGTTGTCCTTTTCTAGCAGCCTCATCTCCATCCCTGTACATGGCATCTTTTCTTCACTTTATAGCTAGGGCTGGAGCGATAGCACAGTGGGTAGGGCGTTCGCCTTACAAGCGGCCAACATGGCCGACCCGAGTTCAATTCCTCCACCCCTCTCGGAGAGCCCGGCAAGCTACCGAGAGTATTCGATATGCCAGACACAGTAACAACAAAGTCTCCAATGGAGACGTTACTGGGCCCGCTCGAGCAAATCGACGATCAACGGGAGGGCCTTTATTATTTTTTATTATAGCTAGGATAAACATTTATTGTTGTTTTAATGCTGAGGAATCACACATGATATGGTATTGGAAGTCATAACTGGAGGTGCTGGCAGTAGATACACTTGGCAGTGTGGGGCAGAGGCACACGTTGAGCCTAGAACCCCACAATGTGAGGCATGTGTTCCACCCTTGTACCCGCATCCCCTGTGCTCCCTAGAGTAATCTTTTTAAAGCCAAAAATAGAGTTATACAAAATCTTCTACAAAGTGCTGATTATCGGTCTGGCTCAAGAAATACACAAGATGAATACTGAGAATAGTAAGTATAGTAATGGTAAGACAAGTGATGCGAGACTATAGTCATAATTACAAAATTATAGTTAGCACTATCAGAAACTATAATGGAAAGTCTTTGAGATCACATCAGACTTTTGGAATTTAAAGACAAAATGAAAATTTTTTTATTAATTTTATTGAATCACCGTGAGATAGTTACAAGCTTTCATGTTTGGGTTACAATCACACAATGATCAAACACCCCTCCCTCCACCAGTGCACATTCCCCACCACCAATATCCGCGGTATTATCCCCCCCTTTCCCACCCTCCCCTGCCTCCATGGCAAACATTATTCCCCATAATCTCTCTCTATTTTTGGGCATGATGGTTTGCAATACGGACACTGAGAGGTTATCATGTTTGGTCCTTTATCTACTTTCTGCACACATCTCCCATCCTGACTGATTCCTCCAGCCATCATTTTCTTAGTGATCCCTTCTCTATTCCAGCTGCCTTCTCCCCTTTGCTCATGAGGCAGGCTTCCAGCTATGGAGCAATCTATCTGTCATGTGTATCTAATATCCTTAGGTGTCAGCCTCATGTTGTTTTATACTCCACAAATGAGTGCAGTCTTACATGTTTTAAGACAAAATGAAAATAATGAAATGAAAGGTAATATAAATTTAAAAAGAGAACAAATAGACCATCTTCCACATCTCAGTGCTCTCAATTTTCCTCAGTTGAGTATCTCAGTTGATTTGAAAACAGCATTAATTCATAATCATCATCCAGATAAATTTTATTCAAATTCCTCTGTTAGTACCATTAGTTTTCACAACCAATTTCTGGGTCTGGGCTACTTTCTCATAGAGTGACTGTATGCTGATGACTTATTCTGCTATTTTTCCTTTATGGTTTAGCTTCTTACATCAGTGTTTGACAACAGTATCAAGACCTATGGAGTAATTGAGAGTGACCCTTTCGACTGGGAGAAAACTGGGACTGATGGCTCCCTGACAACCACCACCACCTCTACCACCCCTCAGTTACACACCCGCTTGACCCCGGCAGCAATTGGGTATGTCTTAGACAGATTCTGGCTTTATAATTTTAACAGAAGTGTCCTTGATTTTATTTATATTCCCTCAGATAATCAAATGCTGAGACATAGGGGGAAGCCTATGAATTTCCTTGAATGAACATTGCTTTTGTAAATGCTTTTATTTATAATTACCTTTCTTAGAAAGTATTTTTAGATCATGCTCAGAAATGGGAGCTTAGAGCTTATATGACTTGGTAATGTGAAAATTCCAGTATATTTTCTTCAAAAGGAAAAGAGACAGTATATTCATTTCTGAATATGTGTGGGACCCTAAAAAGACTGAAAAGTAAAAGTGAGGCCTAGAAAGATAGTACAGTAGGTAGGGTTCTGGACTTGTATGTAGCTGACCTGGGTTTGATCCCCAGCATTCCTTATGGTATCCCTCCACCTGGCCCAGACCTCCACCCCCAAAAAAGTGATTTAAAAAATATATTAGCATGATATGTTTCCACTGTCTTGGGCTTTTGTTTTGATATTTTCTTTTCTAGATGCATTAAAAGCAGTTCGTATTTTGTTTTATTTCTTTATTTTAGTTTGCTTTTTTCCCCCCTGGTCATTTCACCTGTTCTAGTTAGTTAAATTATTTGTTTTTAAGAATGTAATTAGAGATGACCAGGGAGACAGCTCAAAGGGCTAGAGCCATACTTTGTATGCTGGAGACTCAAGTTCAATCCCTGGTATTTCATGGCCCTCCCCACCCCACTCTCTCTGCAGAGGGAGCTGGGAGTAGCCCCAGTTCTGCTAGGAGTAGCCCCCCAAACAACCTGCAACAAAAAAGTAATTTGGGCAAAATCATTATAAATGTAAACTTACTGGGACACTTTATCACTAATTCTTTGCCTTGATTTTAGGATCATTAGAGCTTATGGAAATAGAAAAACTCAAATGGACTGTTCCTCCTGTTCCTCTCTCACTTCACTATTATAGTTGTAAGACTTTATAAAACAACATAATAAAAATTGTGAGCATGAGGAGATTTAGAGTGTAAAATATTTATATAAAAATAAAATATATTTTAATTTTTATATAAAAATAAATATCAGGGACTGGAGAGACAGTACAACAAGGTAGGGCATTTGCCTTGCACAAGGCCAACCTGGGTTCGATCCCCAGCATCCCATTCACTGGCTATCTAGTGAGTTTCCAAATATGGAACTCTGAGTAGATAATTTAGTTACCTTTTATGTTTCTTAAAAATACCCATTCCTCAGATCCATCCTGTTCTACAAAATCATAATGTATAAAGGGGTGTCCAGAAGTAAGTGCATATGCAGATATTTTCTGCTTAGTGGAGTTTAGGCCACTACTAGAGCCCAGCCCCACCCCAACTACAAAAGAAATAATCCTCATGCTTAAGTGAATCATCTAATATATATATAATATATATTAGATGTGTGTATATAGTATATGTGTATATTATATCTGTATATGTATATACCAGATACACATCATATATCATATATGTGTGTGTGTGTATATATATATATATATATGTATCAGTATTAGTGAATGAGTTGAAACCAGTGTAGAATTCCTGATTCTTGAGTAGAGCTTTTTCTTTCTCATCCTTTAATAGTGCTGTTACATATAAATAAGTCTCAGATTGCAAAAATTCAAGTAGGATTTCTGAATAGCTGACTGAAGATTGTTTAAGTTTGTATCTCCTAATGTTTCTTAAATCATACTGAATAGCAATAAAAAACTATATCATGACCTTAGTATAATTGGAAGATATAGGGTGCCAGGCTTCAAAATAACATTTGGGGGGGGGGGGTTAGGGGCACACCTTATGATGCTCAGGGCTTACTCCTGGCTCTGCTCTCAGGAATTACTTAGGGGAACATATGAGATACTGGGTACCAAACCCCATTCAATCAGATGCAAGGCAAGTGCTCTACCCATTGCACTCTCTCTCTCTTTCCAGCCCCTCAAAATACCTTTTAAGTGAAAAAGAAAATACCAAATTTTCACCTATTATCTCTTTCTTATTTTTTGTTGATTTTTCGATTTTGTTTGTTTCTTTTTGGGCCACATCTAGTGATGCTTAGGGATTACTCCTGGCTTTGTGTTTAGGGATCACATCTGGTGATGCTCGGGGGGTGCTGAGATTCTTGGTTGGCCATACCCACTGAACTCTTTCTCCAAACCCCATGCATTATAGCTCTTGTTCCCCCTCACTTAACTACTTTAGTTGTAGGACTTTATAAAACAACATAAAAATTGTGAACATGAGGAGACTTGGTAGTGTAAAAGATTTATATAAAAATAAAATGTATTTTTATTTTTATATAAAAATAAATATCAGGGACTGGAGAGACAGTACAATAGGTAGGGCATTTGCCTTGCACAAGGCCAACCTGGGTTTGATCTCCAGCATCCCATATGAACCACCCACCACGCTCTGCCAGGAATAATTCCTGAGCACAGAGCCAGGAATTACCCCTGAGCATTGCTGAGTGTGATCCCAAAACAAAACAAACAGCCCCCCCCCCAAGAAAAAATGATAGCAATTTGAACAGGCAAGATGATACAGAGAATTATTATCTCTAACAGAATCAGAATTGAGTTCCAAGAAGAATGAAGAATTGTAAAGAATACAGTAATTGCAAAAATATTATGTCTTTCCTACTCCCTTTTTTTTTCTGCTTTTTGGGTCACACCCGGTGATGCACAGGGGTTATTCCTGGCTCTTGCACTCAGGAATTACTCCTGGTGGTGCTCAGGGGACCATATGGGATGCTGAGAATAGAACTCGGGTCAGCCGCATGCAAGGCCGATGCCCTGCCCACTGTGCTATCACTCCAGACATGTCTTTTCTACTTCTAAGGGTGAGATTAGAGAGTCAATGAAGAGCTTCAGAGCCCTCATCCAAGGGCTGGAGTTCTGACTTTGTTGGAAGGATATGTCCATCACTTACTGGATAGTAGGGAGATTGCTGAATTTTTAAAAATTCTTACCTCTATAAATTTTTGGAAATCAGTCCTCTGGAATGCCCACAAAAGGTCTCTGCTGGAGGCTTCTCATTAGAGGCAGACTACTACCAAGTTTCAGGCCATGGGATTGTAGAGGGAATTGATGGCTGCTGCTGGCTGCAGTTGAAGGAACAGAAGATGCCGCGAAGTCGCAGGAACCTTGTGTTGGGAAGAGACACATTCTAGAGAAGTTTGCCATGCAGTTAGAAACTGAGACAAAGTTCTTTCTTTTGTAGTGTCTCTCCAGTGCCATCTCCTAACAAAGGTCCATTTCAACTAACAAAGAAAAACATTTAATAAGATCTGTTTTCTCAGAAGAGTCAAAAGTGTGAATTTGGAGCTAAATGGAAGGTTAAAAGCAAATTAAAATTTACCTATAAGACAAAGGAGAATGCTAAAAATCAGAGAATAAAGATCCTACCTGACTAAATTTGCTAACCTGGCAGAAGAAACTGATTTAACCATATTCTAAAAACACTTTGTTTCAACAAAAATTAATAAAAAAAATTAAGTTTTATAAAATGTTATTATAAAAAAATCAGAGAAAAGCTAATACATATTTACTAAGGAAGTTGTCTTAGAAAACTAACCATGAAAAAAGAAAACTAAGATAAAAACCCCAGGTGGAATTAAATATAATCATGTCTTTGAGTATAAAGATAACTACCTTAAATCAAAATTTAAAAATGAAGAACAGAAATAGACCCCAAAATTGAAGTTGAAATAAAGAAACAGGAAATGAGTAGGGAAAGAAGATATGTGAGTTGATTAAACTCAAGAAAGAAATTAAGGAAACAGTTGTCTCAGAATTAGAATAAATTACAAAGGAGATAAGATGAAAAGGGCATTGAATAAAGAGGAAACCACAAGAAAATGGAAATTAAATAATCATTAAATAGATTGTAGAGAAAGCAATGCAAATACAGAAATAACATCCACTCTCAATATCCCTGGAAAAAAAATACAAAAACTATCATTTAAAACTGAGAGCCTCTATAGTAAAAGGTTAAATTGAAAAGTAAAAGGAACTAAGAACGCTCAAAAAGATGTCTCTTCCAGGCCAGAGACAGATAGCTATAGTGGGGAAGGTGCTTGCCTTGCAATGGGGCCAACACTGTGAATTTCCCTGTACAAGAAAAGGTCATAATAACTTTGCATGAAATTCACCTGACTACCTATCTATACAACACCATAGGCTAGTTCTCTTCTTTCATAACTGACTTTGATGCTCACACAAGGTTGCAGTGCTCACATCCTTGGTCCTGGTGCTCACCAAGGTTTGCACTCCTTGAGTTGTGAGCTTGCATATGTACATGTAGAGTCAACACCCAGTGCAGGCATGCAAGTTACAATTACAGTGCTTCCTAGAGGACTCTTCCATGCTCATGTACATGCTCACCAGTACTCACACTTCTGTGCTGTGCACGAGTATCTTTTTAGTTGCCATGCTCCCTACGGATCACAATCCTTTACACACAACAGCCTCACTGTGTCAGGGATCACAGACAGCAGACCTAACAGCCTCAAGTGGCAGAGTTACCAGGATTGCACTGGTGCATGTGGACACCGAGGATTTGAACTTATTACTGTACACTTGTGGGCGAGATACTCTCGGTAGCTTGCCGGGCTCTCCTACCCATGACGTATTCAATATGCCAAACACAGTAACAACAAGTCTCAAAATGGAGACGTTACTGGGCCTGCTCAAGCAAATCAATGAACAGCGGGAGGTCTGTACACTTACAATCCAGGCATTCTAAAGTACCGTACTGTCCTTTTCTGGGTTTTGAAGAGATATTTCTGATTTTTAAAATGATTGGCAAATGAATGGGGTACTGTCTTACAGTTTGTTTTGAGGATTTGAGAACCATACCTAGTGATGCTCAGAGATAATCCACATTGGTGTTCAGAGGATACTCCCAGGCAGTGTTTTGGGGCAGGCTGGGGTGGGGGGAATGATACACACATGTTAGGGATTGAACCGAGGCCTCCAACATGCAGAGCATGTACGTTAGCCCTTTGAGCTATCTTTTTAACCTCAGAATTTGTATTTTAAAAGTAATTTGAGGGGCTAGAGTGATAGCACAGTGGGTAGGGCGTTTGCCTTGCACGCATCCAACCCGGGTTCGATTCCCTGCATCCCATATGGTCCCCCGAGTACCACCAGGAGTAATTCCTGAGTGCAGAACCAGAAGAAACTCCTATGCATCGCCAAGTGTGATCCAAAAAAAAAAAAAAAAGTAATTTGAAATTCCTACTAATCAAAGTTTTGCTTTGTAGATTTGTCATGACCAAGGCTTTTTGGCTTATTTTCTTTCACTATAAAATATTATCTAGACTTCATCTTTTAAATCCCAGAAACAAAAGCTTGTATAGTCTCATAATAATTTCTTATTTTGATCTAACCTTAACTTATTTTGTCACCAATTCTTTTTAGAATTGCTAATGCTACTCCCATCCCAGGAGACTTGCTTCGAGAAAATACAGATGAGGTATTTCCAGATGAGCAGCTTAGCGATGGGGAAAATGGCATCCCTGTTGGTGTGTCACCTGATAAACTGCCTGGATCTCTGGGTCACCCTCGTCCTCAGGAGAAGGATGTCTGGGAAGAGATGGATGCCAACAGGAATAAGATAAAGCTTGGGATTTGCAAAGTGCGTATTTCTTACATGGGAAATGATAAGATATTTATCATGCCTATTGTTTTTCTCCTTTAACATAGCAGAGTATCATGATTCTGAATTTTGGCTGAGTCGGGCAAACATTGGATTGCTAGTTCATATAATTTCTGTGATTTGGCTAATTTTTCTCATAACACTCAGGAATTAATCTTTATCCTGTATTTTTATGTAAAAGACTGATGTAATTTTGTACACACTGAGGTTAAAAGTAGAGATATTCATTCTTGCCATATAAAGTAACAAGACTTTTGGGCCCATTTATTATATGGACCAAAGGAACTATGAGCACCCGTTCATTCCGAAAACTGTCTCAAATGAATTTGGAAGCTGAGGGTTGGATGTGGAAATCATCAATCTGATCATGAGATGACAAGTGAATGTTGAAACTTAAAACAGTTTTTTTTCTTCATTAGAATTGCAAAGCAAGTGTATTTGTAAGGTTTCCATATTAAGTATTTCATTTTTAATCATGTTGAAACAGATTATCCCAAAATTCTCTTGGAATTTACTGTTGCTTTTCATTTCCAATTTTATAGAAGATAAAGGTAAGTGGGATGAAGAAGCCATACTTTAAATTACTTAGTTATTGGTGTTTCCTAATGTTTTTTGTAAGGGATCAGATGGGGAGATTAACTTTATCAAGATAAAAAGACACTAGACTCCGTAACATTATTGCTAGCAAGTTGACCAGTCATGTTTTATGAGTCGAAAATAAATCTGGAAAAGAATCTTCAATGATCACTTTTAAGGATCTTGGCCTATTTTGGGATAATATCTATGAAATTGTTAAACAGAATATTAAAAGACAAAACTTTTCTATTGTCTCCATTTTGAAAAACATATTCTTTGCATAGATATGATTTGTTGGATTGTGATCTGTCCATTATCTATGCTTTATCTGGGATAACAATCAGAAATAAGTCAGAAGTAGTTAGAAAGCCAGAAACAGCTTTTTGTAGTGTTAACTGTGATTGTTCATGGCCTTAAGAGCAAATTCTTGTACCAGTTTAAAAATTAAAATAACAATTAAGAATGTCACTCTTTAGTGACAGTCTATTGGCATTCTTAATTATCAGATTAATAGCTATGTATATGAGTAAGAGAAGCACTCATATGACTATTTAATTCTATTTAGTTTTCTTCTTTTTAATTCCTGGATCCATTAATAATAAAAATTAAAAATAATATTAAATAAAATTAAAATCATCTTTATTTCAAAGAAATTAATTTGTTTATTTTGGATTACACATGGTGTAAAATCTTAGCACACCGAAGGTTGTGTGTTCACGGGCTCTCTGGACGGCTGTATCTCACCACCTGTGTTCAGTGCTCTTGAGCCTCTGTGTGTGGCCTGGATCAGGACAGCTGTTGGCCAAGGGCAGATGAAGGAAGAAACGAGGGCCAGGCTGGTCGATATCAGTTGTAGTTTATTCCAATCCTCTTCACTCCTGTCTCTCCTCTGCCTCCTTCTCTCCTGGGCCCCAATCTGGAACCTTTCTCCTTCTGGCTCTGACTCTGGATCTCTGGTGCCCGAGCCCTCTCACTTCTGACTCTGCTCTCCAAGTTTACAGTCTTAGTTTATATAGCAATCATGTAAGGCAGTGACACAAAGGTGGGTTGAACATTAACAGATCAACAAAGAGAGTTAAGACCACTCCTCCAGGAGATTAAACTCAAGGATAAAATCTCATCTAAAAAGATTACTCCAGATTACTAGGAGATCCGCTCAAGGGTGGGATTCTAACAAGGGTATGTTCTTTCCTCAGCTAGTAATCTACTTAAATAGTTGTAGTAAATCTACTTCTGATATTTTTAGCAATGTCATTCTGTGTGAGCACAGTAAGAGATATAAACATCTCACTATACATTCCACAGTCATCAGGCCAGGTTAGTCTTCCTAGCCCCAGCAGGGTCCTAGTCTCGTTGTTACTTACTTTTGGATCATGACAGCATTTGTCCATGATCATGCCCTCAACTTATAGTTGAGTATCGTGGCTCTTTGGCCTGGCCCATTTCGATGCCAGGGTAGCTCACAGCTTGCCCTGGGTCCATTCAGTCCCTTGTCGGGACCCTGCTTGTGAGGTGCTAGGAACTAAGGGCGACTGAATCAAGAAAGCAGATGCCCAGGAGTCAATATTATTTGGAGTTCAATCAGCTCCCATGTTACAAAGCATAATATTAACTGTCTTCCTGTGTCCATATAGAAAAGACATTGCTTTAAGGTAAACTATGCAAAGGATATAACTTACAGTACGAGTTCAGTGTCCTTAGAAGGATCTGATCTTACAAGCTAACAGAATCTGATTAGGGACAAAAGGTGATTAACTGGCTGGGGAGGAGAGCACATAAAAGAGTTTACAGATAAACAGAGGAATGGGAGTGACTTGGGAGCACTGGGATGGGTGTGACCTAAGCTACCTGAGAAAGGACAAAACAGTGTTATCCTACACTCGGGACTCACTCATGACTCTGCACTCAGGAATCACTGCTGGCAGTGCTTAAGGGACCATATGGGGTACAAGGGATCAAACCTGGGTTGGCTGCATATAAGACATGCACCTTACCTGCTGTACTATTGCTTCAGCCTCTCCTTCCCCTTTGAAAATAGATTTTGCTCAGATAACTAGTTCTTATTATTTTTTTGTGGGGGACAGGTGAAGGGGAGAAATCACATTTAGGGTACTCATGGATCACTTCTGGAAGTGCTAAGAGAACTATATGCATTGCCAGGGACTGAACTTTGGGGTTAGTTGTATGCAAGGCAGATATCTAGATATAATAGCTAGATATAATGCAGAAAACCAAGGTAATTAGGCATCTTTTAGACTGTTGTCTAGTGCCAGAAAAAAAAATTTAAAGTAGCATTGAAACTAAGTATGTTAAGAAAACTCATTTTGTTCTTTTTTAATTTAATTTTATATTTTTATAAAGTAGTTAACAATATTTGAATACATTTAATACTTGAGCACCAATCCCACCACCATTACACCTTCCCACCACCATATTTTGAATGTTTCCATCCCGAACCCCAACCCCTGCTCCAAAGCAGAACCAAGATCATTTATTTTGTATTGTTTGTTATGAATAAACTGCTGAAAATGCTCCAAAAATTTTGGTTAGAGGACAGTGTTTGAATATTGTTGTATATCACCAGGGGCTATTAAGCCCTTCTATAAGAGATTACTAATATGTTGTTAAGGCTTGAGGCTTTTGTGTATGTGTGAGTGTGTGTGTCTGTAAAAATATATTTCCCTCTAAGGTTGGTTACCTCCTACTTTAAACCCCATTAAGTGTGTGGTGCACTACTCTTGGAGTATGAGTGGTGTGAGGTATGAGATGTGGAGCAGCCATGTGGTCTAGGGATAGGTTCAGTTATGGGTGAGGCTCAGCCCGGGCATGTGGAGAGTGGCCATGAGCATGACAGCAGTTTAGTTCCGGAGGTAGAAAACTCATTTTTATAAAGGGTCAGTGAAAATGTAATGAAGTAAGCTGATTAAAATATCATAATCATCTGAACCTTGATCCTAGTTGTTTGCTGCAATATTTTTAAAAACTTCAGTGTTTCCTCCCATGTATAGTAACTGGAAGGGCTTTTGTGGTTTTCTTTCATATTTTGTCTAGGCTGCTACCGAAGAGGAGAACAGTCATGGCCAAGCAAATGGTGTTATGAATGCTCCAAGCCTTGGTTCACCAATTCGTGTTCGCTCAGAGATTACTCAACCAGACAGAGATGTTCCATTGGTGCGAAAGTTACGCTCCATTCACAGCTTTGAACTGGAAAAACGTTTGACCCTAGAGCCAAAGCCAGACACTGACAAGTTTCTTGAGACCTGGTATAAAATAGTTTTGTTTTTTTAAGTTACTTAGATGATACTATTTTTGTTGTCATTTTCATTATTCCTAGTGCACATTGTCTTTCAGTTAAGAAGTTCTTGCATTTCTGTGGAACTAATTGGACGGGGCTCTCATTTTCAACCATGTTCTTAATTGTCATTCTATCTTGTGAACTGTTTACTAACACTGTTAGAAATTCTCTTGCAAGTCCTTAAATGCTGGGAAGAGCAGAGAAAGCTGTCGCCTTTTTCCCTAGTAGATACAAGTGAGTCTTATGACATTCAGAGGGTGATCTCTTACTGAAATAGAAAAGAAATAGAGTTGAAAGAGAGAGTATGTTATAAAGATGGAAAGAGACAGGAAGGTGAGGGAGTATGGAAAAAAGGGAAAACATAATTCATACAATCAGTAACAGTACTGTAAACAACAGTACAAAAACTTACAAAGCACTTCTCACAGAGACAGACTGAAGGGTGGGAGGTGAATTGTAGGGGGATAGGGAGAGGGAAGTGGACACTGGTGAAGAGATTGCTGATGAAACATTGTGACTAAATTTTTTAAAAATTATACAAAACAAACAATTCAAATCAAGGTAAGTACTGTAGGAAAAGTTTACATTAGTAAGCTTAACATTCTACATAGAAATGAAAAGAGAACTTTGAAGAGCTCTACATAGGTAATAAATATTTGTAGTTCATAGTTCTAAAGCCTACTGCCTCCAAATTTTGATAATAAAACAAATACTTTTAATAATTCTTAATTCTTTTAATAATTCTCATACTATTCAATATACATTCCTGGTGGCTACTGTTGACAATAAAATGTTAGATTAGAAAGACTACATATTTAACCAATATGATAAGTACTATGTAAATGCAATTTAAGCTTCAGCCATACAGCTTCTACTTTCAACGCTCCTTCATCTATGCATGTTTTTAAATAGTAGAGTACATACCGTGAATGAGTAATGCCCTGGGTTTGATATCCCCATCCAAACAATAAAGCTTCATGTGGTTAAGAATGGAACTTAAAAAGGGACTCCATATTGGAAGAGCTGAAAGATAAGAAGCAAAGTTGAGAACAGAAGTAACCCCATGAAAATGAACCCAACCTTGGACAGTTCGAGGAATTGAAGCATCTATTTTTTTTTTTGAAGGGGGTGCGACCAAATGGGATGCCAGGAATCAAACCTGGGTCAGTGGCATGCAAAGCAAATTTCCTACCCGCTATACTATTGCTCCAGTGAGACTTCTAATTCTAATATAAGGAAAGGGAAAAGTATACAGCTTAAATTATTTTCCTGCAGATGAAAATAATTTAAGTCAGTTCTTAGAACCATTATAGCCAGCTACTACCAGTCACACCAGTGCCTGTCCCTCAGTCAACAGAGATTCGTACACTATCAACTGCCTTTCTCTCCAACAAAATTAAAAGTATATCCTGAAGCTACCCCCAGACCTGGGTTTGATATCCCAATCAAAACGGGAAGCGGGAAGTGGGGAGAAAGGACTGCAAAGTTTAAGAGAATTCCGAGAATGACCACCAACTGGGAGCTCTTTGGCATTATTTTGGCAGTGTAGGAAGATGCCTCGTTGACAACATCAACAAGGAATACGATCGACTGGTTCAGCACCTTCATGACTGCGTGAGAAATGCCAAGAGTGGGAAAGCCACAACAGATGCCTGTCTTTGAAACTCTTTTTTTTTTTTAATTTTTATTTAGTGAGACATCATGAGGTACAGTTGTAGACTTACAAATTTTTGTGCTTGGGTTTCAATTATACAATGATCACATACCCATCCCTCCGCCAGTGCCCATTTGTCTTTAAAACTCTTGAACTCATTCACCAACCTGATTTGGCGCAAGCCTCAGGCAATAACAAGCTAATATCTGAGCTCAAAAAGCTGTGCAGAGAAGCGATAAAGGAAGACCTCAAAGAGAGAAGAGCAGCAGTGTTGGCCAATGTGGCAGAAGCCAGGAAAAGTATTTGGAACGCCCGCCTGTCCTTCGCCAATTACAAGACCAAGATAACTACTGCCCTCCGACGTCCTGATGCATCTATCACATCTTGCAGAAGGGCAATGGAGAGTATTATACATGATTTCTACTCAGATCTCTTCAATAGCCATGTCCACCTGCCCACATACCAAATTCTGCAGGATGGATATGTCGTTCTCAATGTTCTACCTTCTGAAATCCAACACACCATTTCATTGATAAAGAAACATACAGCACTCGGTCCAGACAAGGTCAGACCCAAACACCTGAAGAATCTGCCGCCGGTACTCATCAATAAACTGGCTCGGCTCTTCACATGCTACCTCTCTGAATGCAAGGTTCCATCCCAGTGGAAAACCAGCAGGACCATTCTGTTGTACAAGAAGGGAGACATCCACAAAATTGGCAACTATCGCTTGATCCGCCGGTTATCCATGATCTACAAGTTGTTCATTTGAGTCATCCTGAATAGAATAGGCAGAATACCTTAGACAAAGGACAACCATGAATAGAATAGGCAGAATACAGATGAAGGACAACCATGTGAGCAAGCCGGGTTCCGAAAAGGATTCAGCACGATCGACCATATCCATGCAGTAACCAATCTCATTGAGGTTTCACGGGAGTCCAAGATGCCGCTCTGTGTAATGTTCATCGATTTAAAGAACTCCTTTGATTCTGTTGAGACTGAAGCAGTCATCGAAGCCCTAGCCAAACAGGGCATTCAAACTCTACATCAGGATCCTTCTCAAGCTGTATTATGAATTCACCACCAGGATTCACCACCATTCTACAGGGAAGTGATCATCGATGTAAAGAGAGGGGTTTGGCAGGGTGATACCATTTCACCGAAACTCTTCAGTGCCACCCTCGAGAACATCATGAATGACTAGAATGGGAAGAAATGGGAGCGAAGATAGATGGTCGGCAACTATACCACCTCCGCTTTGCTGATGACGTTGTTCTAATAACACTAAACATTAGCCAAGCAGCACAAATGCTGGCCAACTTCGACCATGAGTGTGGAAAGGTCAGACTGCAGCTGAATCTCAGCAAGACAATGCTCATGAAAAACAAACTAGTCCCTGACATTCCATTTGCTCTCATTGGAACGAACATCTCTGAATGCAGCAGCTATGTGTACCTGGGTTGAGAACTCAACATGAGGAATGACTTGGCGCCAGAACTGCGCAGGAGGAAGAGAGCAGTGTGGAATGCATTCAAGAGCATCAAAGAAGTTGTTAAGAGGACGAAGAACCTCCGCCTCTAGGCACATCTTTTCGACTCCACCGTTCTTCCTGCACTAACATACACCTCAGAGACCTGGGCCCTACGAAAACAGGCCAAGAACGCTATTTGGGTATCCCAAAGAGGAACCGAAAGAGCTTTGCTTGGAATATCACATTTCACTCAAGTTGGTGAAGGAATCTGGAGTTCCGATCTCCGTCGATGATCAAGAATAAGGGACGCTGTCTCATTTGCCAAGGCGTCAAAAATCAGATGGGCTGGACACATAATGTGACTTAGAGATGACCGTTGGACTAGAGCTGTTACTGACTGTATTCCACGGGATGTCAAAAGGATGCGTAGCCGCCCACCAACAAGATGGTTGGACTTCTTCGTCGAAACCCTGAACAAACGGTTTGAGGCTCTTTGCGTTCCTGGAGCAAGCAGATGCCATTGGGCTACACTAGCACATGACAGGGATGAATGGAGACTTGACTGGCGCCCACTCGAGCAAATCAAAGATCAGCGGGATGACAAGTGATACAAGTGAAGTGATACCCCCAGACCACCATCACTTTTTCCTTTACCACCATATGTAGAGCACTGTGTGCATAGTGGGGGTGTGTATGATCAAAAAGGCATGGTACCTTCACTTTTTAAAAGACCTGCCTTAGAATTTTATGTGAATGAATATACATGCATTTCTGAAGTTTAAAAGAAAAAGATAGTAATTATTAGCCTATAAAAGGCTAATAATTTTATATGGACTTCTTGGTGAGGCAAAATCCTTTTTGGTAAGTTGCTCAGTCACTCAGAATAAGTGCAGAATAGTGTGATTGCATTGGTAAGGCAAAAGTGGGATGCACCACACAAGTCAACTCAGTTAGGTTTCTCTTCAGCCACAGAGCAAGAGAGTCATCCTCCTCTCATAGGTTTCATTTTCCAGAGGATTTTAGCACGTAGAAACATCCACCAGTGAAATTTTCTCCATGCTATCTCCCTTTTTGTCTTGTGTTATAACTATTAGTTCTGTATAGTGCTTATAGAGTATATAAAAAAATATTTCCTTAGGACATTGAGTAACTTCTCTTTGTTTTTAAGCCTGGAGAAAATGCAGAAAGAATCCAGTGCAGGAAAGGAATCTCTTCTCCCTTCACTGCTTCATAAGCCGTGTGTTCCTGCTGTCTCCCGTGCTGACCACGTCTGGCACTATGATGAAGAATATCTTCCAGATGCTTCCAAGCCTGCTTCTGCAAATACCCCTGAGCAGGCAGATGGTGGTGGCAGCAATGGATTTGTAGCTGTTAACCTGAGCTCCTGCAAACAGGAGGTTGATTCCAAAGAGTGGGTGCTTGTGGACAAAGAGCAGGACCTTCGGGATTTTAGGACAAATGAGGCTTTAGGCCATAAAACAAATGGAAGCCCTTCTGATGAGGAGCCCGAAGTGCTTCATGTCCTGGAGGAATCACCACAAGATGAAAAGTTCCGATTGAGTCCTTGGGCAGAGAATGATCATTTAAAGAAACAAACTTCAGGTGTGGTCTTAACACTTTCTGGGGAGTGCCCTGCCATTGCTGCTTCAGAACAGTATACAGATAGGTTAGAACTCCAGGCTGGAACTACAAGTCAATTTATTGCAGCAACACCCACGAGTCCAATGGAGGCCCAAGCAGAAGGACCCCTAACAGCGGTAAGAAATTTGTTCCTGTCATTTTCCTCTGTTACACACTGAGGGTGCTATTAAGAAATGACTACTAGGGCCAAGGATATGGCTCAGTAGTAGAGCACTTGTCTTGCATATGTGAGGCCCTGGGTTCAATCCCAGGCACTACATATTTCTCAAACACCACTAGGAACAGATCCTGAGCACTGCTGGTAAGACATTAAGACAAAATGTCTTTTGATCAAATATGATTCTTCAGCAGAGGCCTGATTTTGGCAAATAAGGGAATGATGATGGACTAAGTTCTATAGTCAACTTACATGAAAGTGAGGTTTTTGTCAGATACTCTTATCACTTAATCACTTAACTTCCCGTTAGTCGGCGATTTGCTCGAGTGGGCGCCAGTAACGTCTCCATTTGTCCCTGTCGCGTGCTAGTGTAGCCCAATGGCATCTGTTCGCTCCGGGAACATGAAGGGCCTCAAACCGATCGTTCATGATCTTGACGAAGAAGTCTGAGCATCTGGTAGGTGGGCGGCCACGCGGTCAGATACTCAATACAAAAAAAAGTCATTCCAACCTAATTTCAAAATAACGTATCTATACCATGAGACTTGGGAGAAAATGCAGAAAGTATCTGACGGCCGCGTGGCCGTCAGATACTCAATACAAAAAAAAGTCATTCTAACCTAATTTCAAAATAACGTATCTATACCATGAGACTTGGGAGACAGCAGATAGGGCTGGAGTGCATAATTAGCATGCAGAAGTCCTAGGTTCAAGTTCAAGCACTGAGAGTGACTCCCAAGCACCAGGCTGCTGGTAGCCTCTAAGCACCACTGTGCATGGCTTCCAAAACTTAAAAAAGAACAAGCAAAAACAAAAAAACACTTTTAATTTTATATTTAGACTAAAGGAGTAGTTGCTATGTGTAATCAGTAGTGATTATGTGTAATTTAAAAGTTTTAATTGTAGGAGCTACAAAGATAGTATAATGGGCAGGCACTTGCCTTGCATGTGGCCGACTTGGGTTTGATCCCCAGCATCCCATATGGTCTCCTGAGTGTAGTTCCAGGATTGATTTCTGAGTGCATAATTAAGAGTAACCCCTGAGCATCTCAGGGTGTAGCTGCAGAAAACAACACAAAATAAAATTGTAATTGTAGAATTTTAAATGGGAAGGCATCTATTTGTCCATCATGGTTAAATGCTATACACTGTTACAAGGCTCGGACTTAACTCTTGTTTCCTAACTGTTTTGTAACATCCACCAGGAAATTGCTCATATTTTACATTTCTCTTTCCAATTTCCAACTTTGGTGTCTAATGATTAAAATATAATACTAGGCCTCACTTTTAGAACTTATGCTTCAGTATGTCTGAGATAAATACAGGAATCTGTATTTTAATAAGCCGCTAAAGACAGTTGTGATGCAGATTTTCTGCAAAGGAAAATTTGGAGGAAATTAGTGTTTTTATTCAGTCTGGGCAATAAATTGTAAGTACCAGAAAGAAGTTACATTACCAGTAACCAGTAATGCTTCCCTCTAATTGTCAGAGCAGCATGAGCTTCATTTTAGTCAGATGTGATGATGTAAGGAGTTGTGGTACACAAAATCAGGCTCCAGCAGGCATATCTGTTTTTATCTGGGAAGAGTACCAGGCTTCCTTAAATTCCATATTCATTTAGTATCCCTCTCTTTCAACTCAAGAGAAACAACATTGTTCTTTAAACTAACCTGTTAACCTATAGTTGGATGATGAATTTTTTTTTCATATGCTTACTGGCTATTTTTATATCATCTTTGAATATGTCATCTTTGTTTTTGGCTTGTTTGAACCTGAAGAATGCTCTATGTATCTTTCATATCAGCCCTTTGACATATTCTGTGTATTTGTTCCAGACAGTGGAATGTCTTTTTATTTTAGGTCCCATTTCTTTCACGGTGCAGAAGCCTTTTAGTTGAATGCAGTCTTATCTATTTGTTTTTGCTTTTGTTTTTATGGTTGAAGATCACACAGAATCAGTATTTTGAGGAGTATGGCCTATGTTTTCCTCTGTGTATTTTATGGAAGCAGGCTTGCTGTCAAAGACTTTAATCCTTTTTGAATTAACCTTTGTGTTTGATATGAAATAGGAATCCAGTTCTTTCTTTCTTTTGCATCCAATTTTTCCAGCACCAATTTCTAAAGGCTTTTCTTTCTTTTTTAAAAATTTTTATTTAGTGATACACGATAGCACAGTGGTAGGGAGTTTGCCTTGCACGCAGCCAACATGGCCGACCCGAGTTCGATTCCTCCGCCCCTCTCGGAGAGCCCGGCAAGCTACTGAGAGTATCTCGCCCGCACAGCAGAGCCTGGCAAGCTCCCCATGACGTATCCGATATGCCAATCACAGTAACAACAAAGTCTCCAATGGAGACGTTACTGGGCCCACTCGAACAAATCGATGATCAACGGGAGGGCCTTTACTTTACTTACTTACACCATGAGGTACAATTTTTATTTAGTGAAACACCATGAGGTAAAAATTTTTGTGCTTGGGTTTCAGTTATACAATGATCACTGAAAGTAGACGATAGAACAAACATGATTGCCACTTAAAGAGGTTTTTCTTGCTCCACTTCATGCATTCATCCCCTTTGTAGTAAACTAACTGCCATACATATGTCTGAGGGCTTATCTGAACTCTTGATCCTATTCCATTGATCAGAGAGCTCTGTCCTTGTATAGGGTCCAGGAGTGCAATTCCTGTGGGGTTTTTTTTTTTTTTTCAGAATTGGTTTGGCTATTCTGGGAGTTTTATGGTTCCATGTGAATTTTAGAAGTACTTGTTCTATTTCCTTAAAAATACTATGAATTTTGATGGGGATTGTTTTTGCAGTCTGAATTCTTTTAGGCAAAACAGTCATTTTTACAATGTTAAATCTTCCAGTACTTAAGTACATTTCCTTGTCATTTCTTTCTGATTTATAATTTTAGCTGAATAGGGCTTTCACCTCCTTTGTTAATCAATTCTGAGATATTTGACCTTTTTTTTAAATGGTTATATGTGATATAGTTTAAAAATATTCTCTCATCTGCATCATGGTTTATATATAAGGCTGTTGAATTTCTGTATTTTAATTTTTTAACCTGATACTTCATATTCATTTTTTATTTTTTTAACAATATAAGTATATTGTTTGGGGAGTCTTTTAGTGGAGTGTTTAGAGTTTTCTAAAAACAATATCATGTCATCTGCAAATAATGATAGTTTACTTCTTTACCATTTTGAATTATTTTGATTTCTCCTTGCTTAATAGCTGTGGGAAGAATTTCTATGTTGAATAGTAGTAGTGAAAGAGGACATCCTTACAAGTCAACAGAGTTTGATTTGGGGATAAAGGTGATTAACTGGTTGGGAAAGAGACCCCAGAGAAGAAGTTAAAGATAGGAATGGGAGTACCTCGAGAGCATTGTGAATGGTGTAACCCAATAAATCTTAGCTCCCTAAGACCAGGGAGAAACGACAAACCAATGTTATCCTACAAATCCCCATTTTGGGGGGCTTTTTATCATAAAAGAATCTTAAAATCTTATTGATTGCTGGCTGGAGCAATAGCACAGTGGGTGGGGCACTTACTGTTCAATCCCCAGCTTCCCTTATAGTCCTTGAAACCCACCAGGAGTGATCCCAGAGCTCAGAGCCAGGAGTAAACCCTGAGCACTGTAGTGTGTGGTCGAAAAACCACAAGAAAAATTAAAAAACCAGTCTTGTTGAATGCTTTCTCTGCATCTATGGAGATGAGTATTTGGGTTTATTTTGTTTTGTTTGGGGGCCACACCCAGTGGATTAATGTAGTGTATCTCATTAATTGATCTGCTATAATGAATGCTGCATATAATTCATTTGCTTATAATGAATGTTTGTATATAAATAGTCTATATTCCTGGGATGAATCCCATTTGATTGTGGTGTTTTGTGTGTTTATTACAATTATATTTTCTAGGAATTGATTGAGGATCTTTGCATCCATGTTCATCAGGGATATTGTTTTGAAATTTTCTAGTACTTTGGGGGGGGTGCTGGAGCGATAGCATAGTAGGTTGGGCATTTGCCTTGCACGCAGCTGACCCAGGTTCAATTCCTTCACCCCTCTAGGAGAGCCCAGCAAGCTACCAAGAGTATCTTGCCTACACGGCAAAGCCTGGCAAGCTACCTGTGACGTACTTGATATGCCAAAAACAATAACAAGTCTCATAATTTGTTGTGAGATGTTAACTGGTGCCTGCTCTAGCAAATCGATGAACAGTGGGAGGACAGTGCTACAGTGCTAGTAATTTTTTAGTAATATCTCTGTCAACTTTTGGTATCTAGGCAATTCTAGTCTGCTAAAAAACTAGAAACTAGAGGATTAATTCCTGTTTCTTTTCACTTCCTGGAATAACTTGTGGAAGATGGAAGTAGGTCTTTGGAAGCTTAGAAAAACTTCTATGATTCCATCTGACCATGGGATTTTATTCTCGGGGAGAATAAGTTAGTATTTAATGTACTAAATCTCAACTCATGCATCTTCATTAATATTCCACGTTAATGCATTTTGATGTTTTCCTTTTCTCTTTTTAAGATTACAATTCCTAGACCTTCTGCAGCATCTACACAGTCAACTTCTGGAAGCTTCCACTATGGTCAGCTGCTGCCAGAGAAGAAAGATCTTCAGCCCATGGAGCCAACTGTTGAACTTTACTCTCCAAGGGAGAACTTTTCTGGCATGGTGGGGACGGAGGGTGAGCCTCCTAGCGCAGGAAGCAGAACAGACTTGGGAGTTCAGATAGATCATATTGGTCATGATGTGTTACCCAATATTAGAGAGAGTGACAAATGCCAAGACCCCAGATCAAAAGACCTTCTTGACCATAACAAACTGGCTATGAAGGAATTTGAGAATCTCCCTAGGGAGACTGAAGAGAAAAGCATTCTCCTAGGGTCAGAGAATGAAGATGAGAAATTAAGTAAAGGGCAACAATGTATTGAAATTTCCTCCCTCCCAGGAGATTTGGTAACTCTGGAAAGGGATCGCTCAGCTACTAGTGAACCTCTTGATGCGACAAAAACACAAACTTTTAGTGTGGTGCCAAATCAAGATAAAAATCATGAGATAATGAAACTTCTGGCAGTTGAAACTTCAGAAGTTTCTCCACGACTCACTGACTCACATGGTGAAGGCCAGGTTGCAGCAATACAAAAAAGCAAAATTTCTAAGGATGAAGAGAGCAAGAGTGAAGACTTGCCAGGTTATCAAGGAGATCTATCTACTTTTTTGCACCAAGAGGGTAAGAAAGAGAAAGTTGCTCCTACAAATGGAGAATTATTTCATTGTGTTTCTGAGAGTGAACATTGTTCCCCATCCAGAAAAGATATGGTTAGGTCATCCCTTGCAACTAGACACAGCCGAATTCCTGTTTTAGCACAAGAGATAGACTCAACTTTTGAATCATCCTCTCCAGGCTCTGCAAAAGAAAAGCTTCTCCAAAAGAAAGCCTATCAGCCAGATCTAGTCAAGCTACTGGTGGAAAAAAGGCAACTCAAGTCTTTTCTTGGGGATTTCTCAAGTGCCTCTGATAAATTGCTAGAGGAGAGACTAGCCACTGTTCCTGCTTCCTTTTCTGAGGAAGAAGTCCTCACTCCCTTTTCAAGACTGGCTGTAGACTCACACCTGAGCAGGTCAGCTGAAGAAAACTTTCTGTCACCCATCATCTCCCAGTCCAGAAAGAGCAAAATCCCAAGGCCAGTTTCATGGGTTAACACAGAGCAAGTTAATAGCTCAACTTCATCTCAGTTCTTGCCTCGACCACCACCAGGGAAGCCACCCACCAGGCCTGGAGTAGAAGCCAGGTAAATCTCTCTGCTCTCCATTTCAAGTATGAGCATTCTTTCTGTCTGCTTGGTTATAATATGTGCGTGATATTATCTCTTTGTTGCCTGCCTCTGATCATCTACTCCCCTTCCTTGATTTTCCCTAGCCACAGATAGTGGAAACCCCTAATTTCCTCAATTATAGCATTTTGTAAAGCATTTTGCTCTGTGGTTTGAAAGGAAGAAATAGGGTAGGGTTTCTAGCAGTGCTTATCAACATAAGTTAAATCTTCCCAATCCATGTTAACTAGATACTTAGCAGTTTTCTAGCTTTGTTAATCAGAATTTCAATATAAAAGTATAATGACAGGGACCTGAGCAATAGTACAGTGGGTAGAGGGTTTGCCTTGCACGTGACCAACCTGGGTTCAATCCCCTGCTTCCCATATGATCCCCTGAGCACTGCCAGGAGTAATTCCTGAGTGCAGAGCCAGGAGTAACCCCTGAGCATTGCTCGGTGTGACCCAAAAAGCAAAGACAAAAATAAATAAAAGTATAACATCAAATATTATATTCCAGTGAAGAATACTATATCCATAATTGGATTAATGGGCCCTGATAATAATGCCATATATGTTTATGATGAATTTAAAAGATCATATTGATATAGGCTATCAATTATATGGACATATGATATATATAGCCATACATAATAAATATATTTTAATAATTACCATTTGGTAGCCCGGCAAGCTACCGAGAGTATTCGATATGCCAGACACAGTAACAACAAAGTCTCCAATGGAGGCGTTACTGGGCACACTCGAGCAAATCGACGATCAACGGGAGGGCCTTTACCTTTACCTTATTATTATTTAAATATTCAAGCATGATCATGTTTTGTAGAAAAGGAACATTTGAGGAGATGACTTTTTTTTTTTTTTTGCTTTGCTTTTTGGGTCACACCTGGCGATGCACAGGGATTACTCCTGGCTCTGCACTCAGGAATTACCCCTGGCGGTGCTCAGGGGACCGTATGGGATGCTGGGAATCAAACCTGGGTCAGCTGCGTGCAAGGCAAACGCCCTACCCGCTGTGCTATTGCTCTAGCCCCAAGAGTGCTTTACTTTAAGCCATTGGACTAGAACGTTCTAAAGCTTTGGAGAAGGAAGGCAAAAAGGTCGGAGATTGATTGTAGTGTCAGAGAACCCAAAGGTCTCATGCATGGTATGGGTCTCATGTATGGTATGAGCCTCTACCACAGAGTCACAATTTTGGCCCTTAAAAGGATGGTCTTGTGATGGGGGGGAAAAAAGTGAAAATAAAAGTATACTAGTGTCAAAGATACAGTAAGTCTCTTGCCTTGCACGCAGGTTAAGGCTCTTGCCTTGCACGCAGCTGATCTTAGTTCTCTTTCTGAGGCACCTCATATTATTATTCCCTGAGTGCAGAGCCAGAAGTTTCCCCCTGAACACTCTAGATATGGCCCAAACTGATCAAAATGTATTTACAAGAAAACTATAGCCTATTTCAGATAATGCAGAAATTGGTCTCCATCTGTTACAAGGATTTTTGGAATATGTTAAAGTGAGATTTTAGGGCCTGGAGAGATAGTTTAGTGGGTAAAGCATTTACCTTAAATGCAGCCTCCTGTGTTCATATGGCCCCATATGGTTCCCAAGCACTGCCAGGAATAACCCTGGAGCACCATTGGGTGTGGCCAAAAAATAAAAAAGCTGAGATTGTATCTGTATCATAACCCAGTAGAACTTGCTGCTTTTAATTAAAATAAGATTAGTTTAGACTTTCTTTAGGGCTTCAAGTTCAAGGATAACTAAAAATTGGATTTGAAATCTGGTCTAATAGGACTAGACTTCTACAGGAAGAATGATAATAAATGGCAGTCACTTAGATAAACTGCTGTTTATTATCATTTTTAAAGAGGTGATTCCATATCACCATCCTCTATCTTTCTGCTTGCTTCTATGCTTTCATAGATATGGTATGCCAGTGGCCTGAACTGCTTCGGAATGTAAATAAATCTTTTGCGTGTGGTGGTGGTGGATTTTGGGACAACACCCAGTGGTGTTCAGGGACTTTACCTGTCTCCAACTAAAGTTTTTTAACTAAAAAAAAATTTTTTTTTTGCTTTTTGGGTCTCACCCAGCGATGCACAGGGGTTACTCCTGGTTCATGCACTCAGGAATTACTCCTGGCGGTGCTCAGGGGACCATATGGGATGCTGGGAATCAAACCCGGGTCAGGCCGCGTGCAAGGCAAACGCCCTACCTGCTGTGCTATCACTCCAGCCCCTAACTAAAAGATTTTAACTGAAAATACCACATCAGTACTGAGGGGACCATGTGGTACTGGGGAGTGAAATAAGGTCAGCCACATGCAAGAGAAGCTTTACCCTTTACTGTCTCTGGTTCAGCATATAAATCTTTTTTTTTTCACTTCAGTTTTTTTAATTGAGTCACCGTGAGATACATAGTTACAAAGCTGTTCATGATGAGGTTTCAGTCATACAATGATCCAACACCCGTCCCTCCACCATGTACATTTCCCACCACCAATGGCCCCAGTTTCTCTCCCAACATCCCACCCCCAGCCTGCCTTTATGATAGGCTCTCCTTCCTTCTCTCTCTCATTTCTCTCTTTTCTCTCTCTCTCTCTCTCTCTCTCTCTCTCTCTCTCTCTCTCTCTCTCTCTCTCTCTCTCTCTCGTCTCTTTCTCCTCCCCCCCACCCCTCTCTCTCCCTCCCTCACCTTCTGGAAACATATAAACATATAAATCTTAATTGTCATTTGTTACTTAATTTTCTTGTGTCCCCTAAAAAGTAATACTTGAACCAGGCCAAGCATGATATAGATACTGTAGAGCTGACCAGCCGGGACTTATCAGATCTTAGAACTTACCTACTTAGGTCCTAAAATTAGAAGCATGTTTCTGCCCTCAGAGGAAGGGAACATATGAGTACTTCTGAATGTCAGTGCTTCTGAATGGCAGGCATTAACTGAAGACTTGATTCACCACACTTAGCTGCTCAGTAAAATTCTGAAATATTCCCAGTAAAAGATGGAAGAGGTTGGCCCAGGTCTTACAGCTGCTGCGTGAACAAAGTAATTTCTCTGTTTCCTTTTTTGATTCAGAATATATATATATATATATATATATCATATATATGTTATATATATGATATATATCACTATATATATAGTGATTTGCAACATTGTGACTTTCTAGAGGCTCTTGAAATAAATTGAAAATAATTCTTCTCTATTCTTTTAAGACTCCGCAGATATAAAGTCCTAGGAAGTAGCAATTCTGACTCAGATCTTTTTTCACGCCTGGCCCAAATTCTTCAAAATGGCTCTCAGAAACCTCAGTGCAAAAGTCCAGGATCCCCTCACAATCCAAAAACACCACCCAAGAGTCCAGTTGTCCCTCGCAGGAGTCCCAGTGCCTCTCCTCGAAGCTCTTCTTTGCCTCGTACATCTAGTTCCTCGCCATCCAGGGCTGGACGGCCCCACCATGACCAGAGGAGTTCATCCCCACATCTGGGGAGAAGCAAGTCACCCCCCAGCCACTCAGGATCTTCCTCTTCTAGGAGGTCCTGCCAACAGGAGCATTGCAAACCCAACAAGAATGGTCTGAAGGGAACTGGCAGCCTCCACCACCATTCAGCCAGCACTAAAGCCCCCCCAGGGAAGAGTAAGTCAGCCAGTAAACTCAGCAGATAGGGGCTGGGCTGCATCTTTGTGAAAAGTGTGAGATCTTCCTCCTAAACCCGATGCATGTGTGTCCCTGTACTGTCTATTTAAAAAATCAGTGTTGATCTTCTCTTGCAAAAGAAGGTAACATGATAAATTATTCATAAAAAGACATAAATATATGATAAGGAATTTCTTAAGGCAGACAGCAAGCAGAAAACAGAATCAATGCCTTTGCATAGGAAGGAGCAACCTAACAAAATCCAAGGAGGGAAACTCATTAAATGAACTTTCATTTTCAGCTGCCTTTTAAACAGGAGGTGAAGGTAGGAGGTAGAATGGAAGTTTAAAGGGTTTTGCCACTTTTTAAAGGGTCTACTCAAAGTTGTTATAGCACAAGTAAAACTTGTTTTAATATTTTCTTTCAGAACTTCCCAACCTTAGAGAGTAAGTTAAGTATTATTTTTATATTAGAGTATGTAAGAAGTCTATTCTTGAAGAGCCAGTTATCATACAGATTTGACTTCTGTTGTGTATCTGGCATATCAAGAATTCACACCTTTACTTAGTCTCATTCTTAGTAAAATCCCTGGATTTCACATTTATCATTTAGTATTTTTCACCTGACCTGGCTTCTTTTTAACAGTACACTCTAATGTGTTTTCAGCAGCATATGCTGAGAATTGTTTTAGTCCCCTAATATTTCCTTTGGAGCAAAGTACTTTAATGTATTATTTTGTGAAAAGTAACTGATGAAATTTAAGAAAAGGAAGCTTAGGTAAATCTCAATAGAGCTACTTTGCAGCCTTTAGTGCTAAATTTAGGGAGAGAGGATAGTGTATGGTAATCCCTTCCAGAGAGAAGAATCTTCTCCCCCCAAGTTTCCTCCTTGTGGAAAGAAAAACCGACCAGATTAGACCTCTGCTTCCTCAATCTTTTAGGTATCAACTATTTGTAATATCAGCCTCCAAGATAATACCAGGGAAGTACAATGCTATGGAATGTGACTTTGCTTTTAGAGATTTAGGGAAAGAAATTAGGAATGTTGTTGAGGTTTATAACCCTCAAACTTTATATTTTATACATTTAGCCAATAAGGAATGAGTATCTGGGAAAATAAATTTAGACCCAATATTTATCTTTAAATGTTTTGTTAGCTGCTTTTCCTGTGCTTTGATTTGATATTTTGGCTTCTTGACCTGATTTCCAAGTAATCTCAATTTAGAAAGCTTGAGAAGGATCATACTTGTTCTAATCTCACTCATGATAGCAGAGATCAGGTAAAATTAAGTCATACTAGACTTTTAAAATGGGTTATTTTTTATTTTGTAGGTGTTTTGTGTTGTAAATACTTTATTAAGGTCAGATAAATTGGTCTGCTTGCTGTTGAAATTTGCCTTCTAGCAAACATCTGTACTTTCTCTTTGACCTTGTGTTTGCTGCCAAACCTAGTATGGTTGAATTGGGGGCGGGGGGAGAAAGAAATATATTTCCTCACCAAGTGAACATACTCAAATGCTGCATCAATGCTGCCCTGAAGCTGCACTGAACTTAATCCTGTTCTCTTTATCTGTGTCGAGCTTTTTAAAAACAAAACTCAAAACACTATTGAGGCATCTATGGTCTCCCATAATAAATGTAGCATAATGTGGAATTTTAATTTCTCTTCACTTTCAGGCACTACAGAGGAATGCAATAGATGAGAAATATTTGCTGTTTAACTAAAGCAATTGTAATATTGGAAGACCAATTCTTCTGTATTATATTGTATAATAGTTGCTATAACACTACTTGCATGTATTTATGATAAATTATATAAATATTTATAAATATATATAGAAACATATGCATATATACTCATTCTTTCTCATCCTCCATTTGTAATTTCCAGACCACAGATGGATGAAATCCTTTTTTATTGTGTGCCTCGCGTACACTTGGGCCTTGCCTATCTTCATTTTCTGAAAAATACCTTCTTGGCATGTGAACCTCAAATTCTTTTTGCCTTCCCTGTGTATAATGCAAGGATGGCAATCTTTAACAAGCCAAGATAGATTTAGTTTTTATTTTAAAAAGATTTTAATGGGGGTGGGGGGCGGGAGTTACTGGGACATAATGCTTGTAATTCTGGTTCAGATATTTGTCATATTGATCACATAATTCCATCTTTATGGTTAGAGTGGATAAACAGATGATAATTATGGGTCTCACACAAATTGAATTTTTTTCTTTTTGGGTCACACCTGGCGATGCACAGGGGTTACTCCTGGTGGTGCTCAGGGGACCATATGGGATGCTGGGAATCGAACCCGGGTCGGCCGCGTGCAAGGCAAATGCCCTACCCGCTGTGCTATCTCTCCAGCCCCCACAAATTGTTTTTTTTTTTAAACTTAAAATTTACTTTCCTTTTTCCACCTCACTTTGAGGGGTGGGAGAGTAATTTATAATTAAGGAATTATCTTCTTTTTCTCTATTAACTAAATTGTGCTCTAAAAGTAGCTAACTTCAAATTCTAGTCAGAAATGTGCTTTATTTGTTCCCAATTGGAAAAGCTGATGAGGCCTCAATTGAGATTTGAGTGTTGGTTTGTTCCTTCTTAGCATTTCTCTGCTAAAGCAGTCACATCTGACAGTGATGGCGCAAGTAAATGTTTTTTCCCTTTCTTGGTTACTTACATTTTTCTCTTAACCTTTTTCACTGTGTTTACCACCTTTTCTAAATGGGACTGACGAACTCATTGTGATTCAGAGAGAAAGTGTCCTTGTGTGCAAATATTTTATTCTGCATGCGAAGGAATGAAATAACCAAAGATGTTTCTGCTACTGATACTTTTGAAGAAAACTTATTATACCTAATGCATCAATAAGGCCACTTAAAATTGATGTCTTTACAGAGTTATTTCATGGTTTTTATTTAAAAAGTTTATGTTTTAGATATTAAATATTGTTTGCTCAGGCTATAAAATTTGGCAGGCAATCCTGGGCAAAACTCTTGGCACAAAAATTGTTGTTTTTCTTTTATTTTAAAGTAAAATAGAAAGTTGGTTGGTTTTTAAATTTTAATTTTACTTAATTTTCTTTATTGATGATATATTTCAGATTTTTGTGACGAATATAGATCATTCAAGTAATTTTAAACCAGTTGGCTATTCCACCTAAGCTAGGAACATAGCCGTTAGTTAAAGTCAAGCCAAACTTACACTAAAATTAAAAATATTTTTTGAAAAACAGGCACCTCCTGATTTCTCCTGTCACAACAAAATGGTTGGTTACTGGGTCACACTTGTCCTTGCCTTCTCTTACTTGGTTTCTGAAATTACTTGGATGGAGCAGGTGATAGATTTAGCAATAACTCGGTCCCTTTAGATAGCATTCTTCCTGAATTATGCTGCCAAATCTCCAAGGTCAAAATACTAAAATTCCACATAGTACTTTTTTGCACAGCTTAAAGACATTTAATATATGGTGAGCAAAGGAAGAAAAATGGCTGGTATCAAATTTAACCTAAAAGTACAGATTACTTCTTTAAATGATAAATCTTAGGCAGGTATTCCCATTCTCAACTTTAGTATGCACGCTGGCCTTGCTGAAGATGGTCTAGTTAACATTTACTGTTTCTGAAGTTCCATGTTGTGAAGTGAATGAATGTTTCTGGGGAAAGTTGCCACGTTAATTAAGTCAAAGTAGAAAAATGGTAATTGTGACTCACTGTTGTCATTTATCTATATTATTATTATTTTTTAATCTCATGCTTACTAATTCAGATACTGTACAATATCTCTGGATAACTCCTAGCCACTGGGAACTCAAGCTTCTTCAGTAATCATCAGAGATTCCTTCAAGGCCACATATTTTGATGCAAATGTTTCTATGGTTGCATTCAATCAAGAAAAAAAAAGTATATATTGTTTGCTGCATGTTTTATAAACCCAGCCACAGTTAAAACGATAGTTTTCTATACTTTGAATCAGAAACAGATGCTTTTCCCCAAAAGCAAAGGAGTCTGTTCTAGGAACTATAATTCTAAACTATTATTGGAGTTGATGATAGGAAAACAGGATGTAAAGTCAGAGATTAGTGGTTTTTTTTTTTTTTTTTCCCCTTTATTTTATTTTATTTTTTTTAAAGTTGTAGATTTACAATTTTTTGTGCTTTGGTTTCAATTATACAATGATCAGATACCCATCCCTCCACCAGTGCCCATTTTCCACCACCATGGATAATATCCCTCCCACCCCCATCCCCCCATCCCCCCGTCTCTGTGGCAGGGCAATCCCCTGTGTTCTCTCTCTCCTTTTGGGTGTTGTGGTCTGCAAAAGAGGCATTGAGTGGCAAACATGTTCAGTCCATAGTCTACTTTCGACATGCATCTCCCCTCCTGGGAGGATCCTCCAAACATCCTTTATTTGGTGCTCCCTTCTCTATCTGAATAGCCCTTTCCTCTAGGATACCCGGCTGGCCTCTAAGTTATGGAGTAATCCTCCTGGTGCTGATCTCAGCTATTCTTGGGTAAGAGATTAGTGGTTTTAAGGAAAAAAACTGCATCATACTCTGGGTATTTGTAGATCAAAGTTCACACATTAACTTACATGTAAATGATTCCTTTAACATCTAGCAAACATAACATGCTAGGGAAATTTTTCTTCAATCATATTTATATATTTTGTAATTACTTTGTTTTCACTCTTTAGTTTGCCCACTTCCATTTATGTACATTTACTACTGATGTGTTTGGACTTGGGACTTAGCGTACAGGGAGAAAAAATTTACCACCTGTTACACGAGGAGGTAGAACGGTGGAACAGCTGCATTACATTACTTTGAGTTTAATTTTGTAGATAATTTGCAAGATATTTACTTATCGGTATTTTAATACAAAAAGTATTATAAGATCAGGATACATAACCACTACCATAATTCTCACATCATTAAATACCCAAGTTCAGAAACCACAGTTGTGTATTTAGAACTTGGGAAAGTAAAAAGGCTGGGCCTGGAATCTTATGGAAGAGAAGTTCAGGTGATTTGTTTTTGACACCCCAGTTCACAGTAGAACTCTGGTCCTACTGTATATCATTCATCCTCAAGGATTTGGGAGAAGTATGAAAACTATATATTCTCAATATTGTGTCCATCCCTCTAGAGAAATTTAACCAAGTCTTGGAAGCCTGCAGAATTGGTTGCCTACCTTTCCTAGCAGTAGAATTACTGGCTCATAGGGAATACCTATAGTTGTTAGGTAATTCCAGAACATGGGACAATGATTCCTACCTATTCATTTTAAGAGAAATTTGTATGTTACATACCATAATCCTTGAAAAATCTCTGGCTGGACATGGAATTATAGTGAAGTCTTGGCCCATCAATATTTTATAGTTCAGTTGTGCTTGTCTTCTCTGACTTTTAAAGTATAAGCTTGATATTTAATTATGTCCTTTGATCAACTTAGATCAGAAAATTAAACTATTTGATAAGATTACCTTTATATACTGCTTGAAGACACTGAATAGCAAAGATAGTAACATTTATTCAGCAATGGTTTTAATGATTTCAATATTTTCTTAGACTTCGTTGGATCCTTAGACTTAAAGAAGGAGAAAAGAAGTGAAACACTTTTTGTGAAATGGACAGGGTCTTCCTCTTAATTGAAAATGACAGCATGTATAGCTATAGTAGCTCTGTGATTCTGACATTTCTCTCAGATATTCCATGCCAGGGCTTCTGGGTTCCTTGACCTATAGAAAAAGACTTAGCATGTTTGAGCCCATGTGACTATAAGTCTTGTTGATGACACAGTTTTACACACTACAGAAAGAAGTCTTATCTCTTCAGTAATTTAATGTTTCATATTGTAAATATATGAAACGTCACTGCCTGGTTAAAAACATTGAGTTTTAATATAAATTTACCAAAATACGTTTCCCCTCCTTAAAACCTATACAGTTTAAATTCTTAAATATTTATACACCATATCTGGAGTCTAGGTGTTCTTTATGTATCAATGGGATTAGATCATGAATATAATTGGTTTTAGAGAACTACAGAGAAAGGGACCGTGGGACCAAGAAAAGGGGACTGAAGAGCAGCCCTTGGGTCTTTTTCAAAGCAATTATTTTTTTAAACCCTTCATCAGTGTTTTTTTCACTAAGTTAAAAAGAATTCAGAAATATAAAGGAGACGAAAGAAATTATCACAATGGCAACAGGGTCCTGAAATTGGAAGAGCTAAATAAAGTGACAGTTAAGATTGATTTCTGGCTTGAGTCCCCTCACTTCACCCATGTACACAGTTTCTAGTGCCCCTCCTGACATTTTTTTTTCTAAAAGATCCAGTGTCAGCCGATTTCATTGAGCCATTTACTTACAAATCTAATGTTTGGGAAAAGAGGGAGCTGGGTAAGCATCTGGTTTTGAATTAGATGTAAACCTTTTGTTTGGGAGCCCACTTCTGTTTTTGCACTTTGAGGTCATTCCTGGTGTTCTTGGGGGACATGCAGTGCGGGAATGAACCTGCTGAACCTGCTGCTCCCACATGCAAAGCATGCACTCCAACCTTTCGAGCCATCTCCCTGACTCTGGATATAAATCTTCAAAGTTAGGAACTAATGGCAGCTGTTTTAAGATTGAACTGCAATGCAGAATTATTATCTCATTAAGACCAATATTTTAATAACTCTACATTTCTTCTACATTTCTTTTCATGAAATTAAAATGATAAATTGCTCTTTTAAATACCTCTAAAGGCATTATATTGTTATTTTTCTTTCCAAGCAGCCCCTCGTTTTGCTTTTGCTCAGGCAGCAAATGACAGAGTATTGGCAGAAACATGGAGTGCTGTGTATAGGCCATCTGTACATAGAAGTGTAATTATTTATTTAATTTTCCCATTTGTATCATATTAAAGCTTTGTACAGTGTTTTAAGTTGTGTTTTAAAATTATTTTGTATTTTATTTTTATAATCTAGTAATAAAATATTCATTCCGCATGCAAACTCTAGTTCTATTTGTGTGATGGTTTGAATTTCGAGAGTGGATATTTTTTCAAATTATTTAATGCGCCAAAGGTTCCAAGGTTAACAGAGAGCAGAAAGTGTTAAAATAAATGCAGAGCTACATGCAGAAGTGACCTGAAAAGGAAGTCCTGAACTGAACATGAACTCAGGTGTGCAGAATTAAAATCATAATTAAAATCAGGGCTCAGGGGCTGGAGCAATACAGCTGTTAGGGCATTTGCCTTGCATGCAGCCAACCCGGGTTCAATACTCAGTGTCCCATATGGTCCACCTGCACCTCCAAGAGTGATTCCTGGGTGCAGAGCCAGGACTAACCCCTGAACATTGCTGGGTGTGACCCAAAAAAGCAAAAAAATAAATAAACATTAAAATAATATCAGGATTCAAGGACCAGAGGCAATCCCCTGTATAATAAAATTTAAAGTATTGAAAGCTCTCTCTGCAGTCCATCATTTATCTCTGACTGGAGGTACTTTTTCTCCATAGGTATTTCCTATTGGTATTACATAGGTATTACATTAGAGCACGAATGATTTTTACTCCCCGCCTCTTCTGCACCTGCAACTTTACTTGCAGGAGGTATTCCAGGGAGCACTGCCTCATCCCACCTGGTCTGAGTGTCAGTGCCATCTGTTACTCTCTGACAAACTTACCTTTGATTCTTCTCAGGGAGTACCAACGTCCAAGAGCTGAGTCTCGTACTTTTCAGCTCCCAGAAACCCATCCTGAATTTGCCTGTTCACATTAACATTTCCACTGCCAGGACATTTAAATATTAGCCTGATGTGATCCCATCAGTGAAAAGGAGACAAAGATAAGACAAAGGAGACGAGCGAGGCGGGTGCAGGGTGGGCTTGGGGTGTGGGTGGTGATGATAAACTCCCCGGGTGGAGATAGTACAGCTGGTAAGGCACACCCTAACGCGCGGCCGACCCCCTCACCCACTCCAGGAGTGATCCCTTAGTTCAGAGCCAGGAATCGGCCCCGAGCATCGTTGGGTGTACTTCCCCGCCCGAAACACCGCAAACTCCCTGCATAAGCGGTCGGACAAGTGTGGGAAAGCCTGAGGGGACTAAAACTCTGAAAGACGAGCACAAAAGACATGAGATTGATTTTATAGTTAGTTTCTTTAGGGTTGAGACTTGGCTCTAGAAAGCAAGACAAGCTCGTGAAGGGAAACAATGTACAAATCAAGTGCCCGCAGGTAGCTCGCTTCGCAGACCGGATCCCGCGTTACCGTCCGGTCGCTCTCCCGAGGTCTCCAGACGCCGACCCCGCTCACTCCCCGACTTCCGGGCGGCCGGCCGGCCGAGACCTCGCCGAAGGCTGTGAGGGCACACTGGGGCTGCTCTCCGCTGACCACCGGACCGCTAGCCCTACATATTTCAGGAACTTGGACGCAAAGCCGAAGCCGCGCCTCAGCCCGGAAGCCCCGCCCCATCTCGCCCCGCCCCGCCCTCAGCCCCGCCCCCAACGGTCGCTCTAGGGGGCCGGCCCCGCCCCTCCCAGGCCGCCGGGTGCGCGCCGGCGCCTGCGCAGTGACCTCCGAGCGCCGCGACGGGAATGGCGGCCGTTTTGGAGTCGCTGCTGCGAGAGGAGGTCTCGGTCGCAGCCGCCGTGCGCTGGATCGCGCGCAGCTTCCAGAGTTCTGAGGTAACAGCGCCGACACGCCCCCAGGCCTGGCCCCGATTTTCTTCCCGCTGGAGTTGGGCCCCTCCAGGCTCCTTCCTGGCGGGCGTTCGACTCCCAGCCCGGGTCGAGTGCGCTCCAACTCGGGGCCGCAGCCCGCCTCGGCGCACCCCGCTGACTCTCACCCTCCGGCCTCCTCCCGCAGGATGACCCGGCAGAGGCGGCCGCCCTCCGCTCGCTCCAGCCGCTGCGGAAGGAATTCGTGCCGTTCCTGCTGAACTTCCTGAGGGAACAGAGCGGCCGCGTCCTTCCGCAGGGCCCCCCAACCCCGGCCAAGGCCCCGGGCTCCTCGGCAGCGCTGCCCGGGAGGCCGGGGGGCCCGGCGCGGGGCGGCCGCGGGGCGCGCAGCCAGCTGTTCCCGCCGATGGAGCCCGCGAGCTCTGCCGAAGCGCCTCTGGCCCGCCGCGGGGGCAGGAGGCGGGGCCCGGGGCCGGCCCGCGAGCGTGGAGGCCGCGGCCCCGGGGGCCCGGAGGAGGGAGCCGGCGCGGAGAGCCTGCCCTGGACCGGGGCCCGGAGGCCGAGGGGCCCGGGCAGCCCCGTCAGCCCCGCGCACCGCGATCCGCCCAACCTCAGCAACCTGGAGGAGTTCCCTCCCGTAGGCTCGGTACCCCCCGGCTCGGCAGGGTGAGAGTCGGCTCGCGCTCAAGAGATTGGGGGCTGGGGGAGGCGCGGCCCTGCCAGAGGAGGCCGTGGGGCCTGGCGCGCGGCGGGGCAGGGCTAGGGGTGGGCGGTGGGGGGGCTGGCGGGGGCGACGCTCCAAGGTAGGAATTTGAGAACAGCCCGTGGCCACTCTCAGCAGGACGAAGCCATCCCGCAGGATCAACCCAACACCGGTGAGCCAAGAGCGGTCTCTCTCCAAACCCAAGACATGCTTCACCTCACCCCCCATCAACTGTGTCCCCAGTTCCCAACCCTCAGTCCTGGACACTAGCCCTTGGGGCCATGGCCTCCCCCCAGGGTGCAGAAGTCTGCAAGAGGAGCGGGAGATGCTCAGGAAAGAGCGGTATGGCCTTCCGCTCTCAGCGGCGTCAGCTTCCACCCTGTGGGGAATCTGCAGGGCTGTTCCCTGAGATTGATTTGCTCCCCGGGAATCCTGGGCCTCTGCCTTGGGCTGCCTGTTGCCTTCTTGGAGGAACCTGAGGTCGGCTCTGGGGGGAACAGCTGGCAGGGTGCTCATAACCTCTCTCTGTTCCCATAGCTCTAAGCAGTTGCAGCAGTCACCTACCCCCACCTGTCCCACTTCAGAGTTGGGGTCTCCTCTCCCCAACCGGACAGGAAACCTTACAGCTGAACCCGCTGACCCTGCGAGAGTATCTTCCCGCCAGCGCCTGCAGCTGGTAGCCCTGGTCTACTCTAAGTGCATAACAGGTAAGAACCAGAGTGTTGTAGTTGGAGACACCTGTGGTGCCAAAGACTCAGGGAACTGCTGAGGCTTAGAGAGTAGCGTCTTTTGAGTTGTGCCCTGCTGACCCTGAGGAATCTTTTCCTATCCAGAGAACCTGGTACCAAACCTCTTCTTGGAGCTTTTCTTCATCCTTCAGCTGCTTACTGCCCGGAGGATGGTGGGCACCAAGGACAGTGAGCCTGAGCCGAGTCTAGGAGCCTCCGGTCAGTGAGCATGGCTTCCTGGAAGGGGTTGTCTGGAAACGGACTTGACTGAGACTGACAGCTCTTTTCTGTCCCTTCTAGAGTCCCTGGAAAGCCCACTGTTCCAGAATGTCCATGACTGTGTCTTCTTTGCAGTGCAGGTTTTGGAGCATCAGTTTCAGTGAGTTTTCCCAGCGGGGATCTGGGTCTTGTTCTCATTGTGCACTTGCTTTCTAGCCACTTGTGATGAGATGCTTGCTTGCATTTAATGCTAGTTCAGTGGATGTGGACTTTTTTCCCACCTGTCACCTTTAGTTTTGTTTCAAGATATTTTAGCCACTGAAAGAGTTAAAATTGCCCCAAATGGTCTTGATAGCTGACCTTATGGTTTCTGTCTAATGTTCCTGCCCTCTATGGCTCTGTGCTCCATACGTTCTCATTCCCCGACATCCCTTCTGCTACCACCACCTTTTCTGAGTCCTTACCTAACTCCACGCTACAGAGACTATGTGCAGACTGTGTGCATATACCAGCTTCCTGTTTGCAGTTTGCCACATGTCAGTCATGCTTTTGTCCTCGTAGAGTTCTTTCCTACTTGGATAAAGGGACCTTGAAGCTATTAGCTGAAAATGAGCGGCTGCTGTGTTTCTCTCCAGCACTGCAAGGCCGCCTTCGTGCTGCCTATGAGGGCAGTGTTGCTAAGGTAATGATGCGTTTTAACCCAGACCTGACCCTTCCCAGCCTCATAATTCAGGCAGCCCAGCCCAGCCCTCACTGCTCTAGTGCCATGTGGGCTAGCTGGAGGAATACGGGAATGAAGTTTTCATCGACCTTGATTCCTAATGTGACTGCCCTGTTTTAGGTCTCTCTGGCAGTGCCACCTTCTGCTCAGGCTGTCTCCTTCCAGCCAGAAACTGACAACCGTGCCAACTTTTCCAGTGACCGAGCCTTTCATACTTTTAAAAAACAGAGGTGAGAAGGGATGGTAACTTTTGTGGAGGGGATGAAGTAGTGTTTTCTTAGGTAGGGAGCCGATGTTTTCTTTTTTTTTTTTTTTAATGGATTTTTGGGTCACACCAGACGTTGCTCAGGGATTACTCCTGGCTCTGTGCTCAGGCATTACTCCTGGCAGTGCTTGGGGGACCATATGGGATGACAGGGATCGAACCTGGGTTAGCCACATGCAAGGCAAGTGCCCTACCTGCTGTCCTATCACTCTGGCCCCAGCAGCCAATGTTTTCATTAAAAATTGAAATTTGGCAGTAACTTAGTGCCATCAGGGCTTTCTTGCCGACCATCAAAAGTAACTTAACTTCATTCTACTTCATACCTGTCAACTCAAACCACTTGATCAACTTTAGTCAACTTCTCGTAGATAAATGACTTTAGTCTCTGAGTTCTCAAGGAAGAGCAAGCCTGATCTATTTTCACTGCCCTCAGAAGTATACAGTGTGTGCTGTGCTGCTGCTGGGTGCACACTTGTCACTTCACTAGAGGTTTTAGAGGGTGGAAGGACTAGACTGTGGAGAGTCTTGAGCTCAGCTCTACGTCAGGCATCATGCTGTCACCGCTGGAAATAAGACCTGCTGTGCCTCAGTGGATCAGACATTCTTTTTTGTCATAGAGATGTGTTTTATGAGGTGCTGCGAGAATGGGAAGATCGCCATGAGGAACCTGGCTGGGATTTTGAGAAGGGTTTGGGCAGCAGGATCAGGTGGGTGCTTCCACACGTTTCCTTGTCTCTCTTGCTTAAAGCTCTGAGTAGCTTAATGGTACTAACTTTGGAGGATGGCTCCTCCCCACTTGTGTTAGTCAAAATTATTATTTTCTATTCTCATCATATGAGACTCATGCTCATTTTTCAGAAAAAAATTATTTAATTGCTTGAGTTTTGACCTAAGTCACAGGCTAGACTCAACATCCATTTTTCTCTGTCACCTAGTTTGGAAAATTTCAGTAATTTTGCATAACTTACATGACAGGAGTAGAAAAAGAATATCCTCTGGCTAAAGATTTGTCCCCAAAACCTTTCAGTTGGTCATGAGCTCACTGGCTCTCAGTGTAGAATGAAGATTTGAGAATGGACTTTTTTTTCTGTTAAGTATTCAAAGCACCCTAATGCTGAAGAAAGTGTCCCTTTGAACTGGTAGCTTTAACAGCAATCATCACAAATCTGGTAAAGGGCTGAAAGGCCCAAGGATTGATTTGTTATCTGAGATCTTACCCCAATCCTCCCTTCTCTCATTCCATTCCATATTTTTATCTTCAGAGCCATGATGGGTCAGCTCTCTGCAGCCTGCAGCCACAGCCATTTTGTTCGACTTTTCCAAAAACAGCTTCTCCAGGTAGGTAAGAGCCCCATTATTAGGAGGTTTAATCTATAAAGGTAGTAGATATTACAAGCAGCCAAGTTATAGCTGGCACTTTGGGACAGGACAGAAAGGCAGGCACGTCCTGGGGTTGGAGTTTGACCAAGAGCTCTGCTATCTGGTGTGTAGAAGAAGGAGATGTCTGAACCTTGGGCCACAGAGAAGCCAGCTCCCACTCCCATGTCCTGACACCCCTTCTTTCAATAGCCTCTCACTGCCAGGAAGAGCATAGACTTAGGGCTCAGGACAGTGTCAGTCAAATAATAGTTCTGTGATGTTAGACACATGTTGAACACAGTTTCTTTTTCTGTAAAACAGAAATATAAGCCCTGCCTTGAAAAATGTAGCTAAGGCACCTGATGAGTATGTGTTTCATAAATGCACATTTTTTCTTCGTTTGTCAGTCCCTCTAACCAGAAATATAAAGAAAACTACTGGCTTCATTTCTTTCCTCCTCCCCTCTGCTCCAGATGTGTCAGGGTCCAGATGGTACAGGGGGCCCTGTCTTGGGCGAGGCTCCCGATGTGCTAAATATGCTTGGCGCTGACAAGCTGGGGCGGTTGCGGCGTCTCCAGGAAAGACTTGTGGCTCCTCAGAGCAGTGGGGGGCCCTGCCCACCCCCTACCTTCCCAGGCTGCCAAGGCTTCTTCAAGGACTTCATCCTGAGTGCCAGCAGGTAAAGATTGCCTGTGTTTCTCAAGGAGGGAGGCAGAGATCAGAAAAGACTTGCTTCCTGGAACGGAAGTTGTACCCTCACTTGCCTGAAGTAGGACAGGGTTCTCTTTGGGCTCCTTCCAGCTCACACGTGCTGCCTCCATTTCCCTTCTCATTCTTCACTCGCGTAGGCAATCATCCTCCCTTGCCTCCCCTCTTCCCTGCTAAGCCTGTGTCTGGAGGCTTCTATTCCCTCCATTCCTACACTCCTTCCAGCGTCTTTCCCCACTTTGTTAGCTTCCAGTTTAATCAGCATCTCATGGATAGTCTAAGTTTGAAGATCCGGGAGCTCAACAGCCTCGCCTTACCTCAGCCTGAGCCTAGTGATGAAGACGGGGACTCAGACGTGGACTGGCAGGTCAGAAGGCAAAGTACAGTGATGGGAAGGGGTGTTTTCAGGAGACCTGACAGGCCAGAATCTCCATCCCTTGATCACCTCACTCTAGGGTGAACGAAGACAATTTGCTGTGGTGCTACTCAGCCTGAGACTTCTAGCTAAATTCCTGGGTTTTGTGGCATTCCTGCCCTACCGGGGGCCTGAACCACCCCCAACTCGGGAGCTCCAGGACTCTCTTCTGGCCCTCAGGAGCCAGGTGAATGGGGGCTCTGGTAAGGAGGGAACTGGGAGGAGCAGCACAGTGGACTGAGGACTTCCCTGCCCCCAGGAACGGCCCCCTGACTGAGCCTCCCTGCTAGGCGCCCCCTGCCCTGGATGTGCGGGCCCTGCTCCAGCAGGGGCTGCAAACCCGCCGGACAGTGCTCACAGTACCCTGGTTGGTGGAGTTCCTATCTCTGGCTGACCACATCGTGCCCTTGCTGGACTATTACCGCAGCATCTTCTGTCTCCTGCTCCACCTGCATCGGTGAGTAGAGATGGACAGAGCAAGATAATTGGGTCCAGGGAGCACCGCTCAGACTGTTACTTATGAAAGGGGTCGAATAGTCTGTGTTGCATTTCTGGTTCCGTGGTTTCAGCCTCCACCCCCACCCTGGAGAAGCAGGCCTGGGGCCACACAGAACATGTTTCAACCTTCTATTCTACCTGCTGTGAAGTAGGTAGAATAGAGAGGGACTGAAGAGAGCTCCATTCTAGAATCCCTGGAGAGTAGCCCCCAAGCACTGCCCAATTCTCCCTGCCCCCACCCCCCAGTTCCTCCCGTCAAAATTGTAGAGTCAGACATGGCACTGAGGAGTTTTTAGATCTCTTGTTAAGAACTGCTGTCCTAGTGATGATGCTCTACTCCACTTGCCATGTTCACTTCACTCTTCCTTCTGTTAGGAGCTTGGTCTTGTCGAAGGAAAGTGAAGGAGAGATGTGTTTCCTCAACAAGCTGCTGCTGCTTGCTGTCTTAGGCTGGCTCTTCCAGGTTGGTGGGGAGTCAGGGGCGGGGGGCGGCAGGTACTATGCCTCGAAATGGGGGAGAAGGACACTGAGTTTAAATTGAGTGGAAGGCATTCATCAGAGACCTGGGACTCACTGTGGTATGAGAGGAAGGTGATTTGGATGCCTACACCCAGGAGCCACAAGGCAGGAAAAATGCCAGGTGTGAGGTGCTGACACTCTGCCCTACCCTGCCCTCATCTCACCAGATCCCTACAGTTCCCGAGGACTTGTTCTTTCTGGAAGAGGGTCAGATGGACACCTTTGAAGTGGACACAGTAGCAGCAGAGCATGGCTTGGTATGTGTTGGGCTCCAGCCAGAGCCATGGCCGCCCTGTGTAGGTAAAGGAGATGGGATGGCTTGAAAGGACTAGAATGGATATTGAATGCTCTTCTGCCTGAATGTGTCCCCTGTCTGTGCACCTGGGAAAAAGGGAAGAAAGAGAAGTTGCCTTCCCAACCCATCTGTTCTCCACAGGATGGCATGCCCGTAGTGGATCAGCACCTGCTCTACACCTGCTGCCCCTACATTGGTGAGGACGGTGGTTCTCTCTCAGCCTTTGGCCTGTCCTGTCCTGATTACCCAGGAGGCACCTGTGCACCGCACACCCTAGTAATGTTTTGCTCTTAGGTTCCTCATGTGCCTCAGCCTTTTTCCTCCACAGATGCTAAACGTCCAGGCTGTTTGGGAGGGCATTTGGGGCTGCTGGGAAACTAAGCGATTGGGCTTCCCTGGTGCAGGAGAGCTTCGGAAACTGCTGGCTTCCTGGGTGTCTGGCAGCAGCGGGCGGAGTGGGGGCTTCATGAGGAAAATCACCCCTACCACCACCACTGGCCTGGGCACCCAGCCTCCCCTGAGCACCCAGGGGCTTCAGGTGAGTCGCAGGGGGAAGGTAGGTGCAGCCAGTGGAGGAGGGAAGGGAAACTCAACACTCCTCCTTCACAGGCCCAGCTCGCAGAAGCCTTTTTCCACAACCAGCCTCCCTCCCTGCGCAGGACCGTGGAGTTTGTGGCAGAGCGAATCGGCTCCAACTGTGTCAAACATATCAAGTGAGCAATGGAGCATGGGCTTGGGGTGTCAGTGTGTCTCCTTCCCATTCCCCCCTTTATCACCAACCAGTACAAGCGCTGGGAAGAAACGAGGAGGGTCGCACTCTGGCGCTTTGAAGAAAGTTCTGGATTTTCAGCCCCTCTGATTCCCTCCTACCTTGCCATCCCTGCTGCAGGGCCACACTGGTGGCAGATCTGGTGCACCAGGCCGAGTCGCTTCTTCAGGAACAGCTGGTGTCACAGGGACAGGAAGGGGGTGATCCAGCCCAACTGTTGGAGATTTTGTGTTCCCAGCTGTGCCCCCATGGGGCCCAGGCACTGACCCAAGGGCGGGAGTAAGAAACGCTGTATATCTGCAACCTTCATCCCTTTCCCTCCATTTCATGCCCTCTCCCCATGGGAACCAATGTGCATAAGCTGCAAGTGTAATGCTGGGGAGCCAGTGATTGGGTACCCCATTCTTCCCTGCATGACGGTGGGGCTGCCGGCTGACAGTGCTTCCCCTAGGCAGAGCCCATGATCCAGGCTAAGTATGAGGCAAACTCCCCTCCCGCTCTCTTAAGGTTCTGCCAGAAGAAGAGCCCTGGTGCCGTGCGGGCGCTGCTTCCCGAGGAGACCCCTGCCGCTGTATGTATTCGTGGAAGCGCCCAGAGTTAGTGGCCGTGGTGGTGGTGGGAGGGGTATACTGAGGGTCGGGTCCAGAGTGTGCCGTGTAGAATTGGGAGTTAAGTGCTGGGAACGGATCAGGTCCTGAGCTCTGGGGCATTTGCCATCGTCCTCCATCTGCCCTTGACCCAGCTAGTATTTCTGTATCACAGGTTCTGAGCAGCGCAGAGCACATTGCTGTGGGGCTTGCAACAGAGAAAGCCTGTGCTTGGTTGTCAGCCAATATCACAGGTGAGGAATCAGGGCAGGGGAGTGGAGGACCAGGTTTTTAGAAGTGGGCTGGCAGGAAATTGGAGACTATCTGGGGGAGATGAGCCAGAGTCAGTGGGGAACACTGAAAGCACGGCTGGCAGGTAGGCCATGCGAGGTGTGCTGACCCTTGTTCTGTCCCCCTTCTGACCCGTAGCACTGATCCGGAGAGAGGTGAAAGCTGCAGTGAATCGCACACTCCGAGCCCAGGGTCCAGAAGCAGCTGTCCAGGGGGAGCGGAGGGGCTGCTCCCGTGCCTGTGAGCACCGCGCTTCCCTCCCCTCCCACCTCATCTCCGAGATCAAAGTACACGGCTCCCTAACTCCCCACACCCCTGCTCCCTTCCTGCACTCCTCACTCATGTTGGCTCCAGTGCCCATGTGTAATGGCTTTCTGTGTTCAGCTTTGCTACTAAATGGGATTGTACAGGGAGAGCTGAATTTTGGGTTTTGATTTTTGGTTTTCCTTAATTGTCCTTCTCTGGCTTGGTACTTGAAAATTTCAGGGAATAGGAAATATTTGACTTGTTAGTCAAAATGAATGGGGCGCTGTAAGGAAAGAAGTGCTTATTTCTTTATGCTTCTTTGGATATGGAGAGTGAGAAACTGCTCGTAAATTCGGGGCCTGAGGTTAGGGAGACACTCAAAGGCTTGGCATCGCTGGGTGTAGCCTGTGTAGCCCCCACCCCCACCCCACGCAGCACTGAGGTGCCTTTACCTCACTAAAAAAGTGAAAACCAAAAAGTCGAGCTAGAATGTGTGGCAGAGCACATGCCTCACCTGTACAAGGTCCGGAGTTAATCCTAAGCACCAGAAACAAATAAATGAGTTGGGACAGACCGTATATCCCTGGCCTAGTGACTAATGAGGAAAGGCTTAAATTGAAGAGGGTAGAGGAGGGAGATGTAGGAACTAAGAGCCATTAGCATGTGGATTTCATGCAAGGAATTCCATGCAGAAGCTTTGGAGTATCAACAACTCCCAACTAGTTGCTGCTTTCTCTGAAGGCTACAAAGTAGGATGGACTTGGCAAGTACTGGGTCGGCTTTGTCCCAGAATAGGTGACAAGTTCACTAGCAGTATGTTGCTGCTCAGCTTCTCTGTTCCCTTTTGTCCATTTGGTTGTTTCTCCCAGCTGTCCGGTCATCCCTGAGCCCTAAGTCTGAGGTCCCAGGTACTTCATGCCAAGGGGCTCCATTTTCTGTTTTTCCCCTGCCGCTCTCCACTGGTCCCAGCCCCAGTTATCTCTGTGCTTTCTCTGCCCTAGCCTGGTGTGAAGTCTCACTCTGTTCCTGCCCTGCTCTATCCAGGATGTGCTTGCTTTGGCCACTGGGCCCCGGGACCCTGAGGAGGGAGTTTCTCCAGAGCACCTGGAGCAGCTCTTGGACCAGTTAGGCCAGATGCTCCAGTGCCGCCAGGTGAGATGTGGCCTCGTGCCCTTCATAGTGCCCACCCACAAGACTCACCAAAAGATGGGCTAATGTCCCCTTTCTCCCTGCTTTTTTCCCCAGTTTCTATGCCCACCAGCTGAGCAGCATCTGGCAAAATGCTCTGTGGAGCTAGCGTCCCTCCTTGGTATGGTTGGGGGCAGCAAGAGCAGCAGCTCAGCACTCTCATGCTTTTCCCGGGGTGGCCAGGTGCTTCTGCCTCCATTTCTTACCATTTGGCTTCCCTTTCCCTTTGTAGTTGCTGATCAGATTCCTATCCTGGGACCCCCACCACAGCACCGGCTGGAGCGTGGGCAGGCCCGAAAACTCCTGCATATGCTGCTTTCCTTGTGGAAGGACAATTTTCAGGTGCTGGTTCCACTTCAGCTACTGCTAAGCCCAAGAAACGTGGGGCTTCTGGCCCACACTCGGCCAAGGGAGGTAAGCAGCTGTGGGAGGCAGTGTTTCCCCCGGTCCCCCATACGAGGAGTTTGCTCCTTCGACACAGTTCCTCTTCCTTGGCCTGTGTCAGTCAGGGCCATGATGCTGTCCTTGTTTCACTCACTTTCTGCTTGTGATACAGTGGGACCTGCTGCTGTTTTTGCTCCGGGAGCTGGTAGAGAGGGGTCTGATGGGACAGGTGGAGATAGAAGCCTGCTTGGACAACCTCCGTGGGGCCCAGTGGCCTGAGGTAAGGATTTCTGGATATGGTAGTGATGGAACCTTACATTCTTAAGCTCTTGCTAATGCGGGGATCAAACTCAGATCTGCCACATCATGGGCAAGCACAGTGATAAGAAGTATAGATGGTTCCTAGTCTATTGGTAGGCACCCCGGGGAGCACTGTTACAGATCCACACACCCCCCAGAATTATATGTCTGTCTCTTCTCTCATCTTTTTGTTTATCCCAGGATTTCTCAGAAGAACTTGCCACTTTGTTCAACCTGTTTCTAGCTGAACCCCACATGCTAGAACCACAACTAAGAGCCTGTGAGCTGGTACAGCCAAATCGGGAGACTTTGCTGGCCCAAAGCTAGGACTTGGAAATGGCCCTAGCTTGGGCATCTCACCAGCCCCATTTGCCTGCCTCAAGTGCCCACCGCTGACCCTTGTGAGTCTGCAGTCTAGGCTGCAAGGGAGTCTTGCCTGGTTCAGAATTATGGTGGACAAGCCTAGGACTCCAGAGTCCTGCAACGGAAGAATTGGCAGTTATCACTTGGATACTAAGTGGAATGATGTGTTGGGCTTTGAGCCCTATTTGCTGCTATTCCAGCATTGAATAAAACAGTGGTTCAGGAAATCATGACAGAGACAACTTCTGCTTATCTGCTTGTAAGTAAAATATGAACCTTGGAAGTCTCCTGTCCTGACAGACTGGCTCTCCGGTGCAGGCAGCAGCCCAGCTCCACCCAGGAGCCACATGAGAACTTCAGAGCTTTTTAAAATAAACTCTTTTCTTTACCAGGGGCTTCATGTCTAATTATTTGACTGTGGAAGATGGAACTGTTGAACCTGTCTGATTCAAGTAGGCTCTGGGCTGTATCTTCCAAGAGAGTTATACTTACCCAGCTCAGTCAGAGCCTGCTTGAGTAGGTTGGGACAGTGTACAAACTTTCTAGTCCATGCTGCTTCATGCAGAACTCTAGCCTTTTGTTTGGGGCATGGAGAGGGACTTGGGAAAGTTCATGGTCAAACTAGTATTTCTCAGTGCATGCCTTTACCAACAGCAAACTGAGGAATCCTGGGAGAACCAGAATCTGCACCCATTAGGTGACTGGAGAGCTTGAAGTCCTTAGGGATGACGAACTGAGCATCCCACTTATAATTTAGCTCGCCTGTGTACAATGACCTAGAATTATGAACAAGTGACCTAAAGATTGCCTATACCAGCAGCCTACTAATAATAAAGCCCCAATCCAGGCACTGAATCAGAAACCAGAGAAGTCAGAACCACCGATCTGAACCAAAATCAACACTTGGAAGCAGCCCCACAGGTCTTGAGTGTTGGCTTCCTTATTACAGAGGTACAGCCATCCCGGACCACACAGTGTTCTCTGAACACCCATTCAAAGCACTTCCATGCAGCGGACTCTGGTTACTGACAGGAAACACCATTCTGGAATCCTCTTTAGATCATAACGTGAACACTAACATGACACACCTAGGCTACACCTCTACTTCATAAAAGTACACAAAAGACATTTTATTCTAAAAATAGATTTATATGGAAGAAATGGAAATATATCAACTTCAACAAAGTGTTAAATATGTTGTCGACCAAAAATGGAAAAAAATATAAAAGCAATATAAAAAAAACTTTCTATAATAAATAATCCAAGGTTAAGAAGGAAAATCCCTCATTTATAGAAAAATAAACCCTGAATCTCTGTAATGCTGTACAGAAATCTGGCTTTTGACTGCTTTCTCATCCCCACTGAGTTATCTTTTTCCATCAAAGGTTCTGGGCAGCCCAACCCACTACTTTCAGGTAACCATACAGAATACTAAAAGTTCAACTTTAAGTACAAGAAAACTGAAATCATTCTCTATCCCATCCTGGAATAGGTGGGGTACAACAGCAGCATGGAATTCCCGAGAGAATCTTTGCTGGTGAGGCCAAAGGCTGTCAGGCAAGGTAAGGAAGAGGATGCTCTTTCCCCTGACAACTCGGTCACCTATGAGTGCCCTTATCTTCATGGTCTCATTTGAAGTTCCTCTGGTCTGGTCAGGGTGCCCCTACCACCAGGTCCCCCCACTCTGACCAGCCTGTTTTGACAGTGGGGAGGAAGGAATTCAAAGTTAATAATGAAGCATTTTATAAAAATTCAAGAAAAACCCACTTTAACTCGATATTCTGGTTTGGTTATTTTCTGATACTCCATCCCACAGTGGAGCTGAGTATCAAGCAAAATCTTGTCCAATGGTTGCTTGTCTCCTGCCAGCCCCAGTGAGCCAGAGCACGATCCTCGTTTTGGAGCAACTTTCTGCTATAGGGTCCCAGAGGTGGGAAATAAAGGTGAGTTGAACCTCATTCATTTAGGATGGCCAGAAGCCCAGCCCTCTTGCTCTGCAGTGGTGCCAGCTGTGACACAGGATGGACACTGGGCTTTGCTGGCATTTTGGCCAGAGTGCTAACTGTCCACCGGGCCACACGGGTCGCTGGGGACTCTTGCATCAGTATGGAAGAGGAACTGCCCCAGTGGCTCTGGAGCACCATCATGACCAAGAGATGCTTAACTGCCCAGGAAGGAAGCCAGTTTGGCTATCACCAGTGGTTGCTGCTTGATGAATGAACTTAGGCGCTGAGGAGGGAAGCCAGGAGCACCGAGTTCTACCTGAAATAAAGCAGATTTGAGGATTTGAAGGTGCTTAAGTATCTTAGGGCACACCCCAGCCTGCCTTGAGGGTGCCTTAAAGTCAAGTTGGAGAATGCCCCCTTTTGCCCCACTGGAGAACCTCTGTCTTCTCTGTGACCAAAGAGGCCCCCTCATCTCCTTGTTGAAGCCAGCTCTATGATCGCTCACCTGGGCCAAGTAGATGACTCTGGTGATTTCCTTCCCGTTCATAGCCATAGGCTGCAGGATCCAAGCACTGGGCAGGATCTCCCCACGGATCATCTCTCTGCTGGGTCTTGGCATAGAGGGATCATATATAGACTGAACTGCCATTATAGACAGGTGTCCCTGGAGACAGAGATGTGGGTGAGCCCCGGCCCCGCCTTTCACCTCCTCCATGCCTGCACAGATGGGTTTCTGCACCCACCTCTTTGGCTTCCACACAGACACAGCAGAAATCCCGCGGCTGCTTCAAGGCACACACGGTGGTGTCACACACCAGGTACACTGCAGGGCCAGGAAGGGGGTCAGGAGACACAGACAAGCCCAGAAATCCTCCACCACCAACACCCAGTGGTCTGGCCGGAGCCATTAGTAGGAAGCCACTTCTACCTCTGTCCCCAGGGCTCACCCAAGTTGATGCTGTTGGTTACCCGCTGGTGCAGCCTCACTGTCTGGATGGGCTTGTGATACAAGGGCCACAGAGTGGGGTCGCTCACAGCTGCCCACACATGAGACAGGGGCTGCAGCACCAGGCCTGCACCCAGGAAGCCATGGCGAGTAGAAGAAAACACTTTGTGGTAAAGTTGCACCTCTTGCTCCTGGCCCAGGTACCTGAGAGAAACACTATGTCGGAGAGGGGGACACTGGTTTCCAGGCTCCCAGAGCAGCAGTGAGAGTGAGGATCAGCGAAGCAGCCCAGGCTAAGACACACAAAGGCACTTACTTCCAGCCAGCTGCTTCATGATGATTGAACAGATTGTGCAGACTATTGGAACAAGCGGCCATTACCTGGAAATACAGCAGCTACCCACATTAGTGCACCCCCTTAAACCGCTCCGGGCTATTGACTCAGCTTCCCAGTCACTGAGGGGGCTTCATCTGCCCTACCTGTTCCCTTCTCCCCCTCTTCTCCCACCAAAGGGCGCAGCTGCTACTCACATCTGCCAAGGAGATGTGCACGATGTGCTTGGCAAGGTCCTGGTAAGAGGATGAGAAGTGGGGTCCTGCGCTGGACAAGCTGGATGGGGAGCAGCAGCTGCCCACAGAGGTTCTGTTACCTACAGCCAGGAGAATAGGCTCAGATGATCCGCATGCCTGTCCCCCAAGTGGTAGCCCCTAGGATCTGGTGGATGGAACCCTTCCCGTGCCCACCCCTGCTCACGCTCACCGCTGGCCACACTCTTCCAGGATGTCCCCACCCGGTTCCGGTTGCTGCTCCTCACTGCAGAGCAGCACCGCATGTCTCCTCTCCAGGAATCTCTGGAATCAGGCAAGTTTGTGTCTCCCTGCAGAACAGACGGTGCTCAGGACCAGAGCAGAGGTGGCAGTGCCAAAACTATGCTGCAGGATTCTCCGCCGCCACCTCAGAACCACACAGGCTCTTCCCTGCTGAATTACAGGACACTGGAGACCCCTGAGAAGCCAGCAGGAACCAGTCCCCTTCCCTACTGTTTGGAGAGTTGAAGCGTGCTCAGGAAGGGCCAATGCAAATGAGAATAGAAATGGATCTGCAAGGCCCAGTCCCAGATTTGGGGAGGGGGGTGTGTAGGGGGGCTCTGCATCACCCTGGAGGCTGGGTCACAGGGGCCACCAGTGAGGAGGAAGGCAGCTCTATGAGTTGAGCCTGTTCCCAGGACAGCAGCAGGTCCTAATTCGGACCCAAAGGGCTAATCCTTGAGGTCTGTGACACAGTCCCCAAAATTCACCTCCACCAGTTCCCATGGTCTACAGACTCCTCCTGCAGTGCAGACACCTCGGTTGAAGCAGAGGAATCTGTGGGCAGCTCCTTCCAACTGTGCTGTCCGGAACCTGTCACTCCTCACCATTTCTTGTTGCTTCCCACCTTCCCTCCTTATGGGCGCCCTCCTCTCAGCAGGCATCCTCTCCCTGCCATGCCCTTTCCCCTCTACCAGGCTTTGCTCTCTGCCCTTCACACATGAGCTGCTTTAAATGCTGGTCCCCCTCTGCATTCTCCCGCACCCACTCTGAACCCACCTAAGTCTGGCTTCTTCCTGCTACCCCACCAAGCAGCGATCAGTAGGTTTCCCCACTGGCCTTGTGGGATCTAGGACCAATTCTTAGTCCTCAGGTACTCAGGATTCATCTTAGCTCCCTGGTTTCAGATGCCCTGGTCTCCTCTTGACTGCCCAGGTCCTTTTGGAACCCAGGCCAGGGTGCCTTTTCTGGTACCCCCTACCCCCACCCTACATTGCAGGAATTACGGCTAAAACAGATGGCAGAGGTTAATAAAGACTGCGGAGTGGAGCGATAGCACAGCAGTAGGGTGTTTGCCTTGCATGCAGCCAACATGGCTGACCCGAGTTCAATTCCTCCGCCCGTCTCGGAGAGCCCGGCAAGCTACCGAGAGCATCTCGCCCGCACGGTAGAGCCTGGCAAGCTCCCCGTGACGTATTCGATATGCCAGACACAGTAACAACAAAGTCTCCAATGGAGACGTTACTGGGCCCGCTCAAGCAAATCAATGAACAACGGGAGGACAGTGACAGTGACAGTGAATAAAGACTGCTCCAGGGCCAGATCAATGGTAAAGCAGTAGGGTCCTTGGCTTGTACGAGGCTGACCCGGATTTAATCCCTGGCATTCCTCCCACCCCCAAGCTCTCAGGAGTACTTTTTGAGTGCAGGAGAACCAGCCTAGAACCTTCTCAAAGGGCTCAAAACAAAATACTTCTGGGAAAGGATGCCATCCCTTTTCATTTATCATGTAGCAAAAAAACAGATGGAGGAGAAATAACTATAAGAAAATATATTTGGGAACTGGAACTAGATCAGTCTAGCAGTAGATCAGATAATGTGTTTGCCTTACATGCGGCTGACCTGGATTCAATCCCCAGCACCCAATATGGTCTGAGCCCCACCAGGAGTGGTCACTGGGTCTGGCCTGAAACCACAATATCCCCCCCCCAAAAAAAAATAATATACTTCCTAATGCATGGGGAAGATCTAGAAGTTACTGTTGTCGCCAACCTAATGAATGGGGGAAGACCTAGAAGTTACTGTTGTCACCTACCTAATGAATGGGGAAGATCTAGACGTTACTATTGTCACCTAAATGTAGCCAGTCTAACTTAAGAACAATGTAACATTTACCTGCAATAGTGGCTAAACATAAGCAAACTTAGAGAATCAACTAAAAAGCAATATGTATACAAAATTAATGGCGTAGATAGCTTTTATATATAAAAATAACAGGGGCTCTTCTTCTTTAAGATCCCACCCATCATCTGGGAGTTTCCCTGCCTTTCCCTCATTTGCCTTTCCCTAAAGTCTTTTTATCAAATTCAGCAAAAAAAAAAAAAGAACCGAACCACCAGATAGGAGATACAGGGGAAGAGAAAGCCTATTTACAATCAGGGTAGCACTGTCCTCCCATTGTTCATTGATTTGCTGGAGCGGGCACCAGTAATATCTCACAACAAACTGTGAGACTTGTTGTTACGGTTTTTGGCATATCGAATACGTCAAGGGTAACTTGTCAGGCTTTGCTGTACGGGCGAGATACTCAGTAGCTTGCCAGGCGCTCCGAAAGGAGTGGAGGAATCGAACCCGGGTCGGCCACGTGCAAGGCAAACGCCCTACCTGCTGTGCTATCACTCTAGCCCAGGACCCAAAAGATGGTGAACTATGCCTGGGCGGGGCGAAGTTAGAGGAAACTCTGGTGGAGGTCCATAGCAGTCCTGACGTGCAAATCGGTCGTCCAACCTGGGTATAGGGGCGAAAGACTAATCGAACCATCTAGTAGCTGTTTCCCTCCAAAGTTTCCCTCAGGGTAGCTGGCGCTCTCGCATGACCACCCACGCAGTTTTTTTTTTAATTTACAATATCAACTAAAAATGATTAAACGAAACTGACAAAATATTTCAAAGATACACAAAGAAAATTTAGGAAAGGGGGTGGAACCTTCTTTCTTAGGAAACTCCTAATAGCAGCAAGAGACAAAACCCAAGGGGAGCTGGCTCCAGAGCACAGCACAACTTTGTAGGACAAAAAGTCTCTTGAGGGATCCTGGGGTAACTCCCAGCATGTGCACTGGCAGTGCAGGCTGGGGGGAGCGACGGCAATCCATGAAGTGCACAGGATGGAATGTGAGGTCTCCTGCATGCTAGGTAGACTCCAGCTCTCTGAGTGATTTCCTTGACCCCAACTTTTTTTTTCTTTTTGGGTCACACCCAGCGATGCTCAGAGGTTACTCCTGGTGGTGCTTGGGGAACTATATGGGACGCCGGGGATTGAACCCGGGCCGGCCTCATGGAGAGCAAACACCCTACCCACTGTACTATTGCTCCAGCCCCCTGACCCAAACATTTTAAATCTTCAAATATGAAAGTTGATATTCTAAACTGGTGACTCAAAGATGAACTAACAAGCCTTACAGGTGTTACTCAGTAGCCTTCTAGAACAAACAATCATACCAAACTCCTGCCTCAGGATGTGAGGGCACTGTGACTGCGACATCTGTTACCGTATTGACTGCCAGGGTTGATTCAGCTGATCTGGCTGGCCAGACAGGGGTCCCCTTCCCCCCTTACTGCTCCATGACTGCTCCATGTATGTCCCTCCCGAAGCTGCACTCTGCCCAAGAGGACAGCCTTCCTCTGATTGATTAATAAGACACGGTTCTTGGGCCAAGAGTGTCTGTGTTCCTCTGCTACAACCTCCAAACAAATTCTCAAACTTCTGTCTCAATGGTCCTGGCCCCGATGGCAGCATCTGCCAACTTACCATGCTATCTGGGGACAGGAGCTGTATGACCGAGCTGCTGTTGTAGCCAGAAGTGAGTACAGAGGAGAAGCTAGCATTGGAGCTGGTACAGAGTGAGCTGGAGGTGGCCAAGAGGTGGAGTTTCTCCTCTTCCTGGGAAGGGCAGAACATCATCTCACTGCCTTAGCCACCCACCTATCTCCCCACACCTCCACTGCAGCTGCCAGATTCTGGGAACAGGAGCCGGTCTGAGGAAGTGAAGTGGGTTCGGGCTCTGAGCTGGCCCAGTTCCACCACCCTCCCCCAAAGGCTGTGGCCTGTAATAGCCCGGCGGTCTACTGGAGGCTCCATGCACCCCCTCAAACCTGAGGCATGCCCCATTCCCCACCCGCTGCAGCTGGGAAATGATCTGCCGGCGGATTCTCAGCTTCTCCTGCTCTGTCCGCTCCTGCAGGCGGGCCCGTGCCTGCACAATCTCCTGCTTGGCTGCCTCGCGGGCCTGCTGGTATTCCTGAAGCAGCAGCTCGATGTCAGAGGGTGGCTGAGTGGACCTCTGAGCCACCCCTGGACTCCTGGGGAAGACCACAGACGGGAGAGACCATCTAACATGGGGTTTTCTCTGCACTCGCCCCAGGCTAGCCTCGGACCTTCTCAAAGGCCCCCGGGACACCCCCGTTCAGAACTCAGTCCTGTAGTGTACAGCACAGGCTCCCCAGGCTTGCTCTCCACCCCCACGTTGTCCTCTCCCTTTGCCAAAGCCACCCACAACCGCCTCCCTGCTCTCCTGGAACACGGCTAGCCCCTCATCCCACATAGCCCACCCAGCCACGGCTCTGAGCTAGATACCTGGTGGTCTCCACCACGTCCTTCCTCAGTTGCTGCAGGTATTCCCGACGTCTGCTGGGCAAGTCAAGGCCTCGGGTGAGCAGGTCCTTGTGGGGCTTTTTGTGGGGGCTGAGGCTGTGAGGCCAGCGGAGGTTTGGGGGCTGCTCAGCCTGCTCACTCTGAAGTTGGGGAACGATGGTTTGCCTTTGCCAGAAATAAAGCAAGACAGAGTTACTGGAGAGTCACGGTGCTAATGCTGAAGAGCCCAGGGAGGTGGGGACAGGACAGGCCACCTCTAGACCCCTACCCTACCTTCCAGCTCGCCAGACCCTTACCGGGTGGAGAGCTGCTCCTGGGCAGGCTGTTGGGACTCCTCAGCAGTCAGTGCCTCCCCTGTGCCACTCTGCAGCACCTGCAGCAAGGCGTCCGTCTCCCCGAAACCATGGTGCAGCTTTGCTTCGGCCAGTTCCACGCTGAGAGAGGGGCTCTGGGTTCCGACTTGCAGGGGGATCAGTTCCCGTAAAGACCGCTCAGGAACCCGGCTGAGGCTATCCAGAGGCTGTGGGGGTCTCTGTCCACTCTGCTCCCAGGAGTGAGGATCACAGCTGGTTCCCTGCACATCCGTCCCGAGTGCACCATCCTGAACCCCGCACCAATGACTGAATTTATTGTGCACTGGGAGGTCCCTCAGGCCAGGAGGCTGGAGCTCGGGGTCACAGCTCATCTGGGAACTGGGGCACAGCAGCAGCTGCCCCTCAGGTTGAGGGTTGGATCCCGTGAGCCCTTGAGGACCTGTCAGCTCAGAGACAGAGCACGGACTATGCTGTTGGGGTTCTCCCTGCAGCAAGGAGAGCCCTGGGGTGAGGTGAGGTGCAATTGGAGGTGCTGAAGTCTCACCGCTATCTTCTTTCTGACTCTGACACTGCCCCAGTTCCTTGTCGCTGGGTTGGCCACAGTCCAGGGAAGCCACATCCTCAGGCAGAGAGCCCTGGGCCAGCCCTGGGCTTGGGGTCTGCACATGGAGGCTGGTCTGGGGCTGAAGATGCTGCGGGACTTCTGCCTTAAAAGGCACCTGGAGTTTGGGGCTATGCTGTGGGCTCCCCAGGGAGCGCCCTTCCTGACAGCATTTTTCCAAGGGGCCAGTGACCTCACGCAAAGTCCTCAGGCAGCTCTCCAACTCCTCAGCATTCGGGAAATCTCCCCTGGTGGGCTGGGGCCCATCCTGAGGAAGACCTGGGCTGGGGACCAGGCTCTCAAGGTCTTCAGGAGAGTGAGCTGGGCGGGAAGGAAAGGACAGAGCACCAGGACCTAGCCTGTGGGTGCTAGAACTAAGTGTGAGGATGGGGGAGGTGGCCCTGTCTACCAACACAGCACTGGTAGGGTCCCTGGCAACATGGGGACAGGGCCTGAGGTCAAGGCTGCTGACGGCCAGGCAAAGCAATTTCTCTTTCTGGGAGCTGGGGGTCAGGGAGGCAGCAGAAGCTTGGGGACTTGTAGATAGGAGGTTCTGCCCAAAGAGACCTTCCGAAAACTTCAAGTGGAATGAGGTTGGGGGAGTGCTCAAGGGCCTGAAGTGGGGGTGTTCGTTCTGAAGATCGGAAGGCTCTGCCATCTTCCATGCTATTTTTTCCTCCAACTCACCATTTGGCTGTGTCTCTGGGACATACCCCCTTTCTTGAGATCGGGCCAAGTTGTCCGAGTCCAGCACTTCAAGGAACACGCTGACCTGTGGGTCAGCCTCTGGGGTGTGGGGGCGCAGAGGTGACTGGGCTGGGTCTGTCTGGGTGCCCTCATCCACAGTGGTCTGAGTGCAGCCGTCCATCCGGAGAGCCGGGGACAATTCCTCCAGTCTCTCTCTCTTGACGTCAGGCCCCTTCTCAGCCACGCCTGGCTGGGAGAGACTCTCAATCAACTCTGAGGTGCTGTGCAGGAGCTGGGAGAGATGGAGAGACAGGCTGTGCACGCTGTCCCAGGAGACCACGTTGGCAATGGGCACCATGCTGTCAGAAGCCTCCCTACAGCCTGTCTGTGTACTCTGCTCCAGGATGCACTGCGGGGCCTGGCCCGCACAACCAGCCCCCTGGGGTGGACACAGAGGCACCGGCTCCTTAGCAGGCCCCATGGCCCTGCCAGCCACCCCGGGGGTGCCCAGGAACAGCACTTTCTTGTCCGCATTCTTTTTGGGGGCTGCTCCATCAGGACAGGTCGGAATAGGGAGGTTCTCCAAGTCCAGTGAGGAATCGCATGCTTCCCAGGACTCTTGTGAAGCCCGGGAGTTTTCATTGCTGCTGTGAGTATGTGACAGGTTCTGGACATAGGTGCTGAGGTGGGCACTGAGCAGCAAGTCCTGCCCTGCCATGCCCTCACTCATGCTGGCACAGCGGTCCACACTCCCTGGGATTGCACCCTGGTGGCTCTGATTCTGGGAGACGTCATGGGCACTGCTGAACACATACTGCTTCCAGCCGATGCATGCAGGCTCCTGAAGGCACACGTGTGGATCATAGAGGTTGAGGTTGCTGGAACCAAAATACAGCACCTCCCTGCTGGCTGTAGAGTGCTCTTCCTCTGTAGAGTGCCCCTCCTCTGGCCCGGCCCGGCCAGCCCATCTCTCTGAGGCCTGTTCCAGGGCACCAGCTGGCCAGCTGGCCAGGAGCTCAGGGGTGGGCATGCATGAGCACGAGGGAGAGGTTGGGTACGGAGGGCGGGCAGCAGGCAGGGGCTGGTCACCAGCCTCACACCTGGCTTCTTGCCTGCCACCACACCCTGTTGGAAACCTCCTTTCCACCGACTTTTCTGAGGGATGCGTCTCGGGTTGTGAGTTCCATGTTCTGCTGGGATCCCGTGTCTCCTCGTGTGTGGAAGAAGGAGGCTCCATGCCCAGGTTCAGCTTCTGAAGAGACAGGGAAGAGCTGACCACAGAGAAGCGTGGCTGGAAGGAGGCCCCGGGAGGCTCGGGTCCATGGAAGACGGCAATCACAGGCAGTGAGCGCCGGTGCTGGGCAGGGACCTGGGATTCCCTGCTCTGTTCCCAGGGCCCAGCGGCAACATCTCTGGAGTGTGATGGGAACATCTGGGGTGCAGGAGGCTGGGCTGTAGCCACCTTCTCTCTGCCCACATCATCACCCTGACAGCTTTTGGGGCTGTCCTCCGAGGACAGGGCACTCAGGCCCTGACCACTGGCCCCAGCAGCCTGCGCGCTCTGCTGTTCTTCCTCCTCCCAGCTGCTGTCAGTCTGGGGACTGGAGGTTTTCTTTAACTTTGCTGCCAGCTTCGCTTGGAGAGCCATGACACTGTCATCCCTGGACCTGGTGGCAAGACATGGTTGTTCTGGAAAGCTTCTTGGGATGTTTTCTGAGCATTCCAAGGCCAGCTCACACTCCACAGATCCTTGACTTGAACTGAAGCTGTGTGGTATCCCTGGGGCTCCAGAAGTTTCTGATACGGTTTGAGACACCCGTGCTTTCTGGCAATCACCAAAGCTGTCTTGAAACTCCCCCGGTGTCTCAAGGATTGTCTCTGTGGGGAGAGCAGGGGCCTCAAGCTCCACATGGCCTTTCTTCTCACCAAAAACTATAGAAGGTGCCTGACTGGACTCTGCGTCCCCCACTAATCTTGAGTTCCCAGAAGCAACTGAGTGGTCAGGGGAAATTGTCCTCCTGGTAGTGGGAACACAAGAGGGACTGTGGCCTCGCCCCATGGGAGGGGGCCTCCAAGCACTGCCATCGTCATGTTTCCTGATGCTTCCTGTGAATTCAGCATCGCAGGGCTGCTCCTGACGGCTGCACAAGACCTTCTCCCCCACTTCCTGGGGGTCTTGGCCAGCTCCTACACCTGCCAGCAGAGTTGGCCTCAAAGGTTCACTGCCAGTCCTGCAGATTTCTGCAGACACAGAGCCGAGGCTCCCCGCTGTCCACCTCTGCAGGGAGGGCACTTCCAGGGCTGCTCTGGAACCCGCCTTCCCTCCATCCGTGCTGATGGAGGCCTCAAGACATGGGGCATCGTCTGGGTTCAGTCGCGAGAGTCTCGCAGGATACGGATCACATCTCACAAGCTCTCTTTCAAAATGGGTGTTTTTCCCTGTCTGTGGGGCCATGACGCCCATATCATCTGAGCCTGCACTTGTGGTGCCCGGAGTGGGCAGGCCCTGTTGCGCTGTGTGGCTCTCTCCCCTGCCCACTGTAGTCTCTGGAGCAGCCAAGGACAGGCCCTGCCCCTGAGGAACTGCCCCGTGGCTGGCAGAAGGGGCCTCCACTCCTTCCTTCGCCCTCCTGTCCTCCTTGACAGCTGCCGAGGAGGGAAGACTGTCTGAGCCCAAGGAACCAGCAAAGCAAGAGGTTCCGGTTGCTTCCTTCTCTCTGGTCTCAGAAGAGTAAAGGTGACAAGCGTACTGCTCACCTGCTCCCAGGAAATCACTGGGTTCTCTCACGCAGCAGCTTCTGCCCAGCCCAGGGGCAGCATGGGAGGGAGTGTGTGAGGGTGGCCCTGGTCGTGTCTGGGTCTCAGGGGTGGCCAGAGATGTGGGACTATCTGCAGGGAGCCGTGTGGCTGGCAGGACACCCTTCTCCTCTGCTGCCACATGTGCTGAGTTGGCATGGAGGGGTGTCCCATGAAATCCCTGAGCTGTGCCCTCAGGCCTTGTCCTGCCTTGTCCATCTACTTGTTGACACTGAGGCCTGGCAGGGATGTCCAACAGATATTCCAGTTCGAACAGTGTTTCATAGTGAGGAAGGAGTGTGTCACACTGCGGCTTCCCCAGGGCCTTTAGCCACTGGCTCTCCTCCAGTGCATCCAGGTTCTGGGGTACACGCTTGGCACAGAGCTTAGGGTTAGGAAACCTGGGCAGGGCCAGCAGGGTGGGGTCAGCATCACCAGGACCAAAGTCCATGGCCTCCTCCTCTTCCTTCTGCCGCGTCTCCCTGCTCCCCTTTTCCCATGGGTGGTGGGTTCTCTGTGTAGGTTGGCTGGGGTTCACGTCTCTTTGGACAGCTGTGTCAGCTTCAGTAAAACCCACCCTGCTCCGCGTGCCCATGGAATTAGTTCTGACGCCCCCTCCAGGGTCTGGAGGGCTAGAGTTTGCTGGTACCCTGCCCTCTGGTCCTTGGGCAGTGCCCTCAGAAACACTGGGCTGATGCCGAGACCCCTGCAGGGCAGCTGTCACAGACCCAGCATCAGCAAAATATGGTGCAGAAGAGCTGCCTCCACCATCTGCGTGCGGGCCAGGGCCCCTGGTCTGTCCACCCTGGTCCTGAAGTCCAGCACCAGACACAGAGGGGCTGCCAGGTTCTCTGGGCGCTGAGGCCGCCAGCACACACTCCTCCGAAGAGAGGCTGCTGAAAGTGTCAGATGCGTGGAGGTAGCTTCGGAGCCGCCGAGGAGAGACGGAGGGGGAGGTGCTGCTCAGATCTTGGGGAGAAGCGGTGGAAGAGTCAGGCAGGCTCGGCAAAGGGCTGGTCTCCTGATTGTGATACAGACCCCGAGAAAGAAGGTGCAGAGTCGGGGAGACCACCTGCCTTCCCTTCCGTAGGCGCCTTCCTCTTTGCACGCCCACGGCTATGCTGCCCTGACCTTGTGGCTCCTCCTTCTTAGACCCGCTCATGCATCCAGCTGCCTGGCTCTCTTTAGAGCCTTTGGCAGGCTGAGGTTCCTCTGGCCTCCCCAGGCCACATGGCTGCCTTCTGGGGCTTTTCGATGCTTGTGCCTGCTCATTGTCCTTCTCAGAAGAACTCTGGGTCCTAGATTGCAGTGGCAGTGCTCTAGCCAAGACTTCTGTTGTCCATGCAGTAGCAGAAGCTCTGGGGGTACTCCTAAAAGTGGGCTCTGACTCTAGATAATCACTAGAGACTATCAGTGTGTCCAGCGCAGTGGACTGGGGGTACTCTCTCACACGTGCAGCACCTTGTCCACAGTCCCATGGCCTGGCAGGGCTCAGCATGGTTTTCTGGTCCCAGGGCTCGTGCTCAGTGCTACTGTGAAGCCCCATTTCTCTAGCATCCATCCTCTTGAAGAGCATGTCGCTGCTGTGTTTGGGAGGAGATGGTGGAACTCTGAAGGACAAGTGACTTTCAGAGCTCCTCAGCATGTGCACAAGGTCAGCCACCTCCTGCCGCCTCTGGTCCAGGAGCGCCGACTCCTCACTGGTTCCCAGGGTGTAGGAGGCAGACAACAGCTGGTCTTGTTTGCATTCCATCTCCAGGATGTCGTTTTCCAGCTGCTTCACGCTCCTGATCAGCCTGGCCATCTCCTCGAAGTCAGGAACTCGCGGCTTCTTCCCAGAGGTGGCGGCTTGGAGGTTGGATGTTTCTGGTGTCCTCCCAGAGCCTTTGTCATCACTGGGGCCACAGTCCTGAGAACACGTGACTTCCTGGAACCTCTCACTCGAAGACTCTGCCCCTCGAGGTACTCCCTCTTCTTCGAGATGGTGAGCTCTTCCAGGAAGCCTCGTTTCATGCTTCCCTTCATCCCTGGGGGCTGAACTTTCATCCCAGGCCACCATCTTGGGGTGGCCGACTCTGTTGCGGTGGACCGGACTGGCCTTTGCAGGAGCACCGTGTTCCCCTGGCAGGTCCTTGTCAAGATCAAAGTTGAAGGTTTTGCAGATAAAGCCAGGCCTGAATGGAGAAGGGAGATGTGTGTCTGTATCACAGTGCTGCGTTTGCTGGAGGGCACCATCTGGGGTCTGCTCTTCCGACCCAGATGTCTGAGTAATGCAGGCAAGGGGACTCTTCCTAAGCTCGTTATGTGGAAATACTCTGCAAGAGGACTGTCCAGTGGCCAGCTCACCCACCTGGAATTCTGGAAGACTGTGGGTATTGAAGGTTCCAACATGACTTTTAAATTCACTTCCCTTTGTACCAGCAGATAGGAGGAAATGTTTATTTGGGGCAACAAAAGAGTGGAAGAGATCACTGCCATCATGGTCACTACCTCCAAGGCATTGCCCTACTTTGCTGCTGACATCCTTCACCTTCAGCTTCGTGGGCCCCTGCGCTGAATCCCACTGAGATGGGGCCATCTTTGGATCTGGGTTGTGTAACAACACTGACAAGTGAGTCCCTGCATCAGGCCTATGAAGGGCCTGGTCATCGCACCCAAAGCCCCAGGCTTCCCGGGCTGGTGGCGAGGCCACTTGCGTCTCTCTACAGGCTGGGATCTCTAGGGCAGTTTCTGTCAGGGCATCCCGACTTCTGGTCAGATAGAATGTTTCCAAGGGCGGTGGCTGCAGGGAAGAGGAGAATGGGTCCCAGGGGACAGGCTGGACACACAGCTCCGAAGACAGAAAGGCAGTGGGGGTGTCTGTGTCTGCGCCATGCCAAGGGGTGGCCATCTTCTGCAGCCCAGTGTGCCCAGCACAGCTCCCCTGCTGGGGCTGACCAGCACTACAGGGTGGAGCCCTGGTCTGAGCCCAGTGGCCTCCTTCAGTGGCCACAATGACATTACTGTGCCCAGAGTTTTTCAGGGAAGAGGAGTGATCAGAGGACGTGAAGGGGTCAGTTCTCCCACGCGCCCAAGCCTCTGCTCTCTGGTTTGCTCTCTCCATGTCGGCCGCAACCATCCAAACCTTTGTACTTCTGGAGGCTGATGATACTCCAGCTGCTGAGTGGGTATCCTTAGAGCTCACCTCTTTGCTACTCATAGAGAAACCTGGAGTGCCCTCTAACTCAACACTCAAGCTATGCGCTTCCTTCTCTGCTCTCAAATGCTGAATTTTGGAGCCATGAATAGGAGACTTGCAGAAATCCAGACCACCAGGCAGCCCAGGAGTAACGGGCATTAGAGAACCTCTCTTGCAAGAAACTTGGGTGAGGGAACTGCTATCTTCCTCAAGTGAGGAAAAAGTTGGCTGGGGTCCTCCTACGGCCCCTGACACAGAATGAGACTGTTCCAGGGGGTATTTCTGCTGAAGGGTAGCCTGCTCGCTGCTGCAGGGGCTACCTGTGTAAGAGAATGAGGGGGCAGGTGGTGTCAACACACCTGATGTGCTAGCATTGTTGGCTACTTTGCAGTTGTCCTGCTGGGCCATGCTAGGAATCCCTCTGGCCTGAGAGGTACCCTCGGCTCCAGAATTACACAGACTGTGTCTCCGGCAGAATGACAGCCCAGACATCACACAAGAAGGGATTGTGTAGGCAGCCCGAACACTGCAGAGCGACTCAGCACCATCTTGGGACATGCTGGCACTATAGGGCAAACCAGGTGGCTTTGGCTCTTCCGCCTTCAGCCTCTTCCAACCACAGGGCTGGCATTCCAGAACCTCCGGACTGGGGCATAAAGAACACGCTATCTCTGGAGAACTTCCAGAGTTGATCTTGGAGTCACAGGAAAACCAGGAGTCCCGGGACACCAGAGGACTCCCGCTGGGAGGCGGCATGACCTGGAGAGCACTGGCTTGTTCGCAGGAGCTGGAGCTCACCCCCACCTCTGACACAGGTGGCTCAGAGCAGGGCTCGGGCTCAAGGTGAAATGAATGGTTCTTTGGCATGATGGCATCCAGTCTTACTTCTGCTCTGTGGCTGATGAGGCCAAGCTCGCATATGGTGTCCTGGGCCACTAGGTGTCCACAGGGCAGACTGGAGGTCTGAGGATGCCAGAAGGTCTCAGTGGGCATCTCGTCTGATGGACCAACAGAAGGTTCTTCTTGTTGCTCTGTCCCAAGTTCCTCCTCAGTGTCAAACAGACTATCCAGGGAAAAGCTTCTGGAAGCTGGGGTCACCTGCCTGCAGCTTGAGGAGGTGGTCAAGTCCCTTGCCAAGGCTCGGGCTCTGGTCCTGGGCTGGCAGGGGAAGTCGGGAATGCAGTGGCCCCTTGGGCTGCCTTGCGGGCTCTGGTACCTCTTCTCAGCCAGTGAGTCCTCAGATATTTGACCGTCATTGTCATCACTTTCATCATTCTCTGGCTCCGGGAGATCCTGCTCATGCTCCTGCAAGGCCTTGGGCCTTTGCAGTGCTGCTAGTTCTTGGGAACAGACATAGCACAGAGAATCCACAGAGTAATTGCTCCCTGCATCAGATAAATCACCATCATCTTTTTCTCTTCCAGAATCCACTGCTGGGCAACAAACTGCCAAGGAGGTCACAGGGTCTGGGTCCCCTTCACTGTGTTGCCCCTTCAGAGGGCTACCATGTGGCAAATAAGAGGGCTTTTTAGTAATATCAGTGACTCTGGTGGCGTGAACCATGTGCTCCCTTTCTGAAACTGTGTTTGGATGTTTCCAGAAAGCCTTAGTTGCCTTTCCATGCCTATCTGCCTGTTTGGGGCCAGGGAGGTGGAAAGAGCAGCCACTAGCTCCCTTGGCAGTTGTGCGGGTCCCCAGGGGCCCACTAATTCGACACCCTACAGGTCCGAGGCCTGAGTCTACAAGTCCCTTAGTCCTCCGGGTCTGGGAGAGATGGCCAAGGGCCGAGGCCTCATCCTGCAGCTTCAACTGTATAGGGAAACAGTGTGAGGATGCTGAGCTCTGGGACACCATCTGGCAGGGCTGTCTGGCCCCTCTCCTCTCCATTTCCCAGACGCTGGTGAACCCAGAGCTCAGGGCAAGGCAGGCATCTGGGGCCGGGCTTCGCTTCCTGGCCAAGGCAACCCTGACAGTGTAGAGCTGACCCTCGCCTGAGGATGGCAGCACATTCCTGCTGAAGGGCCTTGACCTCGGAGGGTAATAAACATCCTGGGGCTCCTCTGATGAGGTTTTCTGGGATATCTGGTAAGGACGGTCAGGTATAGAAGGTGATGAGGTAGAAGAATCCAGTTTCAGGAAAACACTGTGGAGACAAGGGAAGTCATTTTAGAAAAGCAGGAGGCCCCTACTGGGACAGTGGTTGGTTGGTTTGGGTTGGCAGGTGGAGAGTGGGTGGGGTAACTGCATAACCAGCAGATAAGGGGAGCTTGTGGTGTTAGGGTTCAAATTTAGGGTTCCCCCATGCAAAGCATGGTATTCCAAGTGCACTCCAGACCTTAACGCCCTCTCCTCAGGCCCTTGCTTTGCTTTAAAAGATGTTAGAAATGAAGTCGATGTCACTGTCACCCACTGTACTCAGAGTGAGTTCAAGCACCAAAGGAAACTATGGGTCATAATAGTCCTGATGCTCAGCGAGACCCAGGGGACAGTTGTTTTTCAACTTGTTTAAGAACAGAATCTGGGTCTGGAGAAGTAGTACAGCGGGTAGGGTGCTTGTCTTGCATGCAGTTGACCCTGGTTCGATCCCTACATCCCATAGGGTTCCTCTAGCACTGCCAGAAGTGATTCTTGAGCATAGAGCCAGGAGTTTCCCCTGAGCATCACCAAGTGTGATCACCTCTTCCCAAAAGAAAAGTTCAGATTTATTTCATGTGCACACAGATATGGGTTTCAGATGATGTGATGTCTAGGCGTTGCTTTAATATCCTTCAGAAACAGGAAGATGCAAGGGGTTGGGGGGTGGGGGCTCTCCTCTGGGCTCTGGAGTAGGTGAGCATGGTAAACCTTGGAAATTGCTGGATATTAGACACAGGTATGTTATATGTTATTCTCTCATTTTTTGTAATTTGTTTTTTTTTATATATATAGTCAAGGTTGTTTTGTTTCTTTAAGTCTGCCTCACAATCTGAAGAGTAAACATAACAGCAACAAATATTACTTGGGCATCTATGGGCAAGTCTGAGATAGAACAGACTAAATAGGCGGACAATTCAGTCCCCTGCTCTGAGCAGTCTGGGAGACACTGTCCTTGTCTTGACTAAAGGTCAGAAGAGGAGGAGTAAAGAAACAAATATCCCAAGTAGAAACTGGGAACTGGGGGGTCAGACACTGTTCTACCCACTCTGCTGGTAGGTGGGGTCTGGAAGCAGCTCACTTGAGGCGAAAGGACCACTGGGGGGAGGAGTGGTCCAAGCACGTGGGGTCAATGTGTCTAGGGATGATGAGATGGAGGAGCTGACAGGACAAACACACAGTGATGACTGTAGATAGACTGCGTCTCAAGAGCCGACGGGAAACGAGGTCAGAGTCTTAGCCAGCATCACCAGAACAGCAAGTAGGGCTGCCCAGAGTGGCAGGAGGGAGAAACCCAAGTCTCAGGCAGTGACACCAAGAATCATGTGAGTGGTGGACAAAGAGGACAGGAAGAGCATCGCCTCATTGGACGGATGGATGGCAGGGGGCTCTGGGGAGTCAGGAGAATCCCTGGGTAATAGGGCCGCAAACTGCCCAGGTGCCTCCAGGTGAGTGCCACAGGCTGTACCTGCCCAGCTGCCGCAGGTACTGGATGCAGAGTGCCCGGAGGCTCAGGGAACTACAGCTGGTGGATGAGTTGCTGCTTTGCTGAGAATCCTGAACCATGGTGTCAGGGTCAGGAACCTGGCATAAGGACACCCAGGTCTGGTCATTCCAGGGCCAGCACAAGGCCTGATGCTGCTCCAGTCTCTTCTGAGATGCCAACAGCTTCTGCTTCTTGAAGATTCTCTCCAGCTGGATGGAGAGCCGTTTCCTTCGGCTGTGCCGCCCTGCTGCCCGGAGGCTGTGTCTCCGTGGGCGTGGGCGCTGCCGTTGCAATGTCTTCTGCCCGTTTTGAACCAGTCGGGGAGATCGAGTCTCAGGCTCTGTCTCAGGCCCAGCATCGCTTGGTGCCGAGGCCTTGGGTTCTTCCTGTGCTACATGGTCTTGCTGTGGCTGAGTCTGCAGGCTGGCCAGGCAGGGCTCTCCTTGGAGCTGGTCTGGGAAGCAAAAACACCCCGAGAGAAAGTCAGCGCCCAATTCCTAGCCAAGGGCTGCCTGGACTCAGAACACCTCCTTCTATAGATGGACCCATATGGAATGAAATGCCAGTCGGGGTGATGGGGCTGGATCAGGGGTCAGGGGCCCCCTCCCAGAAATGAGGCCCCCCAGGCCTCAGCAGATCCAGGTACAAATGCAAGTGCAGGAGGGAAAGTGGACAAAAGTGTGTGCTTGAGGAGGTGTGAAAAAGGGGGCCATGACTTGGAAGCGTGATAAGGAAAATAGTGTCCTTACATTTGTCTGCAACTCCCCACCCCCAGAGGGGCCTCCAGTCTCTAAAAGAGGGGAGAGAACACCCAGCGCCAAAGATTCCATCATCTCACAAAGGAAACAAAGGAGTGAGCACAGTAGCCAGGTAGGCACCGTGGAGGGGAGAAGCTGAAGCCCAGGCGGAGCGATGGGTTCCTACCGTCTCTGATGGGCCACCAGAGGCCCTCCTGGGATTGACCTTGGCCTGCTACAACTTGCTGCCTCAAAGGTCCCCCTGAAGGTTTTTGCTGCTGAGGCTTTCTGGTCCTGGGAGGCAGGTGGTCCTCCTCACACTGCTCTTGGAGTGCTCCCCTGTCAAAGAGGGACCTCGGTTACCAGAGGCATACAAGGCCAGCAAGGCCAGCAGGGACAAACAGTGGCAGTCCAAGTGTCAAGAGAGAAGTTACTCCAACAGGGCAGAGGTGGCTACTGGGACCCACAAGCACAGTGTCACAGGTAGCTCGTGATGTCACAGTACAGGAGGACAGAGAAGCGCTTGGGTAGCACATTCTTAGCACTGGTTTCAGCACAAACACAAATTCACTTTCAGAAAATAACCTCTAAAGAAAAGAATCTTTTCTTTAAAATAAAGCAAAACATCCAAAGAAGTGGCAACTTGTTTTGGTTTTGTTTCTGGGCCACATCTGGCAGGCCCAGGGCCCTACTGCTGGCAGGATGCTGAAGATCAAACCTGGATTGACCGTGTGTAAGGCAAGTGCCCTACCTGCTGGACCATTGCTCTGGCCCTGCAACTTGTTTTGTAATTCAAACAAGAAGCATCTTTGTCCTTGCACTGGTAAGAAAAGGGCCAAAGAGAGGACTCAAAGCGGGAAAGCATGCTTTGTATGTGGGAAGGGCAGGTTCCATCCCAGTACCGCATGGCCCCTAGAGCACCAGAGTGACTCCCAGGCACTGTAGGGTGTGGCTCCTAAACAAACAGACAAACATACAGAAACTGAAAAAAGCCCAAAGTCAGAAAATGTCAGCTCCTCACGAGCTAGGGCAGAACGCCGCTGGGATAGAGAAGGGACCACTAAGTCAATGATGGTTGGAGGGGTCGTTCAGGACAGGAGATGTGTGCTGAAAGTTGGTGAAGGACCAAACATGATTGCATCTCAGTATCTGTATAGTAAACCATGATGCCCAAAAGTAGAGAGAGAGTAAGAAGAGAATTGTCTGCCATAGAGGCAGGAGGTAAGGTGGGGAGGGCAGGAGGATACTGGGGATATTGATGGTGGGAAATGTACACCGGTGGAGGGATGGGTGTTCAATCATTATGTGACCGAAACTTAATCATGAAAGCTTTGTAACTATCTCACGGTGATTCGTTTAAAAAAAGAAGAAGGGGGCTGGAGCGATAGCACAGCGGGTAGGGCATTTGCCTTGCATGCGGCCAACCCAGGTTCAATTCCCAGCATCTCATATTGTCCCCTGAGCACCACTAGGAGTAATTCCTGAGTGCATGAGCCAGGAGTAACCCCTGTGCATCACTGGGTGTGTCCCAAAAAGAAAAAAAAGAAGAAGAAAATGGCAGCTCCTCGCAAGAGAATAGAGTAGAAGCTACAAACTCATAATGATGGAGACATCCTGCCCACCCAGAGAGCACCAGGGCACCTCCACTCCTGGAAGCAACAGATGCACCATCTATGAGCAGGAAGCAGCACCTCTGCGTGCCAATGGGGCCCAGGGAGCAGGGCCAGGGGCAGAGCTGCCTCCACCACGCGTTGTTGTTGGTGGATGAGCCTGGGTTGGGGCTCTGGAGTTTCAGACCCTATCAGAGCTTTCACGAAGAGAAATAAGCTGACTTTATTAGTGCTTACTGGTGAGAATGTCCACGATCTGCTTAAATCCAGAGGGTACAGTGGAATAGCATGGCAGGGATCTAAACAAGCTAGTCATGGCCCTCCTCAGGCACACACTTTGTACTTGTCCCTGCCAGCACCCCTCTCCCTGGAACACTGTGGCCTTTAGTGAAATACCCGTGTCTCATCCCTAACATCCAGGTTTCTGGGGGCTGGAGTGATAGCACAGCGGGTAGGGCGTTTGCCTTGCACGCAGCCGACCTAGGTTCGATTCCCGGCATCCCATATGGTCCCCTGAGCACCACCAGGAGTAATTCCTGAGTGCATGAGCCAGGAGTAACCCCTGAGCATCACCAGGTGTGACCTAAAAAGAAAAAAAAATCCAGGTTTCTAAATGAGCAGATGTGGATGCTCTAGGAACTGGAGAAATGGGGAAAATGTGGCTGGAAACAACCAGGAGCCAACAAGAGAGCCTTGAAATACGCCCCCCCCCCCTCTTAGGTGGGCTCCAGTTCCCTCTTCAACTCTGGGATGCCAAATTCTCCGAACCACAGGGACACAGGAACCAGGTCCCTTGGTCTGAGCATCTGCTCCTGGAGGCTCACTGTGCTGAGACTGACCATGTGATGGTACAGAATGAAATCAGAAGGGATCAAAGCAGAAGGGCGCACATGTCCAAGCCAGGTGCCAAAGCTGACCCACTCCCTGTTGTGGTGAATAAAATTGTTTTGTTTTGAATACAGCAATTGCCACTTGTTGATGTATCTATCATCCAGGTTGTTTTTGCACCATACAGGGAAAATTGAAGCAGAGATGGTGAGGCCACAAAGCCAAAAATGCTCTTTGGCCCTTCACAGAAGGTTTGCTTTCTCTATTTAAGAATATGGGACCAGAGTGATAGCACACTGGGCACTTGTACGTGGCTGACCTAGGCTCCATCTCCGGCACTCCATATGGTTCCCTGCATGCAGAGCCAGGAGTAAGCCCTGAGCACCGCAAATACAACAACAACAACAACAACAACAACAAAATAATAATAATAAGGATTATTTTGAGGGGTGGGGAGCAAAGGGGGCTTCCTCCCAAGCAGTGCTCTGAAAGCCTAAGATCACTACTCAGCAATAACTGGCCAGTGAGGTCGGTGATTCCAAGGAGGTGATGCTGCCTAGGGCTGTGGTGGCAAGGGGATTACTTGGAACCATGTGAGTGCCAGGGATCAAACTGGGGTCAGTCAAACACAAGACAAGAGTTTTAATCCGGGACTCTCTCCAGCCTCCAGAGTAAGAACCATAATTCATCAAAGGAGCACAGTGAAAATTGATGAGAGAGTGATGAGATGGACCAGGGCAAGGGGAGAGTGGGGTCTGGGGTTACCAGAATGACAGTTTCTTCCATAGTGACTCCACTTGTAATGCATTCAAGGATTAGGACAGGGCAGGCCCAGATCCAAAAAATATGCCTCTGGGAAGGCTTGTGCTGATAGCTTGGGGGCCAAAGGCTAAAATCACACACAAAAAAATCACACAGAAAAGATGATGCGCATCCTTTGCCACGTGTGCAGCAAAAGGCAAGGGACAGCCCTTGACATAAAGAACCAGCTAAGGCCACACAAATAGAAAAAGTAGTTATGGGGAGAGACTGCATACAATGTATTTACATATGTCCTGCCTGCTTTACTGCCCCAAACCGTCTGACCACAGAAATGGCTAAGTATCAAACACTGACCCATTAGCAGCTCTTGTGAAACACAGCTGAAGTCCAGACCTTCAGATGCAAGGACAGTGAGTTCCGGGGAAAAGGAGATCTCATCTCCTTTTCCCGAGGCCAGCACTTCTCCCAGTAGAAAACAGTGCCCTCCACCCTCCCGCTGGGAAAGCAGCAGCCCTGAGCCCTTCAGAGCCAGTGCTAGAACTGCCAGCGTGACTGGGTTGAGATCCGCCCACTCACCTGCACTAGCAGGCTGAAAACAGGTTCTTCTTTCTTCTTCTTCTTCTTCTTCTTCTTCCTTTTTTTTTCTTTTTTGCTTTTTGGGTCACACTCACTCAGGAATTACTCCTGGCGGTGCTCAGGAGAACATATGGGATGCTGGGGGTCGAACCTCGGTCAGCCACATGCAAGGCAAATGCCCTATCCGCTGTGCTATCACTCCAGCCCCAAGAACAGGTTCTTCTGCTGAGCGCCTTAGTCCAGCTCCTCAAAAGCAGGTGACAAAGAAAACACCAACCTTACGCTACAGGTGTCTGGGTGGATCACGGAGTTACCTGCCAGCTGAGATGCTCTGTCGCTCTCAGAGGCCCGCCCTTCATCTCCAACTCAGGTGCTCCAGCAGCCAGGCTGCCAGGTGCTCACCTGCTTGCCCAGACTCTGTGGTGCCCTCCTCGCAGTCTGCAGATATGAAGGCTGCCACCACAGAGCAGCGCCAAGGAAGCACAAGCAGTGTTTCCTGGACTCCAGGCACTCGGGGCCAAACAGCCCCTCACCCCCAAACTCCAAAGAGGAAAAAAATTCAAAATCACAGGCAACAAACAACTTCGGGGACAATTAAATTCTTCTCTGGTCCTGATCACTGCTGAAAGGTTGGGGGAGGGAAAAGGGCCAAATGGCCGCTCGCTCTCCCTGGTTCTGAGTCAGCTCTGGCTTTTCACACACTGCACACCAGCTTCCCGGGCCCCACCCTGTGGGGGGAGGAAGAATGGAAGAGGGGGGAGGAAAGTTGAGGTGATGGGGCAGTTTGGCGCAGAGTCCCCGCGGAGCACAGGAGAGTCTCTGTCACCCACCCCAGATAGCGATGTGCATTTTTCCCTGCTCTCATGGGTTCTCCCCTGCGTCTCATTGCTTATTCACAGGTTTGGGGACCTACACTCCCACACCTCCAACGGCTGGCACACAGGCTGCCTCTAGCAGTTGGACAGGCCCAGCCCAGCCCAGAGGACTGCAGGGCTGGTGTTGGAGCGTGGGAGCAGAGCAGGGTACCAAGCCTTGGTTCACTGGTGCTTTTCTGTCTTCTCTGAATGAAAGGGGCCATTTCTGGTGGGACTGAAAGGTCACATAGCAGAGCCCAGAGGACTGGGGAGCCAGGGAGACTATTAAAAGGGCAGAAGAGGAGGTCAGAACAGAAGTACAGTCGCTAGGGTGCTTGTCTTTGCACATGACTGACTGGAGTTCCATCCCCGGCACCCCAGACGGTTCCTGAGTCCTGTCAGGAGTGATCCCTGAGCATTGCTGGGTGTGGCCCACCCTGCCGCTCCCCCACCCCCCAAAAAGGGAAGGAAGAGGAAAGAGCCTGTTCACTGGGATGCATGGAGGAAAGGACAATGAGAGGACAGAAAGGAGACTTCCTGGAACCCACCCACCCCTACACACACACACACACACACACACACACACACACACACACACACAGCAGCAGCAGCAGCAGCAGAACAGTGGGGTGTCGAGTAAAGCCTTCCACATACTCAGCCTGTCAGCCCTCACTGGGCTATAATAGGCTCAGAGACTCTATCACACGCTTAAGGCCACGCAAGTCTTCTATCAGAGTCAAGAAATGAAACAGCTTTGTCCGGTCCTAGCACTTCAACATGGTGGCACCCAGCAGCCGTCATTACCAAGGTCAGACCTGATGCCATTGTCTTCACTTCTTCAAGTACTCCTGACCCAAGGAAAGAGAGAGCAGACCGAGTCTCTGAAGGGACAGGGTCCGTAGTGCCCGCTCACATTTACCAAGATCTGTGCTCTTCAAGGAATCCCCATGGAACTCGCTTGGTCTAGAAAGAAGATTCCGCACGGAAATGAGTAAAGAAGTGATATAGGCAGATAGACAGGGAAAGGCCCTCGGGGCAATGAAACTTGGTCAACAAAACTTCTGGGAGGAAATTTGTAAGTGAATCCACCCTGTGGATACAGAAAACAGAGATCTGATAAGACCTTCAGCAGGAAAACAGAGACCAGATAAGACCTTCAGCAGCAGACCCTGAGGAGATTGGACCCCTCCCCATGAAGTTCCTCAAACCCTGAGACTTCTCCCTTAATGGGATTAACTTTAGTGATTCAGCCCTGAGAAGACTCCAGAATGTTTCAGATCAAGACAACCCAAGAAGAGCCTATAAAAGCCACTTTGAACAAAGAACGTGCCTATACGCTGCCCAAGCCCATGCGCTCCTTGCGCCCATGTGGCCGAGCACTTGTGGCACCTGAGCACATGTGGCTCCTGCATCTCCTCTCTTGAGATGTGTACTTTCATGCTTTCCTATCTAATGCTGGGATGTGTGTAGGGGCTCTCTCTCCACCCTTGGAGAAGACCACGTTCTCTCTTGAGTTCTTCCTCTCCCCTCTTCTCTCTCACCTCTTCTGTCTCTTCTCTCTCACCTCTTCTGTCTCTTCTCTTCTCTTCTCTTCTCTTCTCTTCTCTTCTCTTCTCTTCTCCTTTTCTCTTCTCTTCCCCACCCTCCCTCTCTCACCCCTTTTACTTCACTGCCTGTCTACTCCTGAAATTACTTTCCGCAAGCAAGACAAAAGCCCAGTAACAATGGGTCCGGGAGGCAGAGGCGGATTGGGAGATAGTGACTGTTCTTCTCCTCTCCACTTCATATGAGCCACCCATGGGGCCCACCAACATCAGAAGGACTATGAAGAAGAAAAGTACTGTCATCACTTAAAGAATCCATTAAACGTGGGCTTCATTGTAGGGTAACATTGGTTTGTCATTTCTCCCTGGTCGCATAAAGCTTAGGTTTATTGGATTACACCATTCACAGTGCTCCTGAGGCACTCCCATTCCTCTGTGTTTATCTTTAACCTCTTCTCTGTGCTCTGTTTCCCCAACCTGTCAATGACCTTTATCCCCAAATCAGACTCTGTTGACTTGTAAGGTTAGATCCTTCTGAGGACTCTGGATTTGTATTTGTAAGTGAAATATTGCTTTTCTCCTTCCCTAATGCCCTTTTGCATGGTTTACTTCAGAGCAATGTCCTTTTTGTATAGATACAGGATGACAGTTAATGCTCTGTTTTTATAACTTGGGAGTTAACTGACTCCAAATAATACTCACTCCTGGGCATCTGTTTTGTTTCAACTTAAGCCTCAGTTACCCTTAGTTCCTAGCATCCCAAAAGCAGGGTCCTGATGAGGTACTGGATGGACCCAGGGCAAGCTGTGAGCTACCCTGGCATCGAAACGAGCCAGGCCAAGCGCCATAACACTTAACTATAAATTAAGAGAACAGTCATGGACAAATTCTGTCATAATCCAAAGAGTGTCAACTGGATTAGGACCCGGCTAGGGTTAGCAAAGACTAATAGGGCCTGAGCACTGTAGTCTGAGATCTATAGTGAAATGTCCCCAGGAGAGCTACCCTATAAGCTTACTGCATCTCTTACTGTGTCCATACAAAATGACTAATAGACGAATGTTTAGATGGCTGTTGAACTAAGGAAAGGAGAAACACACCCCTAGATGGTATTTTGCCCTTAGGCAAGTCCTCTTGCTGGATAAGAATTTGTCCTAGAAGAAGCCTCCCTGGAGGGAAGGACTTTTACATCTGTTGATTATATGACCACACCTATGTGTAATTGCTACCCTAACCCCTCATGATTTGGGATATAAGTAAGGCTGTAAGAGTGAGTAGGAAGAGGAGAATTGCGGAGAATAAGGAAGAGGAGAATAGAGGGGGACGGAGGTGAAGGAGGAGAATCAACGAGGATAAAGAAGGAATACGGGAGTGGATGAGACTGGAAGGAGAATCAAGATGATATTGGAATAAACTGCAACTGATCACCAAGAATGCAGGTGGTGAGAGGACACCGCAGTTTCGAATTCATTTTCTGAATATACACTTCATGTCTCAGGGACAGAATGCAGGTGAATGAGAGGGAAGCAAAAATAAAAGATTCCCACAGAATCTTGAAGAGTTCTGTTCAGTCCTGGGAGCCAACTGATACTAAACGCACTCACACCAGCAGCCCTGAATGGGAAGGGCAGCTGGGGAGGGAGGTTCAAAGCAAAGAGATCTACAAACATGTCTCCAATCAGTGGACAGAGGAAAGTGGCCACAGGAAGCAGCATCACATCTTCCTTTCAGTGATGAAGAAATTGCAGCAGCAAAGAGGAAATGAATTATAGCCAAGACCACTTCATCGCCAATTCTGAGCTAAGTGGGGCTGGAACGATAGCACAAGCGGGTAGGGCGTTTGCCTTGCATGCAGCCAACCTGGGTTTGATTCCCAGCATCCCATATGGTCCCCTGAGCACCGCCAGGGGTGATTCCTGATTTCAGAGCCAGAAGTAATCCCTGAGCACAGCTGGGTGTGACCCAAAAAGCGAAAAAACAAAAAACAAAACTTACCCAAGCAGGACTTAGGGTTCAGACCAGGCCCTGCTCAGACCTTGTCTGCAGACACCCATCTCCTCCCCACTACTCCACAGAATTAAGAAAAAGGTTCTCCAGCAGGTACAAGCAGCTGTTTCCTCACCTTTCCTTGCAAAGCAAAGGGCAGAGACCAAAGCGGGGGGCAGTGACATCTCCGTCCAAGTCCAGCCATTCCAAAGAGCCGCTGCTGCCACCAACAGGCTCTCCAACCTAAGAATGAGGAGCACAGCAGAGTGAGGCTACCAGCAAGGCTGCCACCTAGGCAGAGGCAAAGCTGGAGACATTCCCCCCAAGGGGGACAAGCAGGCAGGGAGCTTTGGCCGCCACCGGAGAGCATGGCGCTGACCTGTCTCCGCTGCCGCAGGACTGCGGCCTCTGCAGGGTGGTTGAATCGGAACTTCTTAGCTTTCCCCAGGGTGATGACAGCTCCTAGCACAGAGACAGATGGGAGGTCAGGAACGGCTCACAGCTAAGGCCACCTTCCACACAGGGCACTGCCCTGGGGGACAAAGCCCCCCACCAAACACATACAAAGTGGACAGTTGAGCACTCAGGCACGTGCTCATGGCACATCAAGTAGCTCATGTGCAGGAGTCATAAAAGAATAGGAGCAGAGCTGGTGGATCAAGTAAAGACAATGCGTTCCAGGTGAAGCCGTGAGGGAACGACTCGAGGAAGTGGGGGAAACGGAACTCAGCCTCAGACAGAGAGAACTTGAGCAGATTAGTTAAGGGTGGCAAGTTAAGATTAGTTAAGAGTGATGGGAATAAGGGGGGTCAGTGCCAAGAACAATGTTAGGGAGTGAAGGAACTGAGAACATTGTATGGAGGGGCTGAAAGAGATCCTACAGGGGTAAGGTGCTTGCAGCAGACCCTAGTTTCATCCTCAGCATTATCTGATCCCCCAAGCACCAAGAGAGATGCCTAAGCGCAGAGTCGGGAGTAACCCCTGAGCACTGGCAGGTATGGCCCAACCACCCTCTTCCCACAAAGAACAACCTGTTTAAGCCTTGTAACAACCTTTATGTTCTCCCCAATGACCTAGACTGCTCCAAGGAAAGAGTTTCAGCATTTTTTTGTGGCCCGGAGCTAGCAAACAGACACAAATGCCAGAGAATGCTCCTCCACTTGGGAGCCAGGACTTCCTGTTTCTGGGAAGAGGATCATATTAGGAAAGCTGTAAAGGCAGCAGCAACTAGTAGTCCAGCTGAGCTCTCTGGATATGGGCCATGAGGACAGAACTAGCCATCAAACATCCTGGCACCATCTGGGTGGGAGACAGTCCTACCTTGGGTCAGACGACAGGATGTGGTGACCTCCCGGCCATTGACTGTGCACCGGGCGCCCTGAGCCGGCCTCAGAATGACCACCCCACAGGCACTGGTGATCGTGCAGTGGTCTCTCTCGATCCACTGACCCTGCAATACTGTAGGAGAAATGGGTCACATGGGCTTGGGGAGAGCCCCAGGAAAGAGCCCCTCTATTCCATGAGATCAAATCCACATCTGGAAAGTGACAAGAAAGAGCAAGCCAACCCAGCCTCCTGAAACCACCCTGGTCTGGACCCTCCCATAGTGTGGACATCCTCTGGTCACTCCCCAGAGACCCACAACCCAGCAGCAGAAGAGGAGAAATTGGGCACGAGAGAGTATGGAGGTTAAGCAGTACCCTCTCACCTGACAACCTCAGTTTGGTCCCTAGCATCTGATCCTCCAAGCATCCCTGGAAATAGCCTTGGGGCTCCCAACCAGAGGTTTTGGGGTGCTGGGTGACCAAGAATCATGGGAAATCGCTCTTGGGCCCCCTAAGTACTGCTTGGGAGACCCCCATCCCCAAAAAGAGAATCTCTTGATGCTCAGATTCTTTCCTCTCAAGCAGAAATGCCCTTAGGCCCTGTCACTTACCAATGTCCTGTTCCTGCTCTGAATCGATCCTTCCTATTTTAGTGATCCCCTCCTAAAGGGAGAAGCAAAGTCAATTTAATGACAATAAAAGGGAAGCAGCCCTACCCCAGGAGAGTTTGCCAGGTTTAGATATTATCACCATCTTCCTGCCTGTCCCAGTCTTTCCCACACTTCTCAACTCTGGTACAGACTGTTTGACAGCTCTGCCTACTAACTCTGCAGTCCCAGAGCCCCGGGGAATGCAGGAGCAAACTGTATATGATGAACAGGATATGACAAACTCATGTTACCAGCTCTGGGTAACATGCGACAAACAACAAACACTGTCTCCCATTGCCGGGGTTACAGATTGTGTGAGCAGGTGTGAAAATATAGCTTTCCTCCAAGAACCTAAGGCTTATGGGGTCCAACCTTGGCACAGTCAGTCTCAAAGAGGCGCACCTTTCAGGACGATGTAAGGCAGTGTGAGATTTTTAACCTTCTCGGTCAGCAGACGAAGTTCAAACAGCAGAGTAACAGACAGCACAGTCTAAGAGGGAAAAGGAAAGCACAGAGCAGAAACGCACATCTAGAATCAAAGTAGCACTAGAAAAGAGAAGAGGCAGAAGCCAGAGTTAGTGTGAATGAATCGCTGGGTTAGCAGAGCCTTGGTCCCTTTCCACTATGGTAATTCTGCTGGGAGAACACACATGGCCAGAGATGTGGAATCTCAGATGTGTGTTTAACATCCCAGGCACATGCTAAATGCTTTATAAATATCTCCTATCTGATCCTCGACAATCCCAAACCTAGGTGTTCTTCTCTGCCCGCCTCCACCCCATCACAGATGGGAATCTGAAGTTCCAGGAAAAGCTGCCCCGGGAACCCAAAGGCTGAGGAGGAAGGAGCACTCTGGCTAAGGGCCAGTTCCCTCTGGGTTCTGATTCCAGGTTTTCCAGCCTCACCCAGCACCTCCCCAGCAGCCGATGCTTGCAAAGTGACCACTAGAGAACCAGCAGCCAAAGAGGGGGAGATTGTTCTAGATGCCCCCAAATAGGCTGTGAGAAGGAAGACTCTGGGAAGGCTCAGTCACACTGCACTAGTAAACACAGCCAGAGCCAGTGAGAGGAGCACAGGGTCAAGCACTAGCCCTGAAGAGCAGCGATAAAGGGGTCACTACCCTTTGTGAGGGATGAGCCAGTCCCAAAGATGATGCACTTTTCTCCCCAAAGAGTAAAGACCACAGCACCACACAGCCTATACATCTGCGGGTAGACACTGCCAACATGGTGACGGAGCGGCAGCACTAGGGGCTGGGGGTCCACCTGCACTCTGCCCTGGGTGCTTTCCGGAGATCACCCAAGGAGAACAGTTGCCAGAGGGTTTCCAGAGACTCTTCGAAGTTTGTAACTGAGCACACAGATGCAAATAAAGAAAACCCTTGGTGATTACAACTGTATGGTTAAGCAGAATCCTAACAAGAGGTTGCAGGCCTGCTCTGCACGACTGAGGCCCTGGGCCTTCCCAAGTATTTCCCCCAGGTGGCATGGGGAAAAAGTAGGGAAATGAGCACATGGAACACAGAAATGCCTGGAATATAGACAGAGCCAACTTGAACCCTGGAGCTTAGGTTCACAGTGAGTGCACGATGTGGGGGCACATCTCTGTAGGCATAGGACTGTGGGGAAAGCGTGTCAGAGGATGGGCTGGTCTCCACATCTTCACTTCCATCTTCGCTCCCTTGTGAGACTCACTTCACTGCTGACCTTCTTCAGTCCCTGAGCTCCATGACTTGACTTAGCTTCCTCTGCTTACCCCACAGCCAATCAATGCATCAAGTCAGTTCTACTCCAACACTGACCATTCTGATCCATCCAAGAGAACTTGCCGGTCTCTTCCTGACCTCCAGCCTCTCTCTGCGATTCTGAATAATGGAAGGACTCTGGGTAACTGGAGCTGTTATGGGAATAGTCACATCTGCCCAGGGCATTGTTACTGCGAGAACTTCTGCTCTGGTGCCAGAAAATAAACTATCTCTTTGAAAGATTTCGTCCCTGCCAGTAGGTCAACCTGTTCGTGTCGGGGTGAATGCATCATCAGGCCGATGGTGCTTTCAGGCTTCCTAATATGCCAAAATTGCCACCGTGCCATTGGCTGGACGCCAACAACTTGGGACCAACCTTACCAAGAAATTAAATGGCCAAAAGTTAGATATATGGGAGCCATGGTCACAAACTACCACTGGCTCAGCTATATAAGCTCATCTATTGGCCTTATTTCAGAAACCCATAAATCTTGAAAGAGATTAAAAGTATCAATTAATCTTGGACCCACATATTGCTGAACAGACAGGGGTAAATTGGAGGGGATGGGTTGGCCTGGTGCCCACCCAAGCAGAGCTCCAGGCAGCTGCTTGCTTCCACAATCCAAAATCATGGCCATATCATGACCTCACTCCATCATCTCAGGACAGATCTCACCGAGACATAATCTGCTGAAAATTCTGGTACGCAGGTTTTGTGACTGAAATCTCCAGGCTTTCTTGGGGTTGAGATGGGCTACCTCCCCCCACCTCCCTGTACTTCCAGAAGCTGGTGCAGTCACATTCACACCCCAAATCTGCCACCCAACTGAAAAGCAACTCCAGCCTTACCATTCTGATAGAAAAACCAAATGCCCTGAACAAACACCATGACCTCTTAACACTTGCATTGCAAACCATAATGCACAAAAGGAAAAGGAGAGAGCAAGAAGGAAAGTGCCTCCCACAGAAGAAGGCTGGGGGTGGGGGTGGGGGTGGGATGTGGGAGCATGGTGGTAGGGAAACAGGACATTGGTGGTGGGAAATGTACACTGCTGGAGGGATGGGTGCTGGATCATTGTATGACTGAAACCCAATCATGAACAGCTTTGTAATTGTCTATATCTGTCTCTGTCACTGTCCTCCCATTGTTCATTGATTTGCTCGAGTGGGCCCAGTAACGTCTCCATTGGAGACTTTGTTGTTACTGTTTTTGGCATATCGAATACAACATGGGTAGCTTGTCAGGCTCTGCCATGCGGGCGAGATACTCTTGGTAGCTTGCTGGGCTCTCAGAGAGGGGCGGAGGAATCGAACTCAGGTCGACCATGTTGGCTGCATGCAAGGCAAACGCCCTACCGCTGTGCTATCGCTCCAGCCCATGGTCTATATCATGGATATTCAATTAAAAATTATTTTTAAGTAATGTGGAGTTCATGCCCAGTTTAAACAGCTTAATCAATGGCTGCCCCCGTGCCTGACTGTCCTCATTGGGGCCCCTTGGAGGGGGCGGGTTGAGTTTCCCTCCCTGCCCCGAGCAGAGCCCCGGCAGCCAAAGACCTCCAGAACCAGCCACAGCCATGCTGAGACCACTCTCCACACGTCCAGACAAGCCTCATGCATGAAGGAACTGGCAGAGGAACCCAGGCATGCGGGTCCCCGGGCTGAGATCTCCAATCCTGCTCAGATCAGGACTGGACATTCTCCACCCAGATCCACCATCTTCCAGTAAGTAGGCGTTATACCCACCAGCTGTGGCCAGCGCCAGGTGGTCCCATCAACAGCCAAGACCCAGAGACTATAAAACCCAGCTCCCGGAAGTGCGCAGCCGCATTTGCGGCCGTGCAACATCTTATTTTCCCGTTTTTACTTTAGAGAACCCGGCAGGCTACTGAAAGTATCCTGCCCACATGGCAGAGTCTGGCAAACTTCCCGTGTCTCGTACTCCATATGCCAAATACCAGTAGCAATGATAGGTCTCATTCTCCTAGCCATGAAAGAGCATTGAATATGGCTCCTTTAAAATCTCAGGGCTAGGAAGAAGGAGACTTACTGGTGCCTGCTCGAGGCAATCGACAAACAGGATGAGATGATTGTGATTGTGAATCAATGGCTGAATAAATAGCAGTAGCACTGTAGCACTATCCTCCCATTGTTCATCGATTTGCTCAGGCAGGCCCAGAAACATCTCCATTGTGAGACTTATTGTTACTGTGTTTAGCATATCGAATACATCATGGGGAGCTTGCCAGGCTTTTCCCTGCAGGCGAGATACTCTCAGTAGCTTGCTGGGGTCTCTGAGAGGGGTGGAGGAACTGAACCCGGGTCGGCCAGGCCTGCAGCATGCAAGGCAAACACCCTACCTGCTGTGCTATTGCTCCAGCCCAAATAGCAGTACTCCTCCATAAAAAAAAAAAAAGAAGAAGAAAAAAAGACTCAGTCCCTGACAACTTCCCTGAAGACTTACCATAAGATCACATATTTTCTAAATATGATTTTGCTAACACCTCACAGCCTATGTGCAATGCAGCATCAGCAGCCAAATTTCTCCAGGGATAGAACCAGCACTACCTTTCCCCCATAAATGTACTATTCCCTTTAAATGTTATCTGGGGCCAATTTTGAAAACAAAGCTTGAGAGCATAGGGAGTTTGACCACACCAAGGAAGTCCTGCCAGACACAGGGACTGTCTTCCCACAGTAGCATTGTCCTCCCATTGTTCATCGATTTGCTCAAGCAGGCACCAGTAATGTCTTACAACAAATTGTGAGACTTGTTGTTACTGTTTTTGGCATATTAAATATGTCATGGGTAGCTTGCCAGGCTTTGCCATGTGGGCAAGATACTCTCAGTAGCTTGCCGGACTCTCCAAGAGGGGCAGAGGAATCGAACCCGGGTCGGCCATGTTGGCCGCATGCAAGGCAAATGCCTTACCCGCTGTGCACTGCTCCACAGTAGGATAGCAAATTTGATGAGGACAGGATATAAGGCTGTAGCTACCATGGTCACTAAGTCTCAAAACAATACTTTAAAAATGAGGTCCTGCGGCTACATGCAAAAAAATGGGCTCAGAACTCTGCCTAACACCATGTACAAAAGTAAGATCAAAATGGATTAAAGACCTCAACATCAAACCAGAAACCATAAGGTACATTGAAGACAAAGTTGGCAAAATAATCCATGACATTGAAGCTAATGGTATCTTCAAAGATGCCACGCCACTGGCCAAGCAAGTGAAAACAGAGATAGATAAATGGGACTATCTTAAACTAAGACGCTTCTGCACCTCCAAAGAAACAGTGACCAAAATACAAAGACAGTCTACAGAATGGGAAAGGATATTCGCCGAATACACATCTGACAAGGGGTTGATATCCAGGATATACAAAATACTGGTTAAACTCCACAAGAAGAAAACATCCAACCCCATCCAAAAATGGGGCAATGAAATGAACAGAAACTTTCTCAAAGAAGAAATCCGAATGGCAAAAAAAGCACATGAGAAAATTCTCTACATCACTAATCATCAGGGAGATGCAGATCAAAACCACAATGAGATACCATCTCACACCTCAGAGACTGGCCCACATTCAAAAGAACAAAAGCAACCGATGCTGCTGGCGCGGATGTGGCGAGAAAGGGACACTCCTTCACTGTTGGTGGGAATGTCGACTGGTTCAGCCCTTCTGGAAAACAGTATGGACGATTCTCAAAAAATTAGAAATTGAGCTCCCATTTGACCCAGCAATACCACTCCTGGGAATATATCCCAGAGAGGCAAAAATGTATTCGAAGTGACATCTACACTTGTTTGTTCATTGCAGCACTCTTTACAATAGCCAGAAACTGGAAGAAACCTGAATGCCCAAGAACAGATGACTGGTTAAAGAAACTTTGGTACATCTACACAATGGAGTACTGTGTAGCTCTTAGAAAAGATGAAGTCATGAAATTTACATACAAGTGGTACAACATGGAAAGTATCATGTTAAGCGAAATGAGTCAGAAAGAGAGGGATAGACATAGAAAGATTGCATTCATCTGGGGGATATAAAGTAACAAAATATGAGATTAATACCCAAGAATAGCTGAGATCAGCACCAGGAGGATTACTCCATAGCTAAGTGGCCAGTCGGGCATTCTAGAGGAAAGGGCAGCTCAGATAGAGAAGGGAGCACCAAATAAAGGATGTTTGGAGGATCCCCCCAGGAGGGGAGATGCATGTCGAAAGTAGACTATGGACTGAACATGTTTGCCACTCAATGCCTCTTTTGCAGACCACAACACCCAAAAGGAGAGAGAGAACACAGGGGATTGCCCTGCCACAGAGGTAGGGGGGATGAGGGGATGGGGGTGGGGGGGATATTATCCATGGTGGTGGAAAACGGGCACTGGTGGAGGGATGGGTATCTGATCATTGTATAATCAAACCCAAGCACAAAAAATTGTAAATCTACAACTGTACCTCATGGTGTTTCACTAATAAAAAAATATAAAAAAAATGAGGTCCTGAAAGGTTATCACGTATGTCCCTTTACCTACTTTTAACGCTCAGTTCTTGTCCCACATGATCATTTCCAACTAATATTCTCATATTAGTCCCTTCTCTATCTTACCTACCCCCGGCCCCAAACAGCTTTGTAAGGATCGACGTCATGGTTATTCAATTTAAAAAATATATTTAAAAAAATGAGGACCTGAGGGCAGAAAAGAGAGTACAGGGAACAAGGCACTTGCCTTTCACACAGCAACGGGTTTCATTGCATTTCATTCATCTCCTGAGCACCTCTAGAAGTGACCCTGGGCACAGAGCCAGGAGTATGCTCTGAGCACCACCAGGGCTGGAAGAAGCTGCTGAGTATCACGAAGTGGGTCAACACTTGCCACCCCCTCTCCCCCCCACCACACACACACACAAGAAAAAACCAGATAAGGCAGCTGTGCTCTCCAGACTCCTCATTTCTTGCGTAGGCTTTTCTAGATCTACTGTCTGAGACCACCCCCTTCTTTCCCGTGTAAATCTAGTATTGAGGAAGGAAAGGTGTGTTTTGTGCTGGTTCGGGAGCTGAAGTAAGTGAGGAAGTATTAGAAAGAAATGGTTCAAATCTGTGGTTGCCTTTAGCCTCTGAAAGCCATCAGCCAGCAGCTGCACTGCAGCTCATGAGGACAGGGGTCTCTGAGGCCTGGGGCACCCCCAGGCCTGCAGATGGCAGTGAAGCAAGGACACAGCAGCAGCAACAGCATTCTGACTTGAGAACCGGAAATAAAGGCATTCAGAACAAAAAGCAAGTTACATAAGAGCAACAGTAGCAGCAGCTGGAAAACAAGCGATTGTTCAGATTTTCCTGCCTTTCTGCTCTATTTACACAAGAGCTAAACGATCACAATCAGTCGACTTGCCCAGTTTCCTGAGGATATCAGCTGCCAGGGGCCCCTGCAGCGTCTGTCTCTGTCCAGCACCCGGCTGCTAGGTCACCTGGAGTGGCGGCAGGGGGAGAGCCTACTCACCTTGAGGTGATAAAGCACCACCCCAGTGCTGAGCACATCGTCCTCCAAGGCCATGAGATGAGGCAGGCTGGAGTTGATGACCACCTCGGCCCTCTTCCTGTTGATGTCCACTCGATAATGCTCCACCAGGACCTTCCACTCACCCCACTTCTGGCGCCAGTCTTTTGTCAGCTGATCTATCTGCAGAGAGGAAGTGATACCTCAGATGTGCAGCCTGGGGAGCTGACTAAGGGTCAGGTGCCACCCCAGCTGCCACCTAGTGGCATTACTTCCTCACCTTTGAAAGCCCCACACTATTACCTGCACCTGCTCTGTAAGCTGTTTTGTAAGCGTTCTTCAGTAAGCACGTGTTACTTTCATAAATAGAAATGCACTCAGAAAATGTTATCGTTAAAATTTTCTCTACCGAACAGAGAATTTTTTTGTAATTTAAAAAATGCCAAGACACTACTTTAAAAATTTGTGATGCTAGACTTCTCTTTATAATTTCCCTTTCCCTGGTATCCTTCTTGGGAATCCTTTAATGAATGAACACTCCTTTCCCAAGATGACGCACCTTGGCTCTAACACAGTTTAAAGACCCAGACAGAGGAACAGGGAGAAGGTTCAAAGGGCTTTAGCATATACTTTGCATGTGGAACCCCTGGTTTGCTCCCTGGCACCACATGACTCCTCTGCTGGGAATAGTCCTGAGCACTGCTGGGTGTGGCCCCAAACCACAATAAACTGTAAAGCCCCACAATGCAACCAAGAAGAATCTCCCAAGGGGAGAATGGAGACTATAAGAAACTGTTCATATAGCAAAGAAAACAGCAACATTAAAGCAGTAACAACCTGAGGGTTCACTATGTGTCAGGAACAGAGTAAGAGTAAAAACACCAAGAGGAGCTAAGGAACAACAAAAGACAATGCTGAACATTGGATCCTTTTCCCCTTGTTTGAAATGGGGGGACTAGAGGAACTGAGAAATCCAAGAAAAAGGAATCAGATTCAGCTAAGAATGTCTCTCCTACAGGGGAATGCTTATGAAAAATGAAATGAGGTTAAGTTCAGGCTCTCTAGAAACAACATTTTTTTTATATAGTAATTGAGTGGGAGGTTTGAAAACAGTAAAACTTCAGGGGTCCGTAGTGAACTGGGCTGGATAAGGGCCTGGGAATTGGGACAGAGGAGTCAACCTGGCACAGTTCAATACCCTCTCCGACACAGCCCGGCGTCAGAGAACCAGCAAGTTCAAGTCCAGGTGAGCAGGCTGGGGGAATGAAAAAATGCTAAAGAGTCAGGGAAATTTCTGACTCTCTTACTTCATCTCTCGTGTAATAGAGAAACCTTTTATAAGCCCCAAATCAGAACACATACTATACAAAGTAATTTTGAGAAATTTCTGGGTTTTGATATATGATCCTGAAGTTATATGATCCTGAGTGACAAAATGCAACAATGCCGGGTTATTTGCTTTGATAATGTATAAAAATGTTGCAAAAAAAAAAAACTGGGACATTTGGTTGCAGCATCTAAATCTAATCTGTTAGCAATTACTGCCTCCATCTTCCTTTAAAATGTCTCGAAAACCACAACATCACGTCTGTTCACAGGGTGATAAACACTGCTGAGTCGGCCCAACACACCCACCTTTAGTTCATTTTGGAGAACCAGTTCCTTCAGATTTTCATCTTTTTCTTCGACCAATGAACTGAAGTTTCTCTGCACAAAGGAAAAGATGTGTTTGGTGGCCCCTACCCTTACTTTTCTGAAGAAAATGTACAAGTAAAGGGGAAATGTTGGCATTAAAATCAGAAACAAATCAACAACACAGTATTTGGGTTCAGATTGGTACCAAGAGGAATTCCAAGAAATTTTCTTGGAGGGCACTGCACCATGTCATATATTTGGCCCCACACTGAGCATACCCGGGAAAACACCCTCTGGGCAACAGTGAGAGGATGCCTCCTCATCTGAAGTCCCCACAGGGAATCAGAGGAACAGAGGAACCCCCTTTCTGTCTGCTCCCACCTACTCCCTGATGTTCATGAAAACAAAGCAAGATTCTGGTACTATGAAGAAACAGGAATTTTGTGATTAAAATTCTTTGTGTTAGTCTTTGGGAGGTGAGGGAGCCACACCTGGCAGTGCTCAGGTCTTACTTCCAGCACTCAGGGATCACTCCTGGCTCAGGAGACCCTTTAGGGGGACAGGGATCAAACCAAGGTAAGCTGCATGCAAGGCAAGTGCCCCACCTGCACTCAGACCTTAGTCTTTTGTTTTTTTTGTTTGTTTGAATTTTTATTAGTGAAACACCATGAAATACTACTTCCACTACCCAGCCGTCGCCACACTCCAGGACGCTTTCCGGACCCGCGCGGCTGCAAGCGGCCACGCGACACATCATAAGACACTAAATACCCGTCTTCTGGAATTGTCGTACCATATTTGATAGGGTTCAAATATGGTAACACCTACAAGGGTGATTAGAGGTCACCCCAAAAGCCTCTATACCTCTCGGAAAGACTGGCAAGCTACCGAGAGCATTCCGCCCGCACGGAAGAGCCTGGCAAGCTATCCGCTGTGTATTCGATATGCCAAAACCAGTAACTACAACTGGTCTCATTCACCTGACCCTGAAGGCTTCACCGACATGGCAGCACTGAGAAGGATGAGAAAGGAGAGGCCGACAAAATCTCAAGGCCGACCTAGGCTGCCACAACGAAGGAAGACAAAAATGATCGTCTGTACTTTCAATGCACGTACGCTAGCATCAGATGCATCCATCGAGGACCTGATGGTACAAGCGCGAATGATCAAGTACGACATCATTGGTCTGACCGAGACAAGAAGACATGAATCTCACCATGCCGTTTTCGACACTGGAGAAGAATTGTTCCTCGGAACATGCGATAAAAGAGGTGTTGGAGGCGTCGGTGTCCTTGTCAACACAAACTTGGCCAAGAGCATTGATTCATTCGAATGCCTAACAACCCGAATCGGACGTTTATATTTGAATAGATGTGGCTCACTGCCTGCAGTTTCTATCTTCGTTGTCTACGCACCAACATCTCATTATGATGAAAGAGAAATCGAGAAGTTCTACATGGAGCTAGAGAAGTTCTATAAAGAAGACCACACCTTCTACAAGATCATTGTGGGTGATTTTAATGCCAAGATAGGACCGAGAAGATCAGCTGAAGAACTTCACATCGGAACCCATGGCCTAGAATGGAACGAACAGGGTGAGAGACTGTCTGAGTTCATCATGTCGACCAAGACCATTCATGGTAACTCACAGTTCCAGAAGGCAGAATCTAAACGATGGACATGGGAGTCTCCCGGTGGACGATTCCACAACGAAATAGACCACATCATATTCAATCGACGGTTTTGCCTGACTGATGTCGCTGTTGTCCCAAAATTTCGAACGGGATCGGACCACCGTCTCCTTCGTGCAAAATTCTACTTCACAGAGCGGGGAGAAAGGGCTGCAAAGTTCAAAAAGAGAACTCCCAGAACGACCACCAACTGGGAACTCTTTGGTACTATTGCGGCAACATGGGAAGATGCCATTGTTGACAACATTGACGAGGAATACGATCGACTGGTTCAGCACCTCCATGAATGTGCGAGGAACGCCAAGAGAGAGATAGCCACAAAAAGTCGCCTATCTTCGAAAACTCTTGAGCTAATTCGCCAGCGTGGTTTGGCGCATGCCTCAGGCAACCGCAAGCTAACGTCCGAGCTCGCAAAGCAGTGCAGAGATGCGATCAAGGAAGACCTCAAAGAGAGAAGAGCAGAAGTACTGGTAGATGTGGCAGAAGCCGGGAAAAGTATTCATAACGCCCGCCTGTCCTTCGCCAACTATAAGACCAAGATGACTGCCCTCCGACGTCCTGATGGATCCATCACATCCTCCAGAACGGCAATGGAGAAGATTATCCATGACTTCTACTCAAATCTCTTCGATAGCCATGTCCACTTGCCGACATACCAAATTCCACAGGATGGGTATGTCGTTCCCAACGTTCTCCCTTCCGAAATCCGACACGCCATTTCGTCAGTAAAGAAGCAAACAGCACCCGGCCCAGACAAGGTCAGACCTGAACACCTGAAGAAACTGCCGTCAGTACTCATCAATACACTGGCTCGGCTCTTCACTCGCTACCTGTCTGAATGCAAGGTTCCATCTCAATGGAAAACCAGCAGGACCGTACTACTGTTCAAGAAGGGAGACATCCATGACATTGGCAACTATCGCCCGATCTGCCTACTGTCTGTCATCTACAAGTTGTTTACTCGAGTCATCCTGAATAGGATTGGCAGAACACTAGATGAAGGACAACCATGTGAGCAAGCAGGGTTCCGCAAAGGATTCAGCACCATCGACCATATCCACACGATAACCAAGCTCATTGAGGTTTCTCGGGAGTTCAAGATGCCGCTCTGCTTAACGTTCATTGATTTAAAGAAGGCCTTTGATTCTGTTGAGACGGAAGCGGTCATTGAAGCCCTAGCCAATCAGGGCATTCAAGCCCAATACATCAGGATCCTCCGTGAGCTGTATTGCGGATTCACTACCAGGATCTCACCATTCTACAAAGAAGTGATCGTTGATGTCAAGAGAGGGGTGCGGCAGGGTGATACCATTTCACCAAAACTCTTCAGTGCCACCCTCGAGAACATCATGCGACGACTGGAATGGGAAGGAATGGGAGTGAAGATAGATGGTCGGCAACTACACCACCTCCGCTTTGCTGATGACATTGTTTTAATAACACCAAACATCAGCCAAGCGGCACAAATGCTGGCCGACTTTGACCGTGAGTGTGGAAAGGTAGGACTACAGCTGAATCTTACGAAGACAATGTTTATGAGAAACAGCCTTGTTCCTGATGCCCCATTCGCTCTCAATGGAATGACCATCTCCGAATGCAACAGCTATGTGTACCTAGGTCGAGAGGTCAACATGACAAATGACCTGGCACCCGAGCTGCGCAGGAGGAAGAGAGCGGCTTGGAACGCCTTCAAGAACGTCGAAGAAATAGCTAAGAGGACGAAGAACCTCCGGCTCCGGGCACATCTCTTTGATTCCACTGCTCTTCCTGCATTAACATATGCCTCAGAGACCTGGGCCCTACGCAAACAAGATGAGAACGCCATTCAGGTCTCCCAAAGAAGAATAGAAAGAGCTATGCTTGGAATATCACGTTTCACTCAAATGAGAGAACGAATCCGGAGTTCTGACATCCGTCGACGATCAAGGATCAGGGACGCTGTCTCATTTGCCAAGGTGTCGAAAATCAGATGGGCTGGTCACGTAATGAGATTTAAAGACGACCGTTGGACTAGAGCTGTTACTGATTGGATTCCACGGGATGTCAAGAGACCGCGTGGCCGCCCACCTACCAGATGGTCAGACTTCTTTGTCAAGATCATGAACGATCAGTTTGAGGCCCTCCATGTTCCCGGAGCGAAGAGATGCCATTGGGCTACACTAGCACGCGACAGGGACAAATGGAGACGTTACTGGCGCCCGCTCGAGCAAATCGAGGACTAACGGGAAGTTAAGTGATTAAGTGACCATGAAATACAGTTGTAGACATTACAAGTTTTTGTGCTTGGGTTTTAGTTATGATCGAGTATTCATCCCTCCACCAGTGCCCATTCTCCACCACCAATGATACCAGTATCCCTCCCACCCCCCTTTCCCCCCCATCTCATCCCACCTCTGTGGCGGGGCATTCCCTTTTGTTCTCTCTCTTCTTTTGGCTGCTGAAGTTTGCAAAAGAGGCATTGAGTGGCAATCATGTTCGGTCTATACTCTACTATCAGCATGCATCTCCCGTCCTGGGAGGATCCTCACAACACCCTTTACTTGGTGTTCCCTTCTGTCCCTCTCTTTCTGACTAATTTCACTTAGCATGATACTTTCCATGTAGTACCACTTGTATGTAAATTTCATGACTTCATCTTTTCTAACAGCTGCATAGTACTCCATTGTATAGATGTACCGAAGATTCTTTAACCAGTCATCTGTTCTCAGGCACTTAGGTTTTTTCCAGATTTTGGCTATTGTGAACAGTGCAGCAATGAACGTAGAGCTGCAGATGTCATTTTGGCTATACTTTTTTGCCTTTCCAGAATATATTCCCAGGAGTGGTATTGCTGAATCAAATGGGAGCTCAATTTCTAATTTTTTGAGAATTGTCCATACCGTGTTTCAAAAAGGCTGAACCAGTCAGCATTCCCACCAGCAGTGAAGGAGTCCCTTTCTCGCCACATCCGTGCCAACACTGGTTGCCTTTGTTGTTTTGGACATGGACCATCTCTGTGGTGTGAGATGATATCTCGTTGTTTTAGATCTGCATCTCCCTGATGATTAGTGATGTAGAGCATTAGAATTTCGTCTTTGAGAAAGTTTCTGTTCATTTCATCACCCCATTTTTTGATGGGGTTGGATGTTTTCTTCTTGTGAAGTTCAACCAGTGCTTATATATCCTTGATAAAGTAAAAGTAAAGTAAAGGCCCTCCCGTTGATCATCAATTTGCTCGAGCGGGCCCAGTAACGTCTCCATTGGAGACTTTGTTGTTACTGTGTCTGGCATATTGAATACTCTCGGTAGCTTGCCGGGCTCTCCGAGAGGGGCGGAGGAATCGAACTCGGGTCGGCCATATTGGCTGCGTGCAAGGCAGACGCCTTACCCGCTGTGCTATCGCTCCAGCCCTTGATATCCTTGATATCAACCCCTAATCAGATGGGTATTGGGTGAATATTCTTTCCCATTCTGTAGATTGCCTTTGTATTCTGGTCACTGTATCTTTTGAGGTGCAGAAGGTTCTTAATTTAAGATAGTACCTTTTTATTTTTTTTATCTCTTTTTCCACTTGGATGGTCAGTGGAGTGTCGTCTTTGAAGATACCATTAGCCTCAATATCGTGGAGGGTTTTGCCGACCTTGTCTTCAATGTACCTTATGGATTTTGGCCTGATGTTGAGATCTTTAATCCATTTTGATCTGACTTTTGTGTATGGTGTTAAGTCGAGGTCTAAGCCCATTTTTTTGCATTTGGTTATCTAGTTATGACAGCACCATTTGTTGAAGAGGCTTTCCTTGCTCCACTTTATGTTTCTTGCTCCCTTATCAAAGAATAGATGTTCATACATTTGGGATTGTGTGTACAGATATTCCAGCCTGTTCCATTGGTCTGTGGCCCTGGCTTTTGTTCCAGTACCATGCTGTTTTAATTATTACCTCTTTGTAGTAGAGTTTGAGGTTGGGGAGGGTAATGCCTCCCCACGTCTTTTTCCCAAGAATTGCTATAGCTAAAGCGAAATGAATCAGAAAGAGAGGGACAGACATAGAAAGACTGCATTCATCTGGGGAACATAAAGTAACAAAATTGGAGACTAACACCCAAGAATCGCCAAGATAACTACCAGTAGGTTTACTTCATACCAGTAGGTTTACTTCATAGCTTGGAGGCCAGCCGCACATGCTATGGGGGAAAGTCAGCTCAGATAGAGGAGGGAGGACCAAATAGAGGGTGTTGGGAGGATCCTCCCAGGATGGGAGATGCATGCTGAAAGTAGACTATAGACCGAACATGATTGACACTTAATGCCTCTTTTGCAAACCACAGCACCCAAAAGGAGAGAGAGAACAAAAGGGAATGCCCTGTCACAGAGCAGGGTGGGATGGGGGGGATAGGGGGTAGGAGGGATACTGGGATCAGTGGTGGTGGAGAATGGGCACTGGTGGAGGGATGGGTACTGGATCATTTTATAGCTGAAACCCAAGCACAAAAATTTGTAAGTCCACAACTGTACCTCATGGTGTTTCACTAATAAAAATTTTTTTTAAAAAGAATCGCTTTAACTATTCGTGGGCATTTATTGTTCCATATGAATTTCAGGAGTGCTTGATCTATTACTTTGAAGAATTTCATGGGTATCCTTATAGGGATCGCATTGAATCTGTATAACGCTTTGGGGAGTATTGCCATTTTGGCAATGTTAATTCTTCCTAACCATGAGCAGGGGATATGTTTCCATTTCCTCATGTCTTCTTTTATTTCATAGAGTAGCTTTTTGTAGTTTTCATTGTAGAGGTCTTTACCTCTTTAGTTAGGCTGATTCCGAGGTATTTGATTTTCTGGGGCACGATTGTGAATGGGATTTTTTTTTTCTGTCACTTTCTTCTGTCTCATTATTTGCGTATAGGAAGGTCATGGATTTGGGGGCATCAATTCTATAGCCTGCTACTTTACTGTACAAGTCTGTTGATTCTAGGAGTTTCTTGGTAGAGGATTTAGGCTTCTCGAGATATAGTATCATATCATCTGCGAATAGTGAGAGCTTGATTTCTTCCTTTCCTATCTGGATGCCTTTAATGTCTCCTTTGTATGTGAATTCCTTCTTTGACCTTGCTGTTTGCAGTATTGTGTCTCTATCCACAGCATCCATCATTCTATGATATGCGTCGGAGTGTTTTTATTAGGGTCTCTTTTAGCTGGCACCCTTCTGGCCCCTTGGATCTGGGTGTCTGCATTCTTTAACTCTGGGAACTTTTCAGCAATGATTTCTTTGACTGTGGCTTTTTCATTGGGGTTGCCTCCCTGTCCTTCTGGTACTCTGATAATCCTAATGTTTCTCTTGGTGTCATCCGCTAGGTCTCTGATTCTCCTTAGAGCTATTTTGAGGTCTTTTCCCATCATTTGTTGTTCCCTATGTGATTTCTGTTGCTTATCTTCAAGCTCACTGATCCTGTCTTCAGCTGTATTCAATCTACTGCTGAGGGCACCCACTGAGTTTTTAATTTCGTCTACTGAATCCTTTATTTGTGACACTTCTTTCTGTAGCTTTTTTATTTTGTTCTCATTTCTTCCTATATTTTCTTGACTACCCGTTCTACTGTTTCTTTCATTTCTTCCTTTAATTTTCTGGATGTCCCTCCATTGATTCCTTGAGTAGTTCCTTGAACATCCTCCACATTTCATCTTGGAATTCTTTATCGGAGAGAGCATATTTGTGGATAACCCGGGTTGAGGATTCAAGACTCTTTTCTTCGTCCTCTCCTTGTAGTGGAGATTTGCGCTGTTTCTTCATGCTGTTTTGGTTGTCTCAAGGTAAAACCTTGGAATTCACGAGCACTGTTCCCTCTTATCATGGAAAAGGATTCTGGATAAGGTTGGTCGATGGTGGTCACCCTTCTCCCTTTCTAGAATCTGACCTTCCTCTCAGGCATTATTCTTTGGCTTATGGCGGGCATCTAGCGAAGTTTTGGAGGAGGTGCTCTTTAATATCGGGCTTGTACAGCTTCTTGCGTACTGCTCTTTTGTTAAATTGGAGTAGGCCAGTGAGTGTTTTGTTTTGTTTTGCAGTGTCAGGGACCACCAGGGCCTCACACATACAAGGCAAGTGGCCTCCTTAAACTGAATTCCCACCCAGCCCTTGAGTAAAGTTCTCGTTGCATAAATACCAGTTTGAAGCTCAGGAGCATGGCCTTCAGTCTTCCGATCTCTTCCCTGAGTTCTCTGATCAGCTTTATGTTCGCATCCTGAAACAGAGAACTCAGTCAATACTCACTGATCTCAGGCCCCACTTTTTCTATGTAGCTAGGTTAAATGAAATTACACCTTTGCTATAAGTTCTCTAACAGTTTTTTTTTTAAAGTATGATCTCTGGACTAGAGCATCAAGTTCAGCTAAGAACATGTGGGAAATCAAATTCTGCCCCACTGTTAAGCCACTAAATTAGAAACACTTGTGGACTGATGTTCGGCTGTACTTTATTAAATCCTCTAGGTGAGTGTGATGCTTGCTAGTTTGAGAATCACAGTTCTGGAATCACTGTTACCTGGTTAGAAGGTAATACAAATGAGGATCAAGCATAGGTGGAAGGTGATAATATTCCTGCACTGTGGCTAAATTTAGTATCTGCTGAATTTACGTGGCCTGATTTCTTTGTCTTCGCCATGTTGGGGATTGAACCCAGGGCCTCACATTCAAGATGTGTGTGCTGCTGCCGAGCCACATCACTATGTCTGACATGGCCTTTAAATCAACAAGATTCCAAAAGTAGAGAGAGAATAAGATGGAAGGTGCCTGCCAAAGAGGCAGGAGGTAAGATGGGATAGGAGTGGCGGGAGGGATATTGGGAACATCGGTGGTGGAAAATGTGCACTGGTGGAGGAATGGGTGTTTGATCATTGTATAACTGAAACTCAATCATGAAAGCTTTGTAATGGCATTGTATGGTGATTCAATAATAAATAAATAAACAAATAAGGTGAATGATACATGGTCACCAATTGGTGATCTCTGCACTGGAACTTTTCACTGAAACTGTGAAACACATAGGAACTTTTGGAACATTCTATTACTCAGTTTTTAAAACTATAAATTCCCTATATGGTCCATTATGCCCCAAAAAAGCAACTGCAATCTACTTAGGGGGTGAAGGAGACACAGAGGAAAACACAAGTATATACTACATTAATTAAAACGACTATGGTTAAGAGATGGGTGCTGGGACATTGCATGATTGAAATTCAATCATGAACAGCTTTGTAACTGTGTATCTTATAGTAATTCAATTTTTAAAAAAGTTTTAAATGCTACATGTGCCAGAAGAAAAGCATTCTGGTTGATGGTGGTAGCCCAGACTGAATGGGGGAATACAAGAGAGAAACAAGGAATGTTTACAACCAGAGATCTTATAATCAGTGAGAGTCTATTTTGCACTTGTGAAAAATCTAAAATAGTTTATTTTGAAAGAAATAACTGCAGAGGTTTTTTTCAGAGTAGTAGTGCTGCACCAGGGATCTTAAGAGGAATTGTTTTAGAGAAATAGCTAAACTATTCATAATTTTTCATAAAAAGTTACTGAATGGTGCCAGTAAAGCTGTGAAGAAGGTTTGACACTTAAAGATTTATTTCACTGTCTCGTAATTGGGAGAACAAGTCTGGCAGGTGGGGTGAGTACAAGGAGGAAGCAATCAACAAGGGGGAAAACTAAGTGAAGAGCAAAGAGCATTGTGTAAACCACACCAGGCCAGGACCTCGGGGGATGGTCTTACCTCATTGATCTGTGGCTTGTTGATGATATTCTTGGCATTGGCTGCATATCTCAGGGTGCTCATGGTCTCACTGTAGCAAGTGTGTGCCGGAGACACCGCTGATAGAAAAGGAAAGGGTTAAAAAACAGGCTTGCCCTTCCAAACCAGACCCTACCACTTGCCTGCCCAGGTTATATATAAGAACCCCCTGCCCAGGTTATGTACAAGAACCCCCTGGATGATCCTGCAGTCAGGGTATCTGAGGCAGCGTTACCATCCTGACACAGAACCAGCCCCAGCACCCACTCACTGGCAACCATGATGGTTTGGGAGTTGCCTCCAAGACTGTCTTTCAGCAGCCAGGTCAACACGGAGTCCCTGTAGGGGATGTATGACTGCCTCCGGGGGAGCCCCCCTCCACTGCCAGTTCCAGAAGGAGAGCTAGGTACCCCACTGTCACCACCACTGGCCGTGCTGCTGAGGCTCTGGCAGCCACTGGATACTTGAGAGTTCTGAGCTTAAGAGACAAAGCAGAAAAAAAAATCATGAGATAAATACATTAAAGCAAAATAGTCAGGGCACGACTCTCCCAGCACCCCATGATGAAGGCTCTGGCCACAAGCACCACCACAACCACAAGGAAAATGACCGGGATATAGCTCAGTGACAAAGTGCACTATTTAATAGTATGGGGCCCCAGGTTCAATCCCTGGTATCCCCCCAAAATAATGTTGGTGAACACAAATTTAAGTACCATTATTTCATAACCCCTTTCCACATGTGATAGAATGCTTTAAGACTGAGTTCAAAAATTAGACTTGGGAGTCATAATGTAGAATATCTGAATCACACATTTATTTACTTTTTGTCTTCTTTTTGAAATGAGAGTGTTGGGATCATAGTTGTGTTCTAAACCTACAAACATCAATTGTTTGTGCCCCCAACCAGAAGCTTTGCAAGAATCTTATAATTAATTATGTAGCCCATTTTGATACAACGAGCACATCTGAGCTCTTCCCAAGTCCAATGAGCTTGTCTCCCAGCAGGAATACCTAAGGCAGAGATGACAATTCCCAGAGTTACAAGAGACTTGTTGATATTGGCTCCTTCAGTGATCCGGTCCTTACAGTAACTTGGATCTGCTCGTTCACTAAAACACAGTCAATGAAACAAAAACAAAAGTGAAAAGAAGATGCTATTAATTTAAGGCTGTTGGAAGATACTATGCATCATGCTGGACATTGTATAAAAGAACCACATACTTCTAGAATTCAGTTCCAGAAGACAAGTGTTGCTCTCCTGTAATTAAACTGGAATTTTTCTGCTTCTTCTACAACAAAGGTTAATTCATTACATTTCTATTATTATTTTGGCTGTTGGAGAACTTTCAGTTAAATATAGTACTCAATTACAGTCACACTAACAGTCATTTGGTATAATCCCTTTCCCTTTATTATTTTAATTTTACATATTGATGCCTTGATATATTAACCACTAACTGCCAGATATCTCAAATTCTTTTAAGCAAGTGAAAAAAAGTATTGTATTTCCAGTTAGTTTATATTGTTACTTCCAGACAGCACTTAGTTTTCTTGTTTAATGAGGGTTTTTTGGGGGGTGGCGGGGAGCAAAGGAGTGTTGGGTCACACACAGCTGTGCTGAGGGTTTATTCCTGGCTCTGAGGTCAGGGGTCAGGGGTCTCTACTCTGTTATATCCACTGTACGACCCTGTTCTGCCCACTGTGTTATCTCTCTAGACCCCGCCCTTAGTTTAAAAGGAAATGCTTTGCCAGATTAATGATTTGGCAATTAAAAAACAAGAGAATTTGCCTTTCTTTATACCATACTTTTTTGTGTCCACATTATTTTCAAGACTTATTTCTGAGTGTGTGATATTTTATGTTTCGAATAAAAAAAAAATAGTGGAGACTCACAAATGAATCTTGGAAGTTGGCAGCTCACCACAGAGATGTCCCTAGACCCTGTGCTGAGCGAATTTCACAAGGATGCCTCAGATGGAGGAGGCCCCCCCTCTCTCTCTGCCTACTCCAATGAACCCTGGCAGCCAAAAATATCCAGAAGGAAAACCCAGGCACTGGAACCAGTGACTGAAAACTTCATTTAAGTTTTCAGTCACATAAAGGCAGGTATGGGCTGTCCCTCGCCCTCTACCCGCCCACCTGGTATCCTGGCTGTCACACCCAAGAATTGCCTCCATCTGCCATTTAAGCACATTAATGGCCACGATACAGAGACGCACAAATGAATCTCGGAAGACCGCATCTTGCCACAGAGATGTCTCTGGGACGTATTCGTAGACTTGCTATACTATTCGTTACAAGCAATACAAAATAAATTATTTAGCATCTGCCTGTGGAGCAGGCTTTAGTGGTGGTGAGAAAATTTGAAATAATGGTGGAAGGAAGTGGTAATGATGGTAGGATTGGTGTTGAAATATTGAATGTAATCAATTATTATAAGAAACTGTATAAAAATAAAATTTAAAAAAAGATAGTGTTTTCTTTCCAATAACCCAATATTTTAAAAGTTTTTCTTCTTTTTTATTGGGGTGTGTATGTAATGTATAGTGCTGCAGAAAATCAATACAAAGTCAAAAGGAGAAAGTGAGCTCATTCACACTTGGCTAACCACCAGCACCATGGGGGCAGATTGCCTATGCTTCCTTATCACCACTAATAATCTGATTGACTTGGTCTGGGATAAAATCTAGGCATGAGAAGTTTTGAAAGGTTCTAGATGAGGGGGATGGAGCAATAATACACTGGATAGGATGTGTGCCTGCACAGGTGACCGACCCAGGTTCCATCCCCAGCATCCCATATGAGCCCCACCAGGGGTGAATCCTGAGTGCACAACCAGGAGTAAGTCCTGAGCATCACTGGATGTGACCCAAAAAACAAAACAAAAGGGTTATAGATGATTTTTTTTAAATTATCAAGGCGCCATGATTTACAAAGTTATTTATAGTTGGGTTTCATGCATATGTCAATATTCCAACGTCAGTCCCACTACCAGTGTCAACTGCCCTCCACTAGGTTCCCTCTCACCTGATGCCTGCCTCCTTGACAGACACGGTATTCAGTTTGGCTGTTGTAGTTTGGATCTCAGGCTTTCAGTTGTTTGTTCTGCATTTCAACAAGGGCCCTGCCCCAGTGCCTCCCATCCGACCCTTCTCCTCAGTTTTTCTCCTGTCCTTTTCTCAGTGAGGGATTTTTAATGTTTTAATGGACAGCTAAAATTAGAGAACCCCAGACATAGAGGAACTGCTCAAACCTTAGAAAATGACATTTCTTTATCTAACATTCAAAGAATGTTTCTTTTGAAATTTTGTCAGAATAATAGCAATGTGAAAGAAGGTTGGAATAAGCTTATTTCCTCTAAAAAGGGCAAGAACAAGGTCGCTCTGAGAGAGAGATTCCCATTTGTTTGAAATTCTTTGTTTACCTGCCTGCTAGGTCCACGAGGTTGATCTTGCTAGCAGTTTCAGAGGGGAGATTGTTCTCCATAGTCGCCTAAAGGAGAAAACAAATTTAGTTTGTCACTGGGAGAGTTGGAGAGATAGCAGGTAAGGCACTTGTCTTGTACATGGATGACCTGGTTTCGATCCCTTGTAAAGCATACGGTCAACTGAATATTGTCAGGAGTAATCCTTGAGCATACAGCCAGGAGTAAACCCCAAACACCACAGGAGGTGGCCCCAAAAGAAAAAAAATGATCATAGAGATAGTACAGTCAGTAAGGCACTTGGTCTTACCCATGGTTGACCTGGGTTCAGTCTCCAGTGTTACATATAATCATCTGAGCATATGTACCACCAGGAGTGATCCGTGAGCACAGAGCCAGGAGTAAGCCCTGAGCACAGTTGGTGTGGCCATAAACAAACAAACAAAAAGCTTGTCATTTGGGGAAAAATATTCCCCCCAGATAACCCTTCTAACAAGAGGTATTTTAGATTTTTAGCCAACTCACTCAAGAAATCTGTATTCTAAATCTGTATTTTAATGTACTCTGAAGTTGAGGATATTGCCTTACCTGAGATATATTCAGTGAGTCTTGCATCATTACTTCATGAAAAATACAAGTAGAGGCCAAAGTGAGAGCATAAGGGGTAAAGTGCTGGTCTTGGATGTGGCTATGGTGATTGCCTTGGTTTGAATCCTTGGCACCACAAATGATTTCCTAAAAACTGTCAGGGTCACTGAGCAAAGAACCAGGAGTAGCCCTGAGCACGTAAATAATGCTCCCCACAAAACAAAGTCAACTTTTAAAAGTATGCAAATTCTCAAAGTTTTCACTATTTTCAGGGGCACTGAAAAATTTATTTGTTTTCAATTTTATGAACTTTTTAAAAAGTATTTGGGTAACACCCAGAGATGCTCAGAGGTCACTCCTGGCTCTTCACTAAGAAATTACTTTTGGTGGTGCTCAGAGAACCATACAGGATGCCAGGGATCGACCCCAGGTCAGGCATGTGCAAGGTCATCTCAGTCGACTGAGAATCACCAGGACAAACCCCCAGACCTGCTGAGCACAGTGTTCAATCCCCAGCACCACAAGGCCCCCTGACCACTGCCAGGGAGTGACCCCTAAGCACTGCCACGAGTAGGCCCTCAGTATTAGTGGAGTGGTTCATAAAATAAAAGGTTGACCCATATTCAATCCTTAAAATCCCATATAATCATGCCAGGAGTGATCCCTGAGCACTGCCATACATGACCCAAAAACAGAACAACAAAAAAACCCAAAACACATAGAACATTCTTTGGGATAAACAATATAATCTAATGCATTAATTTATAAGTTAAGTTCTAAGGATATTGTGCTGAGTATTGTTAACAATATTATTTAGTATTTTTGAAAATTGATGAGTAGATCTTAAAAGTTCTCATCACAAGGAAAAGCATTTTTAAATTTTTTCAAAGTTGTTGGTTTTTAAAAAAAAAATTATACACACACACTATTAAGTCTGTCAGGGCTGGATAGATGGTGAGAGATATGGGCTCTCTTAGTTTCTGCTCATATGTGCTCAGCTTCGGATCAACTCAGGACATGTGTGGATTTTATGAAGCCTCCTATGGTTATAGCATTCTCCAAAATGCCCTGTTAAATCCCCAGAGAGCCTGCCAGTTCATTTTTATCACCTGAAACAGACCCAAAATCTCAGGCCAATGGGTCACTGACACTAAGACCATTACTTTAAATGTTGATGCTCCAAATCAGGTGAGTGCCTCTAGCAGTGGGAGCAATAGAGCTGCTGATTTTCACAACTTTCCTGAGTAAACTACTTAACTGTAGAGCTGGGGTATGGCAGGGAAAAGAGCAAAGACAACACACATCTATGTTACTCTCACCTGCACTTCAGTAGCTTTCTTTTTTTTTTTTTTTTTTGCTCTTTGGGTCACCCCCGGTGATGCACAGGAGTTACTCCTGGTTCATGCACTCAGGAATTACTCCTGGCGGTGCTCGGGGGACCATATGGGATGCTGGGAATCGAACCTAGGTCAGCTGCGTGCAAGGCAAATGCCCTATCCCCTGTGCTATTGCTCCAGCCTTTCAGTAGCTTTCTTAGATAAATGTTTCTCCATTTATTATATGCCATTGGTCTATTTTCAGACCACAAAATTGCTTATTTTTAACAGTTTCATAGAGGTCCATGGTTGCTTTCGGGGGATAGAATTTGTTGACCTCCTCATTCCATTATAATGAAAGCTAATCTCCTACTTTTTCCTTTTTTTTTTCTTTTTGGGTCACACCTGGCAATGCACAGGGGTTACTCCTGCCTCTACACTCAGGAATTACCCCTGACAGTGCTCAAGGGACCATATGGGATGCTGGGAATTGAACCCGGGTTGGCCACGTGCAAGGCCTTGCTGTGCTATTGCTCCAGCCCCCTACTTTTTCCTTTTAATGTTCATTTTAATCTTAATTTTTATATTTTATGGCTTTTTCCCATTGATAAGAGAAACATGAAGATATTTAGTTAAAGCTAAAAATATATATGGAAAGCATATTGATTAGCCTTTATGAAACAATCCTACCCCTTCTGGTTGCATCACTTAATAGAGTATATATAGGTCCACCACACCATATTAGCTTGTCTAAGAGGGTCTTATACAAAAATAAGGAAGAGATGTAGGAAGGAATACAAGAAAGCAGTCAGAAGGAATGAGGAAAGGGAGATCTCTGAGCAGAAATAAGAGGCGACCAACCTGTGTATAATGGATGGTGAAGATGGCATGGGATCTGCTGCTAGCCTCGTGAACATGGGTAGCTGCTGTTATTCTGCATGGAAAAGGAAAACAATTAGGACAAGAATTGTTTTTGCATGGTGGACCCTTAAAGATCCACCCTTAAGGAACATAGCACAAGAAATGTTAATGCCAAGTTTGCACAGTGAGAATCATAAAGCACACACTTACTCCAGTTAAGTAAGGAGAGTGGTTAGAAGAGGAGAAGCATCACGCTGGGCACTGATATGCGAGCATAAAAGGGAGGGCAGCAGCTGCACATTAAACCACATCAGAACATCCTTTTAAGAAACTATAGAAGCAAAAATCCAAGATGAAAATAAAGAGGAATACTAGGGTGTCATTAACCTGGAACAATATTCCCAAGACATATGCATTTAAATAATTTAAATAAAACAAGCAGAGCAGTGAATTTGCTAGAGAAGGCTCAAAGGAAGTGAGAACAAGACATAATTAGGCAAAGAATATTAATCTTCTAGTGCCAGAAAGGACTTTAAAACACATACTGATTTACATTAACATCATTCTTAGTCAGATGAAATTTGTAGTCTCTCTTAGAAAATCATTCCAAAGTTCACCCTTAAAATTACAAGCATCTTCTTTTTATCTAACTCTGCCAATCATCCTATAACTTAAGACCATCTCAATGTCTTCTGACCTCAGAGGAGCTAAGGAAAGAGACAAAAATTTAAAAAATCTAGAAGCTTGTTTAATGATGCAAAGATAAAAAGAAAAAGGTGAAGCTGGATACTTAAAGATCTAGGCACAATGTACATGCTGAAGACCAGCAGCCAGTGTTTCCTAGAAACCAGGTTAAATTTTATGTGTCTTTATACTCTTTTCATTCATATCTGCTATTAATAGTGTAAACAGAATATTTTTTTGGCTCTTTGGGTCACATCCAGCGATGCTCAGGGGTTACTCCTGGCTCTGCACTCTAGAATTACTCCTGGCAGTGCTTGGAGGACCATATGGGATGCCAGGAATCGAACTCAGGTCAGCCGCGTGCAAAGCAAACACCATACCTGCTGTACTATCAATATCCCAAACAGAACATTCTTATCTTCCCTACATTTTTCTTAAGAGAAAACATGGCCATTTTTCAGGCATATACTAACAGCATAACTAACAGTTATTCTGGGTAATAACAATTGGAATGCTGTTACCATTTACAGTATTTTTTTAAGAGAGAGTCTACAGCATTTGATTATTAATAGGATTCAAAGCAGTTTTTAGAGTAACCAATATGCAAAAGCTAGAAGAAAATTTGTTTTCTACAATATTTCACACTATATTGATTCTTATCTCTACCAGGCCTAAGAAGAGGACAATGTAGTTGAGAGTATTGCCTTTGGTCAAAAGTTGTAGTTGTATGTTACAAGCAAATGTGCAGGGGCTGGAGCAATAGCACAAAGGGTAAGGTGTTCATCTTGCACGTGGCCGGCCTGGGTTTGATTCCCAGCATCGCATATGGTCCCTCGATCACTGCCAGGAGTAATTCCTGAGTGAAGAGCCAGGAGTAACCCCTGTGCATCACCAGGTATGACCCAAAAAGCAAAAAAAAAAAAATGTGCAAAGTAGATCTCTGGGTTTACTGCCTAATATTATGTCAATGACAAACTCTAGCTTCATTAATGGTGAGAAGACCACTAAATCTTAGCACTGCACCTCACCCTGCATACAGTACTGTTTTGAGAAAGGCCTCCTGATGGGGAAGGTGGGCACTTCAGACACAGTCTCATGATTCACTCTGAATGGGATGAGCACACAGACAGAAGAATGAGGCTGGAAAGAAGGACAGGAAAAACAAACCTGTTACCTGTTTGCTATTCCATCCTCCAAGAGTTGAATTACTTGTTCATAGTTGGTTACTACATGTTGAGATAAACCTATCAGATTTGTGAGGAGAGGGAAAAAGATATTACATAAAACTTTGGTAAGACTTGATTGGTCTTTGCCTGTAGATTCATATCATCCCTATATTATGTCATTTGATAAGCATGAGAGAACTTAGTTAAATTCATTCAGATAATTAAATCAAATTAGTATTCACTGGAAGTCAAGTGTCTGGTATTATTATAGAGGCTGTGATAACGCAGCCTCTACCTTCAAAGTGATTATGTTCTAGAACTTATATGGGTTATAACAAAAACACTAATATGCCTTACAACTTTTCTATATAGATAATGACAGTTCTCATCTATTAACTCATATAGTCATTCTCTTCACTGAGAATGGCAGACCCAGTTTGGCATACAAAACATACAACTGACATGCCTTATCATCATGAGAAGTCACACCATAATAAACAATATGGCTAGGTGACACAAGAGAATCAATAAATTAAATGGAGCTTAAAACAAAACAAAATGTCAAAATTAAATTTTTCTAATCATTCAATAAAAAGAAGTTCTCAAGACTAGCAGCTTTTTCAAGAGTTTGATTTGTTTCAAAGTTTAAAAAAATTCTTTTTTCTTTTTGTTTTAGTCTGTTTTTAGGTTTTTGGGTCACATCCAGCTATGCTCAAGGGCTTCTCCTGGCTCAGCACTCAGGAACTACTCCTGGAGGTCCTTGGGGACCATATGGGATGCCAGGGATTGAACTTGGATAGGCCGCATTCAAGGAAAAACCCTATCTACGATACTATCACTCTGGCTCCAAAATTTTTAAAAATTATTTATAAAACAAAAATACACTCAGAAAACAAAAAAAAAAAGAGAGACTTCTATTAATGTGTTAATATATTACTACTCAAAGTTGGTCCATAGTCTGGGGCCAGTTCTCAAATTGCTATGATATGCAGTAAGTATTAAAAAGTTTTATGAAAAACAAAAGAGAGGCCGACAAAATCTCAAGGCCGAACTAGGCTGCCACAATGAAGGAAGACAAAAATGATCGTCTGTACTTTCAATGCATGTACGCTAGCATCAGATGCATCCATCGAGGACCTGATGGTACAAGCGCGAATGATCAAGTATGACATCATTGGTCTGACCGAGACAAGAAGGCACGAATCTCACCATGCCATTTTCGACACTGGAGAAGAATTGTTCCTCGGAACATGCTATAAAAGAGGTGTTGGAGGCGTCGGTGTCCTTGTCAACACAAACTTGGCCAAGAGCATTGATTCATTCGAATGCCTAACAACCTGAATCGGACGGTTACATTTGAATAGATGTGGCTCACTGCCTGCAGTTTCTATCTTCGTTGTCTACGCACCAACATCTCATTATGATGAAAGAGAAATCGAGAAGTTCTACATGGAGCTAGAGAAGTTCTATAAAGAAGACCACACCTTCTACAAGATCATTGTGGGTGATTTTAATGCCAAGATAGGACCGAGAAGATCAGCTGAAGAACTTCACATCGGGACCCATGGCCTAGAATGGAACGAACAGGGTGAGAGACTGTCTGAGTTCATCATGTCGACCAAGACCATCCATGGTAACTCACAGTTCCAGAAGGCAGAATCTAAACGATGGACATGGGAGTCTCCCGGTGGACGATTCCACAACGAAATATACCACATCATATTCAATCGACGGTTTTGCCTGACCGATGTTGCTGTTGTCCCAAAATTTCGAACGGGATCGGACCACCGTCTCCTTCGTGCAAAATTCTATTTCACAGAGTGGGGAGAAAGGGCTGCAAAGTTCAAAAAGAGAACTCCCAGAACGACCACCAACTGGAAATTCTTTGGCACTATTGCGGCAACATGGGAAGATGCCATTGTTGACAACACTGACGAGGAATACGATCGACTGGTTCAGCACTTCCATGAATGTGCGAGGAACGCCAAGAGAGAGATAGCCACAAAAAATCGCCTGTCTTCGAAAACTCTTGAGCTAATTCGCCAGCGTGGTTTGGCGCATGCCTCAGGCAACCGCAAGCTAACGCCCGAGCTCGCAAAGCAGTGCAGAGATGCCATCAAGGAAGACCTCAAAGAGAGAAGAGCAGAAGTACTGGTAGATGAGGCAGAAGCTGGGAAAAGTATTCGTAACGCCCGCCTGTCCTTCGCCAACTACAAGGCCAAGAAGACTGCCCTCCGACGTCCTGATGGATCCATCACATCCTCCAGAACGGCAATGGAGAAGATTATCCATGACTTCTACTCAAATCTTTTTGATAGCCATGTCCACTTGCCGACATACCAAATTCCACAGGATGGATATGTCGTTCTCCCTTCCGAAATCCGACATGCCATTTCGTCGGTAAAGAAACGAACAGCACCCGGCCCAGACAAGGTCAGACCTGAACATATGAAGAACCTGCCGTCAGTACTCATGAATACACTGGCTCGGCTCTTCACTCGCTACCTGTCTGAATGCAAGGTTCCGTCCCAATGGAAAACCAGCAGGACCGTACTACTGTTCAAGAAGGGAGACATCCATGACATTGGCAACTATCGCCCGATCTTCCTATTGTCTGTCATCTACAAGTTGTTCACTCAAGTCATCCTAAATAGGATTGGCAGAACACTAGATGAAGGACAACCATTCGAGCAAGCCGGGTTCCGCAAAGGATTCAGCACCATCGACCATATCCACATGATAACCAAGCTCATTGAGGTTTCTCGGGAGTTCAAGATGCCGCTCTGCTTAACGTTCATTGATTTAAAGAAGGCCTTTGATTCTGTTGAGATGGAAGCGGTCATTGAAGCCCTAGCCAATCATGGCATTCAAGCCCAATACATCAGGATCCTCCGTGAGCTGTATTGCGGATTCACTACCAGGATCTCACCATTCTACAAAGAAGTGATCGTTGATGTCAAGAGAGGGGTTCAGCAGGGTGATACCATTTCACCAAAACTCTTCAGTGCGACCGTCGAGAACATCATGCGACGACTGGAATGGGAAGGAATGGGAGTGAAGATAGATGGTTCGCAACTACACCACCTCCGCTTTGCTGATGACGTTGTTTTAATAACACCAAACATCAGCCAAGCAGCACAAATGCTGGCCGACTTTGACCGTGAATGTGGAAAGGTAGGACTACAGCTGAATCTTACAAAGACTATGTTTATGAGAAACAGCCTCTTTCCTGACGCCCCATTCGCTCTCAACAGAACGACCATCTCCGAATGCAACAGCTATGTGTACCTAGGTCGAGAAGTCAACATGACAAATGACCTGGCACCCGAGCTGCGCAGGAGGAAGAGAGCGGCTTGGAACGCCTTCAAGAACGTCGAAGAAATAGCTAAGAGGACGAAGAACCTCCGGCTCCGGGCACATCTCTTTGATTCCACTGCTCTTCCTGCATTAACATATGCCTCAGAGACCTGGGCCCTACGCAAACAAGATGAGAACGCTATTCAGGTCTCCCAAAGAAGAATAGAAAGAACTATGCTTGGAATATCACGTTTCACTCAAATGAGAGAAAGAATCCGGAGTTCTGACATCCGTCGAAGATCAAGAATCAGGGACGCTGTCTCATTTGCCAAGGCGTCGAAAATCAGATGGGCTGGTCACGTAATGAGATTTACGCTGGACTGGACCGTTGGACTAGAGCTGTTACCTACTGGATTCCATGGGATGTCAAAAGACCCCGTGGCCGCCCACCTACCAGATGGTCAGACTTCTTCGTCAAGATCATGAACGATTGGTTTGAGGCTCTTCATGTTCCCAGAGCGAACAGATACCACTGGGCTACACTAGCACGCGACAGGACAAATGGAGACGTTACTGGCGCCCACTCGAGCAAATCGACAACTAACGGGAAGTTAAGTGATTAAGTGATAAAAAACAATAACTTTACATCTTTTGAATCTAGGAGAAGAATTTGGGCTTATTAACAAGTCATTATTTTCTAGTATTATTTTTATCTCATTAAAATACTGGTATGCAAAAAATTGGAAATAAAAAACCAAAGTGGTCTTTCACCACAGTTTGAGAGTAACAAGATAGAACATCTCATTTTTTTAAACGTATTTAGTCTAATTCTTGAAAGAGATCAAAAATTGCAGTTAATCGCGGATCCACATAAGACTGAACAACCAGGATAAAACAGAGGGGGCAGGCCAGCCCCCAGCAGCCCCTTGATTCCACAATCCAAAATTGCTGTCATACATCTAGCCTGACTCCGCCGTTTCAAGATGTATCTCACTGAGACATAATCTGTTGAAAATTCTGATATGCGGATTTTGTAACTGAAATCTCCAGGCATTCTTGGGGTTGGGATGGGCTACCTCTACCCACCTCCCTATACTTCCAGAAGCCTCAGCAATCACATGCATACCCCAAAGCTCCCACCTAGTTAAAAAGCTACTCCAGCCTTACCATCCCGATAAAAATACTTAATGCCCTGAACAAACATGATGACCTCATAGTACCTGTATTGCAAACCACAATGCACAAAAGGAATAGGAGAGAAAGAACAAGAAGGAAAGTGCCTCCCATAGAGGTAGGCTGAGGGTGGGGGGTGGGGTGTTGGAGGATTGTGGGAGGGAAACAGGGGCCATTGGTGGTGGGAAATGTACACTGGTGGAGGGATGGGTGCTGGATCATTGTATGACTGAAACCCACTTATGAACAGCTTTGTCTATCTCACAGGTATTGAATCAAAAATTAAAAAACAAAATAATATGGAGTTCATACCCGCTTCAGTCAGCTTAATAAGTGGCTGAATAAATAGCAGTACCCCTACATTTAAAAAATGTATTAGTCACCATGAAATTACAAAGCTATTCATGACTGGATTTCAGGCATATATCATTCCAACACAGAATACCTATTAAAAAGCAAACTACTGGGGGTATGGTGCCGCCAGCAGGTCAATCTGTAGCTGTGAGGCGAGTGCATCAGCAGTCTGATGGTGCCTTCAGACTTCCAGATATCCTAAAATTGCTGCTATGCCTTTGGCCAAACCCCAAAAACTTGGGGCAAAGTTTACC